GACAGCTGGTCGTAGAGTTGTCTCGTGTGTTTCCCCGGGAGTGCCGCATCGACTCTTTTTCAATGTCTTCCAACCTTGTCCGGCAACGACCCATTGGCGTTGACTTTGAATCGAGCAACCCTGAGCGTTGTCGATTTCATGCCAGGAAACCACTTTTGAGGAATGGCTCCTTGCTGTGTTGCCTTCCATGCCTCTGCCTTGGCCTGCTTCAGAAGCTCGTTTTCATCGCTTGAGGGTAGCCACAGGACCCTTACGACGTTTCCGTCTTCCCCCAGGTCTTCAATGGAATCGTAGATACAGCGTATGTATTCTTGCCCGGACTGCTGACGGGGTTGCTTGAGCGTAAGCGCAGCAGCCTTGTTGCTCGTTAGCAGTGCAAAGCTGCGATATTTCACCCTTGGTGGAGTTCGCCTTAGGGCATACACCATCGCCGCTAGCTCTCCGCTATATGGGTTCTGTTCTGTTCTCATACCAAGAGTAAATGAGAAGGTCTCGAGCTTTGGGTCGCCTCGCACCGAAAGCGGAATCTGGACTGCTCCTCCAACACCCACTACATCATTTCGCGCAGAGCTGCTCACTGCGATGCGTATGGCCCAGCCTGCTTCTGACTCTCCTGGGGCTGCCTCGTCGGTGATGGCTTCCACTCTTTCTTCCCATGGCGCTAGTGCGAATGGTTGAATGGTTTCCAGCTGTTCCATTGGTATATCTCCGAGTGTCGTTGCTACCTGGTAGAGTGGTGACCGGTGAGCCCTTCTGAACGCTCGTATGCGGGATGTCATCCTGCGGAGAGGGTTGGTGCTGGGCAATGCGTGGATATCCGTCCACATCTTGGCTGCCCTCCTCCAGAACCGCTGTTGTGCTGAAGCGATATGAGCTTCTGCTTCCGCTACGCTCGTCGCCACTGTACTAAACGTTCCAACGATAGCCTGGGCTCCCGCTCTCTGAACCCTGTTAATTGGTCCCATGATTCTGTCCTGGCACCTGTGCATCCACACATTGGAGGCGTAGTCCACAACCGGGACTACTGTAGCTGTGAATAGCTATCTTGCTGTCGCTGGTGATAAGCCCCTTAACCTCTTTAGTTCCATTGCTGCTTTCAACCCCTTGGATGCTACCCTGGCGATGTATTCCTTGTACTTAAGCCCGGCGTCCATGATAACTCCCAGGATCCTAACACGGTCTTTCGGTTAGACTATCTGCCCCCTGATCATAAAGGGCTCTGAGTCGGACTTGGACTCCTTCCGGGTGAAGTGTATGATAGCAGTCTTATCCGCCTCAAATATCGCGCCGCTTCTCCTCTCCCAATCCAAAGCCTCTTTGATAACTACTTCGACTCCCTTACGGTTGCTCTGCGCTGTTGGCCCTGTGACCCAGGCTATAAAATCGTCCACAAACGCGATCGCTCCTCCGTTACTGTCGATCCGCCGCTATACCAAATCTGCGTTAAAGAAAAGAAACAAGATTAGAGACAGCAGAGAGCCCTAGGGTAAGCCTTCCTATGGTAGGTCTCGAATTTCCGATGACTCTCCGTTGATTAGGATCGATGCCGTGCGATTAGAGCAAAACGCTTCTACCCAGCCAACTAGCTGCTCCGGGATGCCACGTGCCTTCATTCTCTAAAGAAGCCTTTCCTTCCACACTCCATTATAAGCTCCCTTGACATCGAAACTAAGCAGGCTCACGATCCGTCCACGTCGCCAAGCGGCATAGATCTATTCCTACAGGAGCAGAAGCGCTTGTTCTGCTGATCGTTGCTTGCAGGCTCCAAAATGATTCGTCGGGAGCAAGCCGTACGTTTCCACAGCATATGAGATCCTTTCCGCGACCACCGACTCCAACACCTTGCCGAGTGCAGCCAGTAGGGAAATCGGTCGCCAGGCCTTTGCCACCGTGTAGTCTCCTTTACCGGGCTTTTTAAGCGGTATAATCTTTGCGTGCCTCCACTGGTGGGGCAACGTTCCCTCTTCCAATGAAGCCCGGAATATTGCCATCACCCAGCGCTTGACGACTAGCCACACCTGCTTCCAAACAAACATCGGCAGTCCATCTTCCCCGGGGGCCTTCCAAGATTTTGCCGCGAACAGTTGTCGTTCTACCTCTTCTGTTGTGATATCTGGCATCGCTATAGGGGCTCTTTGAGGCCTAGGGCCTTCGTTTTCGATGTCGTTCGGCAGGGGAGGAAAGAACTTGGATAGGAGCTCTTCAGCTTGTTCCCTGTGGTTAGTCGTGGCTATCCCATCCGCCCTGGCCAGCTGCGGAATTTTGCCAAATGCCGCATCATCCTCAGACTTCAAGTACTTGGCCGCCTTCCAGATGTTATCATTATCCGCCAGAAACTCGTTCCAATGCTTCTTCTTTTGTTGTCGGATGGCATCATGATACTGCTTTGCAGCCCCTTTCGCCATCTCTTCCAGCTCCGTCCTGGCTTGCCCTGCCCGCCTCTCGGCTCGGGCGCGGTTCCTCCAGTTCGTATATATTTAGCGAAGCTGCGTCAGATCCGTCGTCTACCACCATTTGACGTACGGCGACGGCTTGGCTTTTGGTGCCAGGGAATGAACCGCCTCCATAACCACCGACATCAGCCTATCAGTTTTCTCCTATACGGTGCCTTCCGACGGCAATGCCTCCAGCGCGCTTGCAATTCTTGCGTTGATTTCTCTCCATAGCGCATTCTTCAGGAGAAGCCGAGTCTGTTGTTTTGGTCCGGGAACCGAAATGTCGAAGACCGTGTTAATCGCCCGATGATCTGAGCCGTATTCCGTCCCGTGAATCGCGCATTGGACAGTTGATGCCGTCAACTCCTCCGAGGCCAAGACCAAGTCGACCGTTATCTCAAAGACTCCGTCACTCCACGTCTTCGTTCCTCTAGGGAGCAAGCTAGTGAGGCCAAGTTCGTGCATAAGGTCAATAATCTAGTCCGCTTCACCCTGCCTCACTAAAGAAACATCATCTCCTCCCCAGAGCTAGTCATGCCGGTTAAAGTCTCCGGCAACCACCACATCCACGACCCTACCAGCTTCTCTTCTTATGTCTATGATAACCTGGCGTAGAATATTGCAAGTGTCTCGTAGCGCCTGAGCATCTCCTCCTAGCACGTAAGTTAATACTACCAGGACCAGCCGCTCAGGGAGCCTTATAACGGCTGCCGTCATATCCGGTGACTCAATCGGTATCTGCTCCGCCTCCACATTCTTGTTCACCCACAACATACTCCGGATCGCCCATCTGCCATCTCTCCAAATTATGGGGACCATTTTGATCCATTTAGGGTGCCCCATAGGGACTATAAGTAGTTTGCTATCGACTTTTCGTGCCTGTGGTTCTTAGATCGCCAAAACTGCACAATTTTGGAGTCGCTTATCGTTCATCAGGCTTTCATATACCATATCCTGTTTTCTTACATTCAATTGGATTACCTGAAACATCCTACTCATGCCGGGTAGGATAGAGTTTCGGGCAGCTTCTGCTAAACGACTCGTGCGGTCCACCACAAGGTACACACTTGGGTACCTGCGTCTGGCACTCACTGTGATGGTGGCCTTCGACGGCGCATCTCGCACATACCCGTTTCTTGCTACATGAGAAGGCCTTGTGGCCAAGCTCCTGGCAGTTGTAGCATTGTATCGGTCCGGTTCTCCGCTCAAACGCGCTGGTATATGCCGATTCACCCGCTGCAAGGAAGTAGCGTTCCTGTAGGAGTCTCCTGGCATCGCTGTTTTTGGTGAGGTACACCACCATAGATCCGTACGCCTTTACGCTGTCTTTTCGACTCAACCAGGCCCTCTTGGCAATCTGGACTTCATTCTCCTGGCCCAAAGCTTCCATTACTCCTGGAAGGACCTTGCCTTCCTGGTCGAGGACGGCCGCACGGTTGATGTTGTCAACTTTGACTGGGTACAGTTGGTCTCGGAGGACTCTCGCACCTGGAGCCTTCTTGCCCTCAATAATGGTCTTGATCTTCTTCAGTTCTTCCTCATTCCTACCGATGACCCTCAGGCGGTTAGTATTTCGTCCATCTCTGGTCACTGCAACACATCGCCAACTAGGTTGGTCGCTAGACGTTCGCATTTCCTGTTCAATGGCTCTGCGAAGCACTGCTGGCGTAGCGTCTCCGATATGATCCTCGGGCACCCTGGATGTGTCTACTGTGTAGAACACCAGTTCCGGGGTTGCCGATCGAACCGTGGATGGAGTTTGAGTGGTAATACTAATAGGCGTCATCCTGGCAGCATCCGCATATGATTGACTAGGCGATCGTGCTGCATGGGCCTCGCTCACGGTATCCAGCTGCAGTCGGGTACGCTCCAGCTCGCTGCAAACCTGAGTAAGCTGCTCTCGCACCTGCGACAATTCCTGTGCCATCCGGGCCGTGGTCCTAACCACTTCCTCAGCCATACGGTCGCTAAGCTTGGTGAACTCGAGCTGGAACTCTGTTTTCATGATTTCAATTTTCTTATTGAAGTCTTGTTCCAGGAGTTGTTTCAGGCCCTGAATCGCGTCGGTCATACTGTCGGCCGTCTTAGGCGTGGTCCTTTTCCTGGGTCGATTGTTGCTCGGCACCCCCTCGCTGCTCTCCTCCTCCTGCCATTCCATATCACATTCTTGTTGCTCTGATTGCATTGCCCTCGTCGTTCTCGCTCTTTTACGCAGGGGACGATGATGTCCCCCGCCCGGAACGTCCGATTCGCGTCCCATGACGATGATGACGTCTGAAGCGGGGTTCGCAGCACCAGACATCCGCCAAAGGCTTGGGTCTCCGCCAAGTGGCTACAAGGTATTCCAAAAGATATAATGATCAAAAATGAGATTTCCTCTTTCAATCGATTCGATGTAATTTCTCACAAGAGGTCTTAAGGTAATTTGATGAAATACAATAAGACGCGACACGTGCACGGACGACCCAGCAACGTGCACAGACCAGTTTCTATGTAATTGATCGAATTACCAGCACGACTGCGTACAGTAGCCCGTTAGGAGACGCGGCGTCGAGATCGTGCGAGATGGGGCCATATGGTGACCAGTATCACTCGATCGAAGATGATGACATTTGCGAAACTTCGGACTCACGGTTGCACAATGCTACTATATCGGGTTCCTCACAGAGAGACAGCACACTGAGGTTGTTGCCTGAGAGAACAAGCACCCTACCCGACCCAGATGCACATGAAGCAGTCGAAAACGACGCGAGTAGAATACGGGACGATGAGAACGCAACCGGCCAAGAAGACGGAACTGGCGGTGGATTGCTGTCCGATGTCGAGTCTCAGTTAGAAGACGCTTTTGAAACAGACTCCAGCTCCGAATCGAATGTCTCAGATGCTGAAAGTGAGATGGACATGAATGACGCCAGTGTTCCTTCCGAGTCGGATCTCTACTTGGCAAAACGTTTCTTAGAAAGGGCCTGGGGGCGTTTGTGCGATTGCCAAGGGGAAGAGGAGGAGGAGGAAGAAGAAGAAGAGGAAAATGCCGACGAGGGTGCACGGCCCGGGCTCAGTCTAAAGGAAATGGCTGACTACTGGCGGAACCTTGCGGTACCAGATGCAATCGGCACTGCGTCACCTCAGGCTCAGACAGACGAAAACGAACAGGTTCAGCTGGATTGGTCTCCGATACTAAGTGGTGGAGACAGTCGCCCAAACTTGAACATCCAAAGGTCTCAAAAAATTACCCCCAGCATCCAGCGTACTTGGGATGTGGACAGCGTCATCTCCTGGGCTTCGTGTCTATCAATCAACCGTGGGTTTTACGTCTCGTATCATCCGCCAACTTCAAGGAATTTTGGAAGCAGCGTTCATGTCTTCCACCAAGGAACAGCTTTGCATCTTATCCCTCACCTTCGACTGGGCAGCGGACGCCAATCTCCTCAATTTGGCGTATATGTTTTCTTCCCCGGAATTTCCCACGCCTGTCGAACGACTACTTACCTTACTAAAGACGAACGGCGGATGTGGATCAACCAACTTCTTTTGCCCGCGATTCGTCACAGTTGTCCACCTGATGTGATCCAGCATCATCCCCGTTCCTTCGATGATGTGGAGAGCAAAGCCTACAGTCGCCAACGGGAAACCTGCGGGGGGATGGTTTCTAACAGAATGGATATGCATCATTACCTTCCTCAAGAATACCTGCAGGCGATTTGGCACCGTATGACTCAGAATACTGAGCAACCCGAACTCGCCATGTTTCGCGGAATGTTCATTGTACTCAGCGCGAAGAACATCAAGCTGGAAGCAAAATCTCCAACATTTCAAGAATGCCGTGCCAAGATTACAACTCACCTTCATCAAGTGTTGGATTGGCCAAGAGCCGATTTGTCCAATACATGGGTAGATGTTGGCCTTGAAGACACTGCAGCTTCAGAGAAGTGCACATTCTTGCACAAAAGTCGATGTTTGGAGTCCTGGGTCCATTCGATGAGGTGTAGCGCCGACAAACCACTGATATCGTCGGAACATTTCAACTGGAATCTTACCGGCCAAGTAGGTAGCGCTAGGGTGGAGACTCGCCGATCGCATCCCCTGCGCAAGGGAGGCATTGCTTATGCTCATCGTTACAACGTGAATAAGGTCCTCTTTTCGACAGCCTCGAAGCGGGACGGTGGGTTGTTCGGTGAACCGAACCTAGAGGGGCTGACATGTCCATCTTCATTACTCGACGCTTGGATCGTGGCTGCTCGGCAGTATCGCAACGCCGGGCTGGCGACCTCGCTCCAATCTGCACCGAAACTCAAACGGCTTTGTAAAGTATTTCAAGCTATGAAGTCTCGAATAGGGTTCGCGTTGGACAGTTCTATGGAGGCGAGCTTCGGCGTTCGAGAAGAATATCGAGTCTCTTGGGAACTATTCACAACTGTAGATCCTTCTACATCACACCCTCGCGGTCCACATCGCCCATTCTGGGTGTTGCCAACTGCTCATGTGAACGAATTCATGCGGTGGGAGTGTAATCGCTGGCTCTCCGCTATCGAATTTGTCCGGGCTCGAGGAAGCCGGCGCGATGCCAACTGGGAAGATCATCAAAGAAACATGATCATGGTCACTATCCTTCTTCGTTCTTTGAAAGCCAGCGTCAACTGCCATCATGTTGCAAAGCGCTCACAGATGTTCAAAGGCACATACAAGAACCGACAGGGAAACCCTCTCCGTGGTCTAGATTTCGAGAGCAGTATGCGTCAGACAGGTCTCGCTCGGTTGCCTTCTGATCTTTTCGATTGGTCTGATTTTCACCTCCATGACGACCTCGTGGCATCAACCACATTCACTTTCAATGGGCTCCAGGGAGTATTTCGCAATTGGAAGGACGTGGAATCTATAAGTCGGGAGTACCAGTATTCCAGAATTGACTGAGCAGTCTTGGTCAACGTCTCCGTCTCAAAACTCACAGCGGCTACTTCCGTCGATTGTGGATCAGAGTCCACAGCGATTGCAGCCTCTCCACCTCCGGGCCTGGTATTTTCTGGTTTGCGGGCCAGTCGTGGAATGCCAACCTCGCCATCTCGGCGCCCAGAATATTGTCGATCGACTTCCCGGCGCGCCCAATCCAGACATCACCCGCCAGCCCAGCATCCAGTTCAGAACCGGAACTCACGAGGGCTTCCGTGATGGGCAGGGTCCCACATATATCAACCACCCTGGCTTCGAGGCTCCGCATCCACTCTTTCCATGGTGTCGTATTGGTATCGAATGGGTCGGCAAACTCTTCGTTGGGATCGCAGCCCTCAGCAAGAAGAAATCCAACCATGTCGGCAGACACCGGGATTGAATAGGCTATAGAGTCGCCTTTCAACTGCTCCAAAAAAAACTGGGTCAGGACATGAAATAGGAGGGGATAGAAAGGGGGTTTTGTCTCAGATGCGCGGATATCTGCCGCGGCGAGGTAAGTCTTGGCGAAGTTGACAATCCCTGCCTCGACGGCCAGCACGAGGATGATTTCGGGTGGGATGTCCGTCATCGAGCTGGATAATTGACCGGAGACCCCAACCGGGAACTCGTCCCCGTCGTGACTCATCAGGATGCCTTGCAGTCGGAAAAGAACGATGGCGACCGTGGCCGGAGATTCTCGATCCGCCACCCGAGCAAGAGAAAGTGACCTAGCGATTTCGTGCTTGTAGCGCGGCGAATCCGCCGATAGGTCCCGGATGGCTTTCGCGTACTCGCTGGCAATTGCGCAGAGAACCGCATAACCATTCCACGATGGGTCTCCTGTCTGGAGATAGTCCAGACTCCAAGCGGCCTCGTTGTCCAGGAATTCGAACACGGTGCGGTGGAGGAAGTCGACGGTTGAATCGACTAGTCCTTCGTGGTCGGGAATATGCTCGTCCGGAGAGCACAGACAGTGGCTCGATGGTAGACCTTGTCCATCAAACAGCTCCACCAAACCACCAGAGCGCCCTCGAAGTCTTCCCTCCAGCGTCGTACACAGCCTTCGCCTTTCAGCTAGGCTCAGGCGTCTCTGAGGCGGGAGATTTTCCACATCCATCTGCTTCGACTCGACAATGGCGAATGCCACTGCCGAGAGATGTCCCGTGTCCGCGACCCAGCGCCAGTTCCGCCTCGCGTTCTCCCGCTTCACCACATGGTTCAAGTAGCAAACTCTGAGGATTCGAGCCGCTTGGACCTTGTGCCTGTTTTCGACTGTGCTGAGCATGTGGGCAAACATGTCTTTTAGCTCTGGTGGGAGCGCCTTGACTCTCTCTCGCAGTTCGTCAACACTGTCGAATTCGTCAAATCCTCGAAGAAGTGACTTGCAAGCCAGCGCAACCCAGAGGAATACCCCAGAGGACCTGTCGATAATTTCGTCCAGGATCGACTTGGCTTCGTCCCCATCCGTCTCGATGAGGTTCTGGATGTAGGGGTGACTGCCAATCTCATCATAGACAAACTTCGAGATGTCTGGACGCGTCAGGTTCTGGAGCCTCAACTTCGGGGCCCCAATGAAGCCGCTGACACACTCCGGAAGCGGTCTGCTAGACACGATGATCTTCAGGTCAGGGTTCCCGGACAGACGCTTGATGAAGGCAATAGCCTCAGGGACGTTGCCGTCGTACTCGTCCAGTCCATCGATAAAGAAGCAGAATCGTCGCTGGAGCGAAACTCCATCAGACAAGGTCTCGAAAGCAAGTTTCATCTCGGCTGTGGATGGCGCTTGGAACATGTCTGAATCTAGGTCGTAGACGGCGTGCCACGACTTGGGCAACAATCGAGGAATGAGGGCCGGCTCTGCACTCAGGAGATGGAAGAGTAAGGCTCTAAAGAGACCTTGCTGACTCTTCTGTTCCGCTGTGCCCAAGGCCCAGAAGTAAAAGGAGACAATCACCAGCTCCCTTTCTTGGGCCCATTCATCCAGCAGCTTCTTGGTTTCGGTGGCCTTTTCCAGGTATCTCATCAGGGTTGACTTTCCACTCCCCGCTTTCCCGTACAGCCAATAAACTCCTGCGCCAGATCGGAGCCACTCAGGAATGCTGTCCCACCGCGAGCCCCCAGTACCCTCTTGCAGGGCCCACAGGAAAGTGTCGTGGTGTGGCTTCTGGAGCATATCCCTCCTGTCATCCATAATCTGGAACCAGAGCGCTCTGAGAATTCGTCGTTGGCACATACGGACCACTTCCTCGTCGGCCAAGCTGGCAACAGCCTCATGCTCGCCACCCGCTGCGTCTCGAATGAGTCGAAGCTTTCGGACTTCGTTGATGCCACGTAAGTCCTCCCTAATCATACCATCGGGGCCATGGCTCGGCTCAGTGCCAGCGAGTGACGTGTTCTCCGACAAAAGCGGGACGAAATGGTGGAGCTTCGCGACGAATTTGGACAACTCGCGGATCAACTCTGTGAACTTGTCCTTGTCACTCACGACCCATCGTATTTTGCTTACCGGGCTTGTCCTGGACTGTCGCAATTCCATCCTCTTTTTGAGGGAAGCGACCCGATCCTGGAACTTGTTCAGGCTTCTGTGGCTGACGGGGCTGGAGACGGAGAGTGCGCTGGTTTTAGCCTGTCCGCGGTCAATTTCGACTCCATATCGAGCTTGGAGAGATGAGCTCTCGCTAAGGAGTACTCTGATTGCGGTGAGGGCAGAGAGGACAGCATCCTGGGTGGTTTTGTCGTCCAGACGCTTGTCGTAGTCGCTCGACGCAAGCCGTACTCTTTCTGCCCATTGTAGCAGCGAGGATTTCTCCAAGTCGAGCCCGATTTCAAGAAATTCATAGTCGCGTCCGAGCGATCTGGATGCGGAGAAGTAGGCAAACAGCTCAACGCAATTCTCGAATGTTCCGAGCAAGCCTAGGACGCCGAGAGTGATTCCGACGGGTTCTGCCATTTTCGGTCTACTTAGGCTTCTTAATGATGCGTTGCACTGAGCGGAGATGGTGATGCCCAACTCTTAGCTCGCCTTGTCGGGTACGGGAGATGGATGTCTGCCTAGCACGGGGTGTGGATCCTTGGGAGATGTAATCTGGCGCTTCCGACTCGTCAGTCTAGAGCAGCGCCCGACCGCCCCTCGGATTTGACAGTTCCCGCACTGCGACCGTCATCGCACGCCGGCCATCTGATATGGCACATTGACATCTAAATGAATGATTTAATTACATATAATAATCTATCATGAGCTTCGGGATCAATGATGGGTTTAGGGTGTCGGATTTCGCTTGTGTTCGGGAGGACTCAGCCAATAAGGTCGCGTCTTGGACGAACAGGGCCCTTGTCGATTCCAGGAACTAGTGCGCATCGGTTTTAAATGGAGCGCTATCCCTGCTATACAGCACGGTACCCCGGCTCGTTTGATAAGATAACTCAGATGATTCTTGGAACTTCTACCACCGCCTAGATTAGGTGCAGGGGGAAGTACCTTTCATCTCGTCGATTTTGATTGGACCGATACCCCTGCTGAGACCCGCCGAGAAGATACGCACAGACCTTCCCTCGGCTGTCCATTCGGATCTAAGGTTCTCCCGAAATATGAGGACGACCCGTTTTAGTTAGTCAGAATTGCTAAGTCAGCTCGTTTTTCTAGCCCAGGGTACAAACCTAGATCAGCTTAGTTGACTTGGTGACGTATCCTGTCAACAAACCGAACAACACAGAACAACCACGAAAGCAGACACCAGCACCACTACAGAATGCCGTAAACACAGCCCGAAGCAATGCATCAGACAGAATGAGACTTGGAAACATCACCGACTGGCTCGAACAGCTTGAACCGTCATCTGAGCACGCGATTGATGCCACCGTGTCTTGCGGACCTAAACACCAGCAACACCATCCCCTTTCGCCGCCAGAGTCGCAGAAGAGACAGCGCAGCATGAGCGCGCAGCGGGAGCCTAAGAGGCAAAAGGTGCATGACGATCCCAACAAGACGCCCAGAGGCAACAGCAGCTGGCAAGGAGTAGGGGCCTTCCAGACCGATTCGCCTACGACTTCTCTGCCTCCACCTTCGGAGCCGCAGTCACAATCGCAGTCACAAGCATCCGGCCGGTCCTCACCATCAAAAGCCCTCGGTGGCTTGGAAATCAACCCTGATGGCATCAAGGGACGGAGGCTATCTCCCAGGGATCCACGGATGCCGCAAAAGCTTACCGAGCTGCTGATGGAACTGCAAATGACTACGACCAGTGGGGTTGGCCTGATATCCAGTAACTCTAAAGCTGAGATTAGGGCGGAGGCCAAGAAAGATCCCGAATTTTGCCTCTTTCTAGATCATATGTTTGCGGACCCTAAGAACCGTGATCGGATTGGTCCTACGCCACCAGTTCATCAGGTTATCCATCTGGTCGCTGAGGCAGCGGAATGCCACCTGTCAAGGCAGAACGAAGCAGGCTGGAACATGATGGTCCATCACCCGCTGTTATTCACAGCCATTTACAGCTCGCGACGACAGAATCAGCTCGTAGGGTTCGCGCCTTGCACGACAGCAAAGATCATCAAGGAATACGTCTCGACAGCCTCGCAGCCAAAGATGGTTGACTTCTGCATATATATGGACCCGACAGTCAATGAGGCTGCCTCCGATGCAGTGCAGATCCTCCGTAGAATGCTGCCAGCTGGGGTGATCAACCACACGGACTTCCAACCCCTCCGCGACCGCCCAATCGCCATCAGCATCGAGACCAAGAGCCGAGGTAGGACACAACCAGAGACAGCCGAGCTTCAGCTGGGCACATGGCACGCAGCGCAGTGGCGATTCCTGGAAGACCTTGTTTCTCGCACTGGTGGGTCTCTCGATGACTTGCCCTTTCTGCCGGCGGTGATTGTGCAAGGCCACAGCTGGAGCTTTGCAGCTACGACGAGGGAGGGCCACAGGACCGACTTGTGGACTGAGTACTGCTTTGGGTCGACGTCTGATGTTGCTGGCGTGTATAAGGCGATATGGGGGCTGCAGCGGCTGGCTCTCTGGGCGAGGGAAGTGTATTGGCCTTGGTTTGAGAAGAACGGCCTTGGTGTTGAGGATGACGAACATATACCCAATAGCGCAGCATGAATTTAGAACGTGATATTTTCCAGTTCCTCCAATTTGGGCTGATCCCAGGAGGGCCGCGAACAGATAGGCAGCTAGAGGCAAAATTATTGGAGGGGAAGCAGCCCCAGGCATATATGTCTTCTTGCATTTTCCAGATGAGCCATTAATTGACTTCACTTTCTCGTTAAGCGCACGATCATTATAGCTTGATTTTTATTTTCCAAGTCGAAGTCAGCGCAAATGCAAGCCGTCGTTTAGAAACAAATGTAGTCTCAAGCAGAGACATTGTTGATCAATAACAGTCCCTGAGATTGAGAACTATCTCTCTAGTCATCACTCGATGCACTCACGGCGATGACGGAGATCAGAAACGAAATTTCAATATGATCGCATAAATCTAGCAGCATGGTGAATGTAGAATATTCTTGAGGATGGAGGCTAGCATTCGCTTACTGAGGGATAGGCCTAACGCCGCTATAGAACAACAGCCCCTCTACCATAGGATACTTCAAGATCGCCCTAACACGGAAAAGTTTCAGCTTCTGCTACAGTCGTCAGTAGGGAGCAGATATTCAGAAGTGTTCTATCGGAAGCGATGACTGAACACCAAAGACATCATGTCTTCAACATCAGGAAGGACTCTAGCTTCATATATATCTCCGGCCCTTTTCTTCGTGTCTTAATTGATTTTCTGTGAGCTGACCAACACGAGTCTTAGGGGCTATCCTAGTTTAGTACTAGGGAAGACTCATGACAAGACTCTTCGCATCAAGAACAAGACATTAATGGTTCAACATTACGCCCACATATACCAAGATAATTACATTACACCAGGTCGTACATAATGGCAAATAGCATGATCTTCTTGCTTGTTAACTTCGGAGGCCTTATTGTACGCAGTCACTCAGTAAGCCTCGCGAAGCCTAAAGCTTTACAAATTAGGACCAATCGACGACCTGGCTCAGCGTCAGCCGATTTTGCGCCAACACACGGACCTCGTACAACTATTTGCATGGCCGATTTTATCAGATAACGGTGTCATTGTACAGTAGGATTAGAGAGCGTTCGTTGACATAGACGCCTGGTCAGTGTCGGGGGTAGACGCCAGAGTCGAAACCAGAAGCATAGACACTTTTTAAGCAGTTGGCGATATCTTCGTTCTGTACTAGGCTTGACGACTAGCTCAAATGGGCGTTTATAGGGTCGGTCAGGATATATGCCGCGAAGCCATCGCCGGAGGGAAATATCGGTGTGCTTGATGGTATCGTTGGAGCGTTCGAATAGACGGTCAAGGGCGGTCATCATACGGGTCAGCTTGTGTTCATCCTCCTGACTGCTTATTAGAGCCTCGTCCTTATAATTGGCAAGCCATAGGGGCCCTGAGTTTTCTTTGGCCCCTAGGGCACTGAGCAATCGCGACGATTAGGTCTCGTCGCGTATTGCGGAAAGTCTCCTCCCAGCCAGTTCGCCGCATCCAGTTCGTTATGAAGGCTGGGTCGGTTGCGCTTGTCGTCCGGCCGGTGGGTTGCGGCAGACTCCCCCGTGCTTGTTGGGAGAGATATTGCTGCTCTCTGACAAAGAGTTCCTTGGCGAATACTTGTATAGCTTCTGGCGCCTGGTATATGGTGACAGGCGTGTGTGGTCCCTGGGGCTGACCGCGGTATAGATGAACCGTCCAGGAACGCCCAATATGGCTCACGGTCCAGGCCTGGAAGCTAAGTCGGTCTAGGATATGGTCCTGCAGCCAGTGACTCTCAGGGAAGCCGCGTCCTCTGCTATGCTGGATATCCTGGGGGTGGACTTTCTTTAAGTGCCGAGAGAGAACCTCGAGGCTAGTCGATCGGAGCCCGCAATGCTTGCAGGCGGCGCCCTGCTGGATGCGGAGGTGAGGGTGGGGTGAAGAGCCATCCGACCGCACTGGCAGTGTCTTTGGGTCTGGAAGGCGAAGGGTTCGGATGAATGGGCCAAGCCCTCGACGAGCCAGCTTGGAGATGCCATGCCGCTCTCCGAGGTGCCGCGAGACACGGCCTCCATCGGCCTTGAGGGCGAACTTGCATTGAATGCATAGGATCGCTGGCTCTGGCTGGTTGAGGTAAAGTCCGAGGCGGTCGAGCTGCTCAATCATCGTTCACTTTGGCGAAGAGGATAGCCAGATAGGAAATCATTCGAAAGGTGTATCTCGTGATCGAAACGGAGCTCCCATGGTGGCTCATGAAGCCCCTGCGATCCATGAGGCCGTGGAAAGCTTGTAAACGTCTGTGGATAAGATGCGAAGAGATTTCCGAGCACATCTTCGTCGCCGATACCGTAGTGCTGGCCGATACTCGCGGTGCTACGAGCTGACTGGGGTCTATCCGTACATAGCAGTGGGTTGAACCCGGCTTGTCGGCTCTGTCGCTGTCGTTTTTGAGGACGTGATTGATCGCTCGGGCTAGGCCTTCGGGTTCGGCGTCTTGAATTGCTCTCTGAGCTAAGAGGAGACTCGAATTGGTACATAATGAAGGTCTTTATCTGTTGAAGTATAAGTCTCAACAGTCTTCTGGGGGTAACCCATTTTTGTTTCAACATGCCTTGATGGCGGCGGCGCAAGGTAGTCTCGTCGCAACCGAAACATCTTGCAGTCTTAGCATAATTGACTGACTCTGGCGACTTCAGGAAATCAAGGGCCTCATCAATTGGAGCCATGGTTGGTGGGTTGTTGCTGATTGAAGTCGAGTGGACGAAGTGGCGGTGATCTGGCATATCACCGGGTCCGGCGGATCACCGGAAAATCCCTTAGTTACTCATAATGTAAGCAGGTGGCGCGACACAAATCTTTACCCCGCTTCTGGCACCAGAACTTCGAAGTAAACATACAGTAACATATTACAAGAGCTCGAGTACTGCTTATAGTGTGCCAGATAGTTGAGCTCCATGGCTGAAGACATGATTTATACCCGAGCATATTCTGTCAGCAGCGCTGGACCACTCATCTCAGCCAAGGGGCCAATGGGAGATCCATTAACCCACACAGAACTTCTCGCTGAGTTCCGAAATCATTCAAACAGCTGGAATCGAGAGCCCACGGCCTTGGTTTCGGTCAGCAATCGCATCATCGACACAGTCAAGCGCGCCTTTGACAAGTACTATGTGAATGGCGACTCCCCGGCAGACATTTGGGTCGCGTTTATCGAGGTTCCCGAGAGGAGAGATGAGACACCTACTCAGATCCATGCTGCACTTCCCTTGGCAGAGGAGTGCGGAATCCTGGAAGCTAATAAGTTTCGTCACGAAATTGTCTTTGAATGGGCTATACCCGAGGAGTTTGTGATTCATAAAGTCTCCTTGCAGACGTTGATCTCCCGTGGGCTTCAACGCGGAGAACAATTTGGCCCTGAACTTCAATTCAAGTCAACTGCAGGGTTGAGACGCGATATCGCGACGGAACTCAAAGCTATCGATCATTCTTCTGGCTCGTGGGAAGTTGGCATCTACTTGGCATCTTTTGCACGAACCTTTGGGGCTAGAGCTCCTCTCGACTGGATTGCGCATAGACTTTTCTATGACTGCGTACATACAACGATTGTTGACGACGATGTGGTAAGAGTCAACTATCTGGATGAACGTCCCAAATGTGTTAACTTTGACTTCTTTTGCGAGTTGGATGATGGAGTTGATACTGTTTTGTATGATTGGTGGCTTACAGATGTTGACTTTTGCTTGGACTACGAGGAATTTAGGGAGTAGCGTGATAAAATGGAACATAGGATTGCCCAGAATAAATTGAAGAAGGCATACCAGGGTAATTCTTGTCGGCTAATGTTGGACAATAGGTTCCGCAGGGATCGGTGATGACGCTAGTCAATTGATGAGAATTTCTAAAAGAGATCAAGCAGTCGTGTGTTCGGGCATATTTGTTTAAGTCTATGTCGTTAGAAACGGAGTCCCTGATGCAATAAGTCGAACCCGAAGCCGGGTGCATGACCCCAAAGTACCGGCGGCGTTTCATATCCAGACGCACGAACCTAGTGGTAGGGTAGCTTATCGGTGCTAACCAAATTAAGGAATTGTCACGCTCTCTCAAAACCGTACTAATCCAAAAGAGGAAATCGTCACGGTCGAGCGATGACGGCATTAGTAGTAGTAGTAGTATTTTTATTACGCCCGGGAGAACGGATCTCATAGGGCCAGTGGCTACGCTAAGCTATCTTCGCTTCTCCGCTATTCCTCCAGACCACCCAAAAGAGCCCCACTCTTCCTTCCAGCTCGTCTCTTTTCCAGCCCCGCTTGCTTGACTCTGCTTGACAGACCTGCTCGAAGGCCGATTTCTCCAAGTGTTCAGCATCCTATCCCCAGCAGCTGAAGCATGGTCTATCAACATGAGGCTGTTTAATGTTAGTAGTCAGCTGTAGTGTTGGTGTTTAGTATGTTCTGTTTCCCTTTTTCACCTCAGTCTTCCCGTCGCCATTGCAAACTTTACCGCCTTCAGGTTAGGTGTCCATTTTGGTCCGTCCGACGTTGACTTTCCACCAAGGAAGTAGGAAAGGTTTCCCATCATGCTTTGTCCAGCTTGTCGCATGACTTCACGCTCCGTCTCCCATCTCGTGCATCGGAACAGAAAGTGTTCCATCGTCTCTGGTGCTCGTCCGCACTCACACATGTCCGATTCGGCGGTTCCTATCTTGCACAGGTAGCTGTTGACCCTCGCCATTCCCGTGCGGAGCTGCGAGAGCACGTCAGCTTCCCGTCTCTTTAGGCCGTCATATAGCGCTTTCGTATGTTCGCCTGGTAGGGCTCGATCGATCTGCTTGGAGTAGCCGCCTACTTTGTCGGGGAGTGCCCGCTACCGCCGCAATTGCGACGTCGCCAGCCTGGTCCGTGTCGACCGAGCCTGGTACGGCGGCGACTCTGGGGTGCATCCTGCTTTGGTCGCTTTCTTGGCTTGTCTCTTCGCCTTGCGGCCCATGGCGAAACCGTCGTTTCGGGACGGAGCCCAGATCATCTTGACCCTGTTGTTGCCTCTCGCCAGTCGTTTGATGTGTTCGTAGATCTGTCGGATGGTGGTCTGGCTAGATTGCTGTCGCGGTCGTGCGATCGCTTTCAGTGACGACTGGCAGCTTGATACCACGGTGAGCTCTCGACATTGCAGTCCGTCAGGCATGCATCGTAACGCCATCGCTATTGCCTCTGGTTCGGCCGTGTATGGGTTCTGGTCGTCTCGCGACCCGAGGGTGACTGAGTACCTGGCCACCATCCTACCAACTTGACTAGTTGACTCTTGCGTAATGAGGCCTCCCATAGCTACAAGCCCTTCTCTGTTAGAGGCACTGGTCGCGATGATGATATCTTTGGCATCGTTAGCTGCTGCTATCGCCGCCTTACGGTCGGCCTCGCATACCAGTGACACTCGGCTGTGCCACGGCGGTATTACATAGGCTTGGATCGTTTCCATTCGCTCGATTCCGCTCTTCTTAAATGTAAGTGCCAACCTCTTGAGCGGTGATAAGTATCTCTGGCTTACTGATACTTTGAGCGTTGCGAGCGGATGCGTCTTTGGCAACGTCCGGACGTTGATGTATAGCTTCATGCCGGCTTGGGCGTGTCGTCTATCTACTGTCTGGATACCGGCCTCCGCTTCTGCGACCGCCCGCGATACTGTCTGAAAGGCTCCCGTGATGGCCTGTGCTCCCATCTTCTGAGCCCTGTTGAGCTAGGTCAGTTCCTTCTCGCCACGTGCGTGCGACTAGACGACCGAGGCGTAGTCCATGGCCGGCGCCATAGCCGTGATAAAGAGCTGCCTAGCCGTGCGTGGGGACAGCATCTTGAGTCTCCTTAGGCACATGGCTACCGAGAGGCCTTTGGTGGCCGCCTCGGCTATGTGTTTCTTGAACCTGAGCTTCGCGTCTATGACCACTCCCAGGATCTTGGCCTCCTGCTTTGGCTTGATCTCCTTCCCTTTGACTATGAATGGCGTGCAGCTGGTATGTTCGGCCACGCGTGTGAAGTGGACGATGGTCGTCTTGTCATATTCAAATGTCGCCCCGCTGCGCTTCTCCCATTCTAGTGCGCGGTCAATAATGGCCTGTATTCCGTCTCTGTTTGCTTCCGCTGTCGGGCCTGTGACCTAGGCTGAGTAGTCGTCGACGAATGCGATCGAGCCTCCCTTTGCGTCTATCTTGCTCTGAACCAGGTCTGCGTTGAAGAAGAGAAAGAGCACGGGCGATAGTGGCGATCCTTGCGGAAGGCTAGCCTGTGGTAGCTCCCGTAGCGCAGAGGTGTAGCCGTTTACCGTGATGGTGGCCGTGCGACTCGAGCAGAATGCGTCTATCTATCTCACCAGCCCCTTAGGGATGCCCCGTGCTTCCAATCTTTGCAACAGTCTATCCTTGAACACCCCGTTATAGGCCCCCTTGACGTCGAAGCTGACCAGGCTGACCACTTTGCGGTTCCGCCATGCTTTGTAGACCTGTTCCTGGAAGAGCAGTAGCGCCTGCTCTGCCGACCGCCGCTTTCTCGCACCGAAGTGGTTGGTAGGTAGGAGTCCGTATGTTTCGACGGCGTGTGAGATGCGATCCGCCACTACTACTTCGAGGATCTTACCTAGCGTCGATAATAGCGAGATCGGCCTCTACGCTTTTGCAATTCTGTAGTTAGCCTTGCCTGGCTTCTTGAGCGGAATGATCTTGGCAGTCCGCCACTGGTCCGGCAGTCGTCCTTCGCCCAGTGATGTATGGAATAGATGTAGTACCCGCTCCTTCACCACCGGCCATAGCTGCTTCCACACCATCGCCGGCAATCCGTCCTCTCTGGGTGCCTTCTAAGCCTTGGCCTCTATGACTTTCTCCTCTACCTCCCCTATCGTTAGGTTCGGCATGGCCACTTCTCTGCGATGCGGCCGTGGGCCTTCATCTTTTATGTCGGTCGGTAGTGGTGGGAAGAACGCGTTGAGCAGTTCCTCCGCCTGTTCAGCCTTGTCTTGTGTTGTTGCCCCGTTTGTTCTTTTCAGCGGAGGCACTTTGTCGCCGTTTGTTTTGTCTCTAGGCTTTAGGTACTTGGCAGCTTGCTAGATGCTGGTCCCGTCGGCGAGGAAGTCTTCCCAGTGTGCCTTCTTCTGCCTTCGGATGGCGTCGTAGTACTCCTTGGCTGCTTCCTTGGCTCGGGTTTCCAGATTGTCGGTTCGCTGGCCAGCCCGGCGCCGGGTCCGAGCTAGGTTCCTCCAAAACGTGTAGCTTCTTCGGAGCCGTGTGAGATCTGTCGTCCACCATCGCTTCGCGTACGGCGATGGCTTTGCTCTTGGGACCAGTTCGTGGATCGTATCTAAGACCACGTCTATCAACCTGTCGGTCTGTTCTTGAACTCTACTGCCCCATGGGAGTGGTGCTAGCTTGTCCTGCACTTTCGCCCTGATCGCGTTCTATGGTGCGTTCTTAAATAGCAGCCTCGAGCCCGCCATCCTCTCTGGTGTCGTGAGATTAAATTCCGTCTCGATGGACCTATGGTCTGATCTATGTTCAGTCGGATAGATCCCGCAGTGAACCATCTCGTCTGCCAGTTTAGCTAATATGAGCATTAAGTCGATCGTACTCTCCCCACCGGGTCTTTCCCACGTCTTTATCCCCCGCGGGAGGAGATTAAGTAGGCCGTGCTCGTCTATGAGGTCGATGATCGGGCTCGCTTCGCCTTGCCTCTTGCCTATCACCTCATCGCCTCCCCAGAGCTGGTCGTGGCGGTTGAAGTCACCGGCCAGGATGACGTCTGTCCTTTTCCCCGTGCTATTGCGAAAACTTGTGATTATCGTGTGTAATTATCTTATGGCCGTGTGTAGAGCGTCTTTATCTTTTCCTGCCACGTACACTAATACTACTAAGACTTCTCGGTCGGGCCATCTAAGTATCGCCCCGGTCAGGTCAGCCGAAGGGATAGGCACCTGTTTAGTCTCTAGATCGCTGCGTATCCAGAGCATACTCTGGATCGGCCACTGCGTCTCGTGTCTCTTTGATAGTACGAATTTCGTCTAGTTCCTATGGTGGTTCGGTGTCGTCATCAGCGTCCCCTCGACCTTCAGCGCGTATAGCTCGGCCACCGCCAGTACTGCATAGTCCTACAAGTCCCTATCGTTCATCATGCTCAGCTGCACCACATCTCTCTTCCGTACATTAAGCTGTAGGATCTGGAGGTTAGTGGCCATCGGTCATATGCAGTTGTCGCATCTGACAGTTTCGGCTGAGAGACTCGTGTGGCCCTCCATAGAGAATGCACTTTGGCTCGACCGCCTGGCAGTCCGGTGTCGATGGCCCGTCTCCGCGTACTTGCCGCATCGTTGCGCCTTGCTGCATGCGAAGGCCTTATGGCTAATCTCCTAGTAGTTATAGCACTGAGCCGGGCCTTGGCGCCTCTCAAAGACGTTGGTGCTGGCTGACTCTCCCGCAAGGTGGAAATACCCCTCTTTAAGCAGCCGTCGCGCATCGCTCGCTTTGGTGACGTAGATCACTATCGAGCCGTATATCTTACCATTCGCCTTATCGCTAAGCCAGTGCATCTTAGCGATCATTACCTTATTTTCCTTCCCTAGTGCCTCCGCCGCACCTAGCAGCACATTACCGGACGAGTCTAGCACCGCAGTCCTATTTGCGCCGTCGATCTTGACCGGGTATAGCTGGTCCCTGAGCACTCTGGCGCCCTTGACCACCGTCTTCTCCGCCACCTCTCTGATGAGCTGCACCTCTGCTTCGTCTCAGCACACCACCTTAATGCGGTCTGGATTCCTCGCATCCTTCACCATGGCTACGCACCGCCAGCTCTGTTGGCCTTCCCTGACCCGCACCTTCTCTTTGATCGCTTAACGAACTTCTCTAACTTGCGCCTTACCTCTATCTTCTTCGCTGACCCGCGAGGTATCGATAGTATAAAATAAGGTATCTGTGAATAAGGATAGGGTCGTGCGCATAGACGATAAGGTGTGGACGTTGCTTAGCTGGCTCGTAGGCGGGGTGCGGGCTATGTCGGCATATGATGGCTGTGGGCTCGTCTGAGCACTGCTAGAGATGTTATCGGCCATCGTGTTCAGCTGTTCCTTTACCTGTTTCATTTCCTCTTTTACTTGTTTTAACTCCTCTGCCGTCTAGGGTTATATTCTCCCTAGCTCCTTTATAACTTGCTCTCGCATCTGCTTAAGGTCTCTTACAGCTTATTTACGCATGGATTTGAGCTGCTTGTTCATCTGCTCTCGCATTATCCTCAGCTTCCTGGTGGCTTGTTCGTGCGAGCGTCTGAGCTCGTCTACCTTCTTTGATTCCTCGGCTGCCTGGGCCTTGATCGTCTGGATTTCCTGCTGGAGTTGGCGTATTATCTCTAGCTGCTCGCTTATCATCTGCGTCGCCGTTCGCTGGTTCTCTATTAACGCGTCCTAGAGCCTCTCTAGCATCTTCCTCTACTCACTCATCAAATGGGCCGACGTCTCCTAGAGCATCGCTCGGAATATGATCTGCATGGGCGACGCGTGGTTGCCCGTCGCGCCTTCCGTCGTCTGTGATTCTCTGGCCCCGTCAGCCAATCTAGTCTCGCCTTTATTTTCACTATCCCGCGGCTATTGTGACCCGTTCCTCTTCACTATATCACTCCTCTTCTTAATCGCCTGTAGCTATTCCTGTAGTTTTGTAGTTGGCTTCATAGGTCTTGAGGACCGATGCGCCACGGTGATTAAATCTCCACCTCGCACTAGGATCTCGTCGGTAGTCGCGTCTATTTCGCGGCACCGCGCCCACGGTCGCACCGGCCTCTACGTCCCTCAAAAGGATTGTAAAGATTGTAAAGATTGTAAAGATTGTAAAGATTGTAAAGATTGTAAAGATTGTAAAGATTGTAAAGATTGTAAAGATTGTAAAGATTGTAAAGATTGTAAAGATTGTAAAGATTGTAAAGATTGTAAAGATTGTAGCCTCCTGGTAGGGGGCTGAGTTGCTGCTACTAAATAACCCCGCTCAGTCAGGTCCATACAAGTCTTCCACAACCATTGGGACAGAGTCGCCCTCTGATTGTTGGGTTAGTGTTTGCCAGAAGGACTCTGTATCCCATACCCAATTATTATCGCCGCCTAGCAAGGGAACCCTACCGTCCTTGTCTGTCCAGTAAAAAGCACCGCATGAAGCGTCAAGTTTGCGCTCATGTCCCCAAGGGTTGGCATAGAAGTTGCCATCTTCCAGCTTCCACAATGGCAAGCCGCTGTAAAACAGCCGCAAGGTAGGGCGCACGCCGTAAAGCGACATCTTTGTTGCTCGCGTACCTTGGCACCGCCGGAAGCCCTGTACCAAGAATCGGTAGAGTGCATAGCGTAGGGGAGTGCCGTGGGGGTTATCGCGAGGGAACACCCAACAGTCCACCACACACTTTGCGTCTTTGATCTCATTGGGGCTCTTGGCTTGGAATTGGAGCAGCAGCAAGGTATAGCCATCGAAGCAAAAGATGTGTGGGCATTCGTACTTGTGTGCGTAGCTGTGTAAACTTTAGCACCAGCGGCCTCAAAGGAAAATAAAGCGATTAATACTGACCCTCTGAGTTCTCGAGAGAGAGATTCTTGTCCGCTGCCCAACGAACCTGCTTGCCATCGCGCCCTTTTCAGAGTGCCCCGTTTAAACTCGCCTATTACAAGGTTCGTCCGTCCCCCGCTAGCATCTATTGAGTATGATGTGTCGACAGTTTCGTCGGTGCGAGTGGAGGAAAGGGGCTTTTCGTGACCACAGTTCATCACCCCGGGGTATACCGCAAAGGCGCTTAGAACAACGTTGGAAACTTCGGCATTGAACCATGCGATTGCATCCTGTTCAGTGTCCATGCGCCAATTCCGGTAGTTGGGTGGGTATGCAGGCTCGTTGAGGCGGAGATTCTCGTCGTCATATTCTCCTAGAAAGGCGCGATCAAAAGTACCAACGACGCCAGGTCCTTGGGCCTGTGTGTGGACGACCAGATGTTTGATGGGATGATATGTCTTTGCCCATTGTTTGTTGCTACTTGACTCCATCAAGGTATCCTTTACAGGATTTGTTGAGTGCTCGTGGAGAAGAGCGCGGATAGTGGTAGGGACTGCTGCCATGGTGGCTTGTCTACTTCAAGCGTTGGACAATAAACGGATGCGTGATGATAGTTTTTTTTTGTTGTTGCTATGAAGGCAAGCCACCCTTGACGGAGCAGTTGCGCAAGTCAGAGAAGATGTTACGATAAAGCCGAGCAGGTCAAGAAAGTCGGCATATTTATTATTTACGATGGATATTGTTGTACCAGGACATCACCAGGCAGCAACAGGCAGTAGCACCACATGCGACGAGGCGTGCATAATAGGTAGTTAAGGTTGGCGTCTGGCACAAGGCTTCTTAGCCTATTATTACCGCTGCAGCACGGCCAGAGTGATTGGGGGCTTTTGATTGGTTTGTTCGTTTCATCTTGGTTGTCTATCTCCCCCACCTGGCCGTGGCTGCCTGGGGAGGACGTCGACATGTAGGGTGTGTTGGTTGGAGTAAGGCCCGGGTGGCCACGTGCCAGGGACCACAGTCACGTGCCTTCGCGCCCCTCTCATCTTGCCCCCTTTTCATGGGTTCGCGCCAGAACACTCGCCTCTCGTCCTTTGCATGCAACTCACGAGAATGCTGCCCTGGCATTCTGACATGTATGGAAAAATCAACCTCGAAGAATGCGATCTTCACCCTCGCCCTATCAAGGTCCGAACGCTCGCCTCCAACTCTCTGCTTGGATTCAGCTAACTGGACTTTGGCTGTAGTTCCGTATGGGGCTAAGTCTGGTCTCGGCCATTGGCACACCCCACAGCGATATCCACCGCAACGTGATGCATCTATCCATTGTGCGCGGCGTCCTGGAGCGCAAAGTCCGATCATTTCTTGGGCGATTTCCACGCCTCCAAGCCGCCATTGCTTGGGTATTCCCTGCCTTCGCTCTTCCAGATAATGTCGTCCTCAAAAAGGAGAAGCCCAACTGGGAAGAAGAGTATGACAATGAAAACGCCATGTATAAACGGCTACACAGTCTACAGGGGCGCACCATCCCGAGATTCTACGGTGAAGCGGTGTTTGAGGGTGCACGGGCGATGGTGCTGTCAAGGATCGAAGGTATTTATCCTTTCGAACAGCCGCTCCCGCCCCTCCCAGCCGACGACTTTATGAAACTAGGCGAAGAGGCCTTGAGCGAGATAAATGCCTTTGGTCTTTCCTACGATGATATCAAGTTGGATAATTTTCTTCTGGTGCAAGGACGGATTGTCATCGTGGATCTAGAATCTGTCTATGAACCAAATGTTGATGACGCACAGGTGCTCTTTGAATGCGAACGGATAGAACTAAGGACGTTGTACGATAGATACTTGAAGAATTATGACAAGCATTAACAGCTGGCCGCTAGGTACATGTTTGTCACGCGGTAGGTGCGGTCGGTCTCTCAACTATGGATGGGGGCTACCTCGTATTTTAGACTGCTGCCCTTCGGATGTACATAATGACACCTCTTCTTACTCGCTTTCGTAGTATTGATGTGCCAGGAGAGAACGGAGCGTTATGAAGATCTTTTGTTTAGGATTTTAGTCATCAGGCTCGGGTCGCACAACTGTAGAACCAATCAATTTTACCGAAATGTGAGAATAATGTCTATGAAATGCTGTCTAATGCTCTCTGGGGTACCTGATACTGTCCAAAATTTCCCACCATATATAAAATACTTCGAACACCCGTTAAGTTGCCAAGGCAAGGGACTTAACGGCTGAATATCCAGCCCGAAGGGTAAATACCATATACCTGCTATTAAACTCTTCTGGAGGAACCCCCTAGATCCCCCTTTCGACTGCGGCGGTAACCAGCTGTTAAAACCACTTCAAACCTGTAGTAAGGGAGTTGACTGATAGACATAGGGGTCCCTCTACCACTTCCTGTCAGGCCCAATCAACTATATACCGTATATCGAGTTCCCCTTTCCTTGTAGCTTATAGGAAAACGTCATTTAGTCAATGTACCGTGGTGGATACGGCGGATCGATCAGCTGCTGAGCCTGACGGCGTTGTTGGTCAGCAAGGCGCATCTTCATCCCTGCGTTGTAGTTAGCCATAATCGCAGTACGTAGGAAACGCAGGCGTATAAACCTTCCTATCTGATCCTTCGTTAGGCTCTGGCATTTGTGAACAGTGATAGCAAATGCCACGATCAGGGGAAACTGCGTGCGAGCGCAGGTCTCGTTGCCTACTAGGAAATCACGCGTGACTGGAAGGATGGGTATGATTTTCTTGCCCTCGTTAGTTGTTAGATACGGCGGTCCATCGTAGCTATCGAAATCCACCATAATAACGGCCGGAGGGTCTTCCCATGGTTTGGCGCCTTCATTCCAGGCGATATCGTATATAGTACCCTGGGCACCGTTAACTAGGCCAGCTGGCTGCCATAGATTAGTCGTGAGCATTACCCTGGCGCCCTTAGCAACAGGAAACTTGTTGGATAGATTGCCAGCATGGTCGCTTGGCGCCTGCCCCGCGCCTTTGCCCTGGTTCTTTGCCTCCACCTGTATTGCCGGGGCGTTGAGGTGCATCATATGCTCGTAATTGTATTCGTTGACGCGGGCCTTCGTAGAATACACCCGCATAGCGGCCCTGAATCTGTCAACCTCGCTCTGCGTTAGCTTGGCCTGTACCCGATTGCTAAGGAGGTCCCAGGAGGGTATAGATAACTTAACTTCACGCAGTTCTTGCAAGGCCTGACGGAACCGGGCCTGATCATCGCCAGTCTGGCGCTGTACCGTGGTCAGGAAGACGGTGCGGTCAAATAACCGGTCGGCCGCCTGTCCTCTCCTTTCCAACGAAGACAGGCTCGTGCTAGTCGAATACAGGGGCTTTTGCCGGACTGGTGGTAACTGGAAGAAATCGCCTACAAGCAAGACGCTCACACCACCAAAGAACTCGAGGCTACGCTGTGGAAAGGCCTGCCGCAGGCGGGAATCGAGCCGCCCCAGCTGCTCAAGACCTAGCATGCTCTTTTCATCGATAACGAGGTACTTGACGTGCCGTAGACGGGACTGAAGGGCGGCTGCGTCGGCTGGGCGAAGGTCGGTAAAAGCACCACCTACTGGGAGACGTAGCAACGAATGTATGGTGCTGCCCTATATCTGGTTACTCGCAACGCCTATTGGCGCTACGCGGCAAATAGGGCTAGGATTCGGTAGGGCAGCCGCCTGAAGATGGGAGGAAAGCACCTTGATAAGGAAGGACTTGCCTGTACCACTACCACCGTCAACGTGGAGAAGGATTTGAGCAGGATTTTGCGCCTGGAAGTGGCCCATGAAGGTGTCGTACACGAGCCGTTATTGTGGGCTAAGCTGGTCACGCCAGTGAGGGCCAAGAACCTCCACATCGTTGGCTATAGGGTGGCTAGCGATAAGGTCTTTCCAGTAGCTGTCTCGAAATTCCGGATAAGTGCCTACATGCCGTGTCTAGTCGTAATTGACGTCGATATCGCGGTGGCTAAGTAGGTTAAGACCTTCCTGGGTAAGGGGGTTATTAGGTAAAAGGGCGGCGAGATGGATCCAGTCTTCGTCATCAAATTCCTCCTCCACCGGCAGAGTCTCGTACTGATCCTCTTGAGGTTATAATCGAGCCTCTTTTGGCCGGCCGTAATGGTCATCACTATGACTATGGTGCTGCCAACAATAGGAGAAGGCCTTAGCGTAAGAACTAAAACCCTGGCCGTCAAATGTGAGGAGCTCATCAAGCCGGCGATATGGGTGGTTCAATATTAGCTTTACACGGCAGTAATCTGGCCACTGTTGACCTTCTGGATCAGCCTAATAGCGAGGAAAGTAGACCAATACACGAGGCCTGCCGTTAACGTTGCCTGGCTGCCATTGCTTCCATTTGGAAGGGTTCCTAGAGTAGAAATTCCAGTACTTAAGAAAAGAAACATACGTCAGGTCCTCTAGGGCTTCGGGGCGTTGACAGTACTTTTCGTAGACGTTGGGCGCCTCGTCAACCTCATCGGCGTCAATCCGCAGGAAGCGAGAATGCATATCAGGATTACGGCAATCAATTTGTAAGCAGGTTCGTGAACCCTCTTGTAGCGGCAGGCCGAGGAGCAGGTAGCTAACCTCCTGCTTCGAGTAGTCTCGCTCAGCGACTAGCTGATTTAGGAGCTTTAACGTGAAGGAAATCAGCGGGTTGTGGTCCTTAACCCGGGGCATCAGGGCCTTCCCAATCTAGGCAAAAGACTCACTCTTCTTCTCCGACTTAGAGCAGTATTTAGCTACGTAATCGATCACCTGCTGCAGGCTCATGCAGGGTGACATATCTGTATTGGCTAGCCACGCGACGGCAAGTAAACGGTTGTAGTGGTTCATCTGGCTATTGTTCCGCTCGCCCCTGAAGCTCCAGTGCTTAGAATGAGGAACCTATTCAAGGGAGGCTAGCAGGCGCTGCCCGTGAGGAAATCCAAAGCGGCACTCTACCTGCTTAGTATGCTTGCTGAGCTGCATGCAGTAGTTGCTGCAGCGATGGCGCTACACTCGGTTTACCACCATCGACAGGAACTAGACGGTAAGGGGACGTTCCAATAGATTACTAATCAAGGGATTCCCTTCCCCAGGTGCCTACACCCTCTGAGGCTCTGGGTTAACAGCGGATACGTGATATCCCCAGATTCGGGCAAATCGCTCCCGGGACTAGCTATCATCGGGATCCAAGTCCGGGTGGCCACTTAGCCAATATAGGCCATGGTAGTAACTAGAGCCCCTGCCCTACCACTCGTAGCGACCCCAAAAGTCTATTAGGTTAAACTTCTGCTTCAGGACAATAGTCCTAAAGAGCATATAGCGCTTATGGAAGTGATAGGCGGCAATGTAGGCGTTATCTCGCAGTAGTTGCCGGGACAGAGCCATCCGCGCCGCCTCAGGAGCCGCTTTCCACTCCTAGAATCGAGGCATGTGACGATATAGGGACTCCCAGTGGTAATCAGCCGCACTTACTGTGACGAAAAGGCCAGGCCTGCCTAGATTAAAGGCATATGCCTCCAATTCCTTCCTTTGCCTATACCAATATGGACGGGTGCCCCTGATTACGGCCGCTTAGCGCGTGATCGACTGGATCAGGGCCTGAGCTTCTGGCTCGTCAGGCTTAGCCATCGCTTCCTCTATGTCAGCGCGCGTAAGGGGCTAACGGCGGCGGGCTTCGTATTGCTTGACCGAGTAGTTGCTCCGCTTTCTGACCTGCGCACGTAATAGCGTATTGAGGGCGACGAAAGGCCACGTCTTATGCCGGGCAAAACGTCCGTCTTGCCATCTCATCGCATAGGCAAGGTAGTCCTAGTACGTAATGCTCCGTAGGCGAGGCTCCACGAAGTCGGCCTTACCGTCAGGGTAGAGGGTAGGGAACGCGAGCGTCATCAGCGGCTAGGAACGGTTGAATTCGTTGATAGGAGTCCTACGAATAGAAGGTAGTGGTATCTGGTGTTGAGTCTGCGCATTAGGCGGTATATACTCAAGATCGGCCATACGCTCGGGGTCAGGGGTGCCATAAAGGAATCGGGATTGCAGGGCGTTTAATTCGGTATCGGTAACCTGCAAATTCGGGATCGCCGATGCATCTACATCTACTGGATCCTCTTCTACATCCTCCTCAACCGGACCTTGGGGGGCCTCGCCGTCAGGTATATCAGCCACTTGGCTAGCAACGGAAGCAACTATGCTGCCGTCGAGAGGAAGCCGTTGCAAGCGATCCTGCCTCACAACGATATCGCGATAGCCCGGGTGGTGGCGCTGTAGGTAATGGAGCCAGGTCAACAGGCATGAGCGGCGTACCCGGAAATCGCGAGCAAACTGCTGCTGGAAGTGAGGGTCGCCCTCCATGTCAGGAGGCCGCAGGAGCACGATATCTAGCTCTTCAGGTAGGACCGGGAGCTCTTCAAATAGCCTACCAACATTGCGAAGGAAGTGGGCAACATGGCCGCGGTATTTATACTGAGAGCCACGTACCTGTAGGACCTTCACGTGTACGTGAACCCTAGCAATCAGCATCTCCTCAACCATCGTTAGGCTGGGTAGACTACCGGGGACTTCCCCGAAGTCAAGGCTATTGGCAGCGCTAAAGAAGTAGGGCTCATCGGGGGTTCTCTCCCTATCTCGACTGATGCAGCGGCTGCAAACTCCCAAGCTGTTTTTCTTCATATCGAACCAATGCTCCCGGCAGCGAATGCAACTATGCATCTTGTCGTCATTCAGGGCAGTATAGAACTCCCGCACAAGGGCCTGATCCTCCTCACTAAGGGTAGGCAAATCAAGGTCCCCTGTAAAAGGTGGATCAACTATCTGATCAAACTGTCGTTCTTGAAGCTGCGGCCGTGGCCGTCGGTTCACGATGCCTTGACGTGTATAGCGGCCGCGGCGATGACCCTGTGGCAGTAATGAAGCAGTGGTAGGGAATGATTCCTGTGGTACAGGCGTGCCTAGCACAATAGGAGCCGTTGGGGCGGTGTCACTAGGAATCGGCGTGCCCAGAACTACTCTTGGCGGGCTGGGGGTGGGAGGGATAGGGAGGACTCCTTCCACCACGCTTGAGGTAGAGGGGTCCAGCAGAGGTCTGGGCAGTCCCTGGAGGACGGGCGCCAGACCACGGAATACAGCAGGCGTTGCAGGGGGTTGTGAGCTATTAATGGATACAGGCGCTGGCGCATTTCGCCGTGGAGGCGTCAAGTGAGCCTGAGAATCGGTCCTCTTCGCCGTTCTGCGCGGCGACAGCCCTGAGACGATGTTCCGCATGGCGGCAACCGCGGCTCGAGATTCGGTCGCCCGTTCCTTTTGGCGCGCCCTGCAGCTACTACACTGTCCTGTAAACTTCGTAGGGTCCTTGACGCCTCGAAATTCGACTTCGGGCAGGTCTTGCTTGCAGGTACGGCAGTTCCGAACTGCCTGTGGTATGTCGTCCTCCATCTGGCCGCATGTACATCCACCTCTTACCCACCTAGACTTCTGAATATCACTTGGGCAGGGAGACTTCGCCCTGTGCAAGTGAGTTGTCCGACAGCCTAGAAGTCCAATACCGTGACAGATTCGATAGGGAGGTTGCTTTAAGGTGTTTAGATTAGGTCTGGATGATCAGAGAAACAGGCCACTGCACTGTTTGGCCGGAGGAAAGGCGACTGGGAATGTAGAGAGGTAGGTCGGCTACGGGGTGATATGTGAGCCTGACACCGTTAGCAACGTGATAGGTTTGGTAGACTTGATGGGAAAGGATGGTGTAAGCAAGAGGCACAGGACTTGTCCGGCCAGCATCGTGCTTAGAAACTCAACAATGATTGCATTGAAGGAACGAAGAACCCGAAAGCTCTTAGAGAGCTTGCCAAGCTACGGAGTACTCTGTAGCTAGTTACCTAGTCAACGCTCAGGGGTTCGTGACGAGGCATTCATGTAATGGCGTTATGAGCGTCGGCAGCCGACCAATTCCAGCACGAGTTGAGCACAGGCCATGCCAATTAGCCAATCAGAAAAGGTTTTATGTTTTTTTTTTCTGACTGAGTAACAGGAGAGGCAACCCGACCACGGGTTGCGCAAAGGCCTTGAGGAACGAAGATGGCTGTGGCAGTTTGCTCGGCAATTGAGATGAGATATGTTGGAAACGGAAAAAAGGCAAATGCGAATCTTGGTTTTGAGTGGTGTTAGCCATAAATATACACGCGGGGAGACCTGAACCCTCTCAGGGGTAATCCCGGCAGCGTCCTCGAGGTGGTGTAGGAAGTGAGGGGTCATGAAAATGCAAAAGAGTGAAAACGTCATGCAATGGAGACGCAATCTTGCATCTGCAGAATCATGCATCTAGCATACAAATGATGGAAAACATGCTCTGTAAGGTATGTATGGGAAAAGACGGAAGGCATCAAGATATATGGGCGATGCCGGGCCGTGGGCTATTATGGGGAAGGAGCATCAAAGGCCGGATTGGAAAATTCACAAGGTCTGCATGCCCAAGGATGGGTAATGTGGGCGAGGAGGGATATTAATAGTCGCCACTACTAGATAGACAACAGCTATCTCAGTCAATTTGTTGCTATATAAAGTGACTAATTGTTACTAGGGTAAGGGGATTTTTCCAATAGGTTCTTAGACAAGTTCCTGATATTTCTTTGGGGGATAACGGTTGCGATGTGGTCGGGGCGGATCAGGCAAGAACGCTGTGATTGAATCGGACGCAGGCGCATCTGGACGACAGGTAGTGGCAATATCTGCCTCCGATATATCAAGTTCATCTTGTGAGAAAACCGAAATCGCGGGGGATCCAACAGGCTCCTTGCTCTGAGAAGATAGAATGGTGCTAGAAGAGGCCGGGGACAGACGTCGTTTCTTCGTAGGGGTCTGGCCGCAGTTAGAGTTTGTTCGCTTGGCCGGTGGTATAGTCGGTTCGAGCGAAGCAGACGTGGGAGGAGTAGACGGGATAGGAGGAGATCGGTGAACTGTTGGTTTTGGTGGCGAGGCAAACATAGCTTTCGCATCCCCAAAGGCCATAGGGCCAGAGGACGGTTGCTTCGGTGGGGTAGAGAGTGATAGGGCTGCGGAAGCCGACTTGGACGTGGCCCTATCGAGAAAGGTCCAGGTATCTAGCACGACGATGAAAACGTAGTCGCGGTCAAAGCCGGGCGGGTACACCATGATATTGTGGTCGAGCAGGCCGACAACTTTGCCCGTGCAAGTGAAAAGCGCGTTGGTCTGGAACTGGGTGTCCTATCTCTCGACCATTTTCTTACACAGGGCTGCCCAAGGATTGGCGTGGATGGGGAAGATGACAAAGACCTGGAATGGATGGAAGCCTTTGAAGGGAGTCTTGTCGGGCTTTCCAGGAGCAATGAACGTAGAAAGTTGGACGAAGCCACAGCACTTCAACTGGACGCCGTCGAGTCCTGGAATAGACTCCTTTCGTAGCAATATGCGGCCGGAACCGACAACAGGGCCAGTGAACGCGACAACGGGAGGGACAGCGGGGAAGTGGTCTACGGAGGCAAAGTTTCGGGGGAGAATGCTTTAGCTCGAGTCAGGGCGGGAGGCCAAGGTCAGTTGTATGCAGCATGCTTACGGCTGGTAGCCCTGATCACGGATGATAAGAGCCGGAATGGTGTATTATATGATAGCGCCAGTATCTGACTCTGGACCATCTCGCTGTTCAATCTCCCAGGTCAAGGCGTACGGGTGAAGACGACCGTTCATGAAGAACCATTGCTCGGTCCATTCTGATGCAACGACTTGTTTATTGTAGATGGAAAGGTTGGTGCTGAAGAAGATGCAGGCGGAGGGGTTATCGGGGTCCGACCGAAGTTACGCATACTCGGGGGTCAGAATCCAGGGTGGGGCAGGTAGGAAGACCCTCGCCAATGCCTCTGCGTTGAGCCCATTAATGCGATGCTGGTCCTAATAGGCAAACTTAGACGGGCAGTCTGGCTAGACGAAAAGCATCACGGACATATCACTGCCCGCGTTTATCTGGCTCTCGAGAGGTTTGCGCGGGTTCGAGGGGCTATTAGGGAAGGGAGCGGGAGGAGGCATAATACACTGGAGCAGTGGCTATCGGAAACGAGCCAAGAATACCCGAGACGAACGTTGGAGGCAATAGGACGGTAGATACCGCGGTAGGGAACGGCAGAATAGGAAGTGAGAGAGGTGACGATGGCTTGGTTTCTATATGGATACAGGTAGACGCAGTAGTAGTTCTCGCGGGCCGCAGTATCTGGGGTGCGGGGTTCAGCAGATCAGAGCCCAGACAACGGTCCGGGAAAGCTTCAGGTTTCAAATAGATGAAGAATGCGGGGTTTAGATCATAAGCAAGGTCGATCTGGAAGCAGAGACGTCATCGAAAGTGATGTAAGTCAAATGTCAGAAATGAGATGTGACTATAGGGGATGGAGTAGTGTCTTTTTCTGTGAAGCTTGCGAATGGAGGCGAAGTGCCGACATGGAATCAGCCGCTATCGGGGTAGCAACGGTTTCAGCTTGAGTATGGCACCGACTTGAAGGATGGGAGTTGCGGCGGCACAAAGGGCAACGTCGGCAGTTGAGCAAGAGTCTGGGTTGTAGGCATACAGGAAGGGTTGTAGGTGGTTAAGGGGACTATTAACGGACCGCTCGGATACTGCAGGAAGCAATGCCGTATTAAGGAGCATAATCATTATCGTCGAGAAGCGAAATCGTGCAACTAAAGAGAGTCCGACGCGGAAGCCTCGTGATCTACCATCCGCCTGGAGTCATCGATGTCGAGAAGGCAGCAGCATGAAGCGGTTGGCCATGTGGGAGCCTGCTCGTTGTCAGCTACCGGAGGTTCCGCGCAGCATCAGCCACCGAGTCAGTTTCAAAGGCCCTCGTTGCCGAGAGAACGTGGTGCACCGGAGGCCGCGGATCCCGATCCTCCGCTCTTTCATGGACACATTTTGCCCAAGGAGAGGCGGGATGGAGATGATGAGCGGCGCGGTAGGGCGGCGGTTGGCGATCCGCCGCTTTTTTCTCGGAATGAGGCACCCACGGTCCGGATTATCCAGCCCAATCAATCAGTATCTGAAGACATTAGACGAAGCGAGCTAGCAGCAGCAATTGCACGGGTTTTGCCCAAGAGACGTCGAGGACGGTATCGGCGGCCGAAAGCAAGACCAGACACCAGCCGAGACGAGCCTCCGAGGAAACAAATCCGAGCTAGAACCCGAAAGCAGAGAAGACAAGAGTTACAGGCCGAAGACCTGGCGAGCGTTCTGCGCTTCTTGGAGGACGAATTCGCTGTGAAGGAGAGTCTTTCCAACAAGCAGGCGTGGTGTACGCCGATACCACATGAGAGAAAGGTGTCGACCGTCCGAGCCTTCTACAAGGAGTTCCACGATGTGGACACTTTGCCAATACGGACTTGTATGCTATGCTATCGTAAGCGCACGAAAAAGGAGTTGAGAGAGGTGATATGGGACTAATGGATGTCGAGCTGCGTCAAGAAGGACAACCGTTCGCCATTTTCATGTCGGAGCTACTTTCCCGTGGGCGAGACCTTCTCGGCATATGCCGAGTGCGCTCGTTGCTTGAGGCGGGGTATTCTGTCGCCTGCGGCCTAGCTTCACAGACGTATTGGGTGTGAACATATGTTTCCCGAGGAGCTGAAGGGCCTCACGCCGGTTGAGGAGAAGCTGATCGCGCTGAACTCATGTTACGGGTTCGTCACAAGGTACAGCATTGCGAGTAGCCAGAAGCAGAGTGCCCGGTATCCGAAGCACATTAAGGGCCATATCACGGTGTTCCCCAACAATGTGCAGGAGCTGGCCACAAAAGTGCTTCCCCACCCGCTCGTCCAAGTGATGGAAGAGATCCATGTCTCGTGGCAGGGTGCGGAGAAGCTAGCACCAAGCGACCTGTCAGGTTTATTGTCGGTGAGGCGACGAGTCGTTGAGAGGGCGCTCGTCTGGCTGAAGAAGAACAACCCGCATTACGCCGAGATCGAGATTGACGCGGCGGAGATGGAGAGCTAGGGCGCGCCGCCGTATGGGGTGCCGCCGCTGGTGTACGATCGCATGGAACGGAATGAGCTAACGGCATGGGAAAAAACGCGAACGGCGCAAGTTGTTCCGCTAATGGAGCGTGGCATGGACGACGAGGGATCGTTGGAGATCGAGGAGATCCTTGCTCGTCTTAACCGAGGAGAAGATATACCTAGTGGCGAGGCCTAAGGGCCGGGGCTGACCGAAGACGAAGGTGGCTACCGGAGCGAGGCCGAGTCTGGTCAATTGGGAAAATCGATCAATGAAGTCACTTTATCGGGTATGTTTGCTCTGGACGGGCCGCCAGATGTACCCGATGTGGAGAAGCTCTTGTTTGCCTGCAATGCCGTGAACGGGGATACGGTTGTCGGGGGAGGCAAAGCGGGCCCGATAACACGAGTGGAATCGACGGAGACACGGACAGGGCCCGCCGACGGACGTGAGCCATATATTCACGTTTCTCGGGGCGACGAATTCGCCGACACATTCGATGCCTCGTTCTTCGCGAAGACGTTTCCCACGCTACTGCCGTTTGGGGTCGGGGGGCCACGGTTGGTGGAAGAAGCCGCCCTAAGCGTGGGAAGAGGTGTCGATATGGGCGGAGCAGAGGCGGCGGCACAAGACCTCGTCTCGTCCCGTAACATGAGTCTGCGAACGTGGGCCGACATCACGCTCCAGCGCCATGGTGGCCGATTTGCGACGCATCACATCTTTGCATTCCTTGTATTCAACATGAGTGTACGGTCGAGGAACCGTCGCGTCAGCATGTTGAGCGTAAGGAGGAAAGATTTCCGCAAGATAGAGCGCATTGTACGGTCGCTCTCGGCAGACAGGTTAGCAGCGGCAAGGATCGAGTTGGAGAACTCAGGAAAAACGAGTGACGAGGGTGTGAAGGAGCTTTTGAGAAGTCTTTCCTTGTACGGCTTCCGCCAGCCTATGTCCAGAGAAAATCGCTTGAGTATGCGGCGGAAGATACAGTCGCTTGTTCTTCGGCATGGCGTGCCGGCGATTTGGTTCACGCTCAATCCAAATGATATTACGAACCCGGTAAAGCTGCGACTTGCAGCATACCGCACCAGCGAGCCTGACGTGGCCGAGGCTTTCCTGAAGAGCCTTGGCATGTCGTACAAACGCCTGCGGCTGGCCATTTCCGACCCCATGAGCTCGGCCATCTTCTTCCACCGGGAGATGACGTTGTTCTTTGAGCATTATGTCAAAGTGGGAGAGGAGTCGGTATTCGGGCGCATCATCGACTATTTTGGTGCTGTCGAGACCAACGAACGAGGGGCGCTTCATGTCCACGGTTTGCTTTGGTTGCATGGGAACACGCACTTGAGTTCGATGATTGCCGATATCGACGGCGAAGACCAAGCAACGTACCGTGAACGTATCATCCAATACATAGATAGTGTCTTCTCCGAGGTACAGTATGGCCCTAACTAGGCATGTCATTGAAGAAGATGCAGCGGTCGAGGCGGGGGCCAAAGCTGACATACCTATGAGGTAGGACTTGGACCAGGAAGGGTATTGCACCCTCCAAGCGGAACGGTCGGTGGCATCGGACATTTCCTCCCTGCTTGACAACAGGGAGCAATTTTCGGCCGCATTTGACGAGGAAGCGAATTTCTGTGCCGGTGCGACACAGATCCATACTCATAGCCCAACTTGTGTCAAGTACTCCTTGAGCAGGGGCAGAGGAGGAGGAAAGAAGCGTAGCATTTGTCGATTCCAGGCGCCATGGAGACTAGTCGAAAGGACTGCCTTCACGGCAGACGGCGTGTTGCAAATTCGAAGGAGGCATAGCATGGTGAATCGGTGGAACAAGGCCATGGCCGTGGGGCTTCGCCACAACCACGACATCTCCTTCATAGCGACGCAGCGGAAGACCATGGCCCTCATTTATTATGTCACAAATTACGCGACGAAAGTGGAGGATCCGGTGTGGAAGCGTGTGGCCGCCGCGGCAGAGCTCTTGGCCGCATCAACGGGTGAAGGGACGGCCAACCGATGGGGGAACGGGGGAGAAGGTGCTACCGATGACGCCGTCAAGGGGAACAGGACGCGGCAGTTCTTGATGAGGGTGGCGAACCGCATATTCACGGAGCGATCTCTATCGCAGGTCGAAGTCATCGCCTACCTTCTGGGATACCCGACCGAGTTCACCAACAGCAGCGATTGGACGTTCCTAAATGTCTCTCTGCTCTACTGGCACGTCTTCCGACGATGGCGACACCTCCGGAAAGAGAGCGGGGCAGAGGCTGCAGACGATTCTGTGGACGAGTCGATAGTTGTGGAAGAAGCAGGTGAGAGGATTAGCTATGCTGAGGCATACCAGCACCGGGGAGACGTTTTGCGAAGCCTGTGTCTATATGACTACGTGTCGCTCGTCAGACTCAAACGAGTCAGTAAAGATGAGATCGCTGCCGCTTGGGGAGAGGTGCCATTCGAGAGCGAGTGGGAGTCTGGAAGAGGCTGGTTGCAGGTGCTGAGACGGCCGGGAAAGCACGCTAGCGTCTGCCTTGATGGCTACCTGAGCAAGGATTTCGACCAGGATGACGAAGAGTCGTGCTATCGAAGGTGGGTCTGCCCGCCGCCGACAGAGTGTTAAAAGGTCGTGTTGAAGAGGCTAACCTCCATGCTGAAGAGCAGCCGTCCAGCACCTTGCGCTATTTGTGCCATGGGAGTCTTTTCTGTGCCGAGAAACGGACGAGATCAACAGCATTTGGGCGCGGGCTCGAGAGGCACTTCCTCCGAGAATATCATGCCTCGTCGATAATGTGCAACTACTCCGACGGTCGGCCGAAGACGCGAAACGCGACGCCAGGCAATGGGCAGCCTCAGCCGGTGACGCTGACTTCACGGCCGCACGTGCCGGTGAGGAAGGAGAAGGCGAGGCTGGTGGTGAAGAGGTCGCATCGGTTTACCAGTCTGACAGCATCGGTGACGCAACGCGTCTGATTGACGTCGTGAGAAGTGCAGTGGGCGCCAACCAAATCACTGCCGGCTCGCCGGAGCTCATAGCAACAATGGAGCAGCTGTGTCGCTTCCAGCAGTCAGCACTGAGCTCGACCGCTGAGCTCCAGGCCACCGTAATGCCCGAACGGGGAGAAAGACGGATAAGCATACCAGAAGGGAGATTTTCGGGGACCGTTATACCACCGCAGGATCAGGTCAAGGCCATCAAGTCGCAGCAGATCCGTGCCTCCAGAGAGAGGGAGCGAATGATCCAGGGCATACAAAATATGGCCGCGGCGGATAAAACTGACCACAGTGCGGCGGTGCGAAGTGTGCTCACTGGTTTCGGAGAGGACGACGTCCAAATGACGGCAGTCGACTTGGAAGAGACGGCAGGCGAGGCAGGAGAGGCAGGTCCGCGCATGGAAGTCGACTTTGGTGCATCAACGTCCTTCCTTGAGGCAGGTAAGGCTGTGGCAGCGCGGTTCACATTGAACAAGAGGCAGACAATCGCCTTCCTGATCATATGCCGCCAGCTCGATTCGATACAATGTAGCGGCAGAGACGATGTCGGTCAGCTCTGCGAATTTGTTGGAGGAGAAGGTGGAACCGGCAAGTCACGAGTCATCGAAGCACTCGTCGAGCTCTTCGCATCAAAAGGTATTTCGAACCGTCTGCTGATAACGGCGACGTCGGGGACTGCCGCAGCGCAGATCAACGGCATCACGATCCACTCCGCCTGCGGGTTCACCAAGGACCAAGCGGCGGGGGGCGCGAACACGGCCAAGGATCTCGACGGGGTGCGACTGCCAAAACAGGCCGAACGATTTGTCCATGGCCAGTCTCGTATGGCCTGGCAGGAGAAAGACGTGCTAGTGATCGACGAGGTGAGCATGCTGGGAGCGCGGACGCTACACGCGGCGAACGAGCAGCTCTGCCGGCTCCGCGGATCGCAGCAGGACTTTGGCGGGATCCCCATCGTCCTCTTCTGCGGAGACTTCCACTAGTTCCGTCCGGTACAAGAGAGGTCGATCCTGCTGCCGAGCGTGGCCGTCTCGTGGGACGAAGACAACTCGTTCAAAGCCGAGCAGCGGCACCAGCATGACAAGGCGCATGAGGAATTGCAGAGACTGCTAAAGCGGATCCGATCGGGCGTGCAGGACCGCACCGATTTGGACCTCCTCAACTCGAGATGCTACCGGGAAGGCAGGCGGATCCCGTGGGAAACAGGCATCACCGTGGTGACGCCGCTGAACAGGAATCGGTGGAACCTGAACATGGAGGCAACCTTGTCGTTCCAGATCCAGCAGCGGTCGATGATGCGCATCTTCATATCCGAGCATAAGTGGAAGGACGGTCTGCCGACCGAGGAAGCAGCCACCATGATGCTGAACCAGGGCGACGACAGCACGGTACCAGTACCAGGCGTCCTCATGTTCGTGCCAGGGATGCCCGTCGTCGTGAACCACAATACCCATCAGGGCTTGAAGCTTGTCAATGGGGCCAGTTACACGGCGCTTGACGTCATCCTCGACAAGGCGCACCCGGGCCATCGGATCTCGGCCGATACGATGGTCCACTTCGGGCCGCCGGCGGGGATAATATTGGCGTCGGAGGCGACAAAGAACTTCCACTTCGTCGGAATGCCGCCCGGCACGGTCCTGTTGATACCCATGAGCGTCAGCATCCAATGCCAGCGAAAGCGGCCGTGGCAGCAGAACGACGTCAGTCGGAAAGGTTTGCCTTGTACGGCGGCCTTCGCCTGCACAGACTACAAGGTGCAGAGCAGAACGCTGGAGCGCGTAGCGCTGGAGCTGCGGGGGATGAGGACGACAAATGTCGACGGACACATAGTCCCCGCGCAATGCGATCCGTACAGCCTGTACGTGCAGCTATCGCGGTGCCGGTCGCTGGACGGCATCATGCTCATCTCCAAGGTGCGGGAACGAGATCTGGTGGGCAACCGGGTTCCCCACGAGATGACCGTGGCAGAGGCCAGACTGGAGGAATTGAGCAACAAGACTGTTCAGGAGGCTCTGCGGTGGCTGGATGACGATTTTCCCCCGTCACGCGACGACCAAACGGAACCAATGAGAGGCGAGGAAACCGACCAATGAGAGGGGTTCTTTTGGCATCGGAGGCGGGGCATAGACCTTTCGTTCCTCAAGGCACAGGGGAAGGCGCACGTCCGCCGGGGGAAGGTTGGAAGCTGGGCGAGGTGGGCAAGTTGGCGGCTCCCTTGCGCTGAGTAGCCTTTCGGTACGAAGCTTGCAATAAAAGCCTGTATGCCTGTTTTACTAGTGGGTTGCTGCACGTATTGAGAAGAGGGCGCGGTTTTAAGTGGTCGGCTCTGGTGGGTGGATGAAGAGATTTGGCCAATAGGGCGTGTGTGTGTGTTACCTTTGTTTTGCGTAGCCAATAAGACGTATGCAGCAGGCTTTGAGGAGAAGGCACCATTTTGAGTGGCACGATTTGAAGAGCTTAATGCGGAACTAAGAGACCTAGCCAATAGGGTGAGGGTGAATAATTGAGACAGTAGACCAAGGGACTGAGACTAGCAGAGATCAATCAGTTGCAATACCAAAGAGGGAAAATTGTCAATTTGAGTATAAGAAACTGCCATGCCAAGATGTCCTGGTGTTGAGACAATCGGACTTTTATCACTCGCACTGGTATTGAAACCGCACGCTTATTTCCCCCACATATCAACCTATAAGTTTTTCAAATCCAATAAAACAGCCCAAAATACCACACTATCACTATACTATGCTACTTAAAGTCTCTTTGTCGGATGCCTCTTGTTCCTGCCACCTGGTTCGGTAGTTGATGACCTCATATTAGGACGAACGGAGGATCGGAGTGTGGCAGATATGTTAGGTGATCGAGAGTCCTCGTTTTCCTTCGCTTCACCTTCTTCATGGTTATCGTTTTCATCAGAGTCTACGGATGTTAAAGGGGAGACCGGCGACCCTGCAATGATTAGAGATGTTGCGGTAGTTACAGTAGACCCCCTGAGTCTCTTGGGGGCGGGGTCGTTCGAACTTGACTGAGACGATGGAGATGCGGAGATTGCGGGCCTTTTGTTCTGAGATGGAGTAACGGGTTGTTGGGATGGACCTCCCTGCGGCGGTTGTGATGATTGTGACCGTGACTGTTGCACCTGTGAAGATTTCTTTGAGGGAGACTTGAACATAGACCTCGCTGCTGCGAAGCCGCCAGCTTAGGATGGGCCAGGTTCGGTTTTAGAGGGGGGGACTGTGTTAGCGGCAGGTGCAGGTGGTGTGCTCTTGTCCGGAAACGTCCAAGAGTCGGGAACGACAATGAAAACATAGTCCTTCTCATCAACTGTAGGGGCAGCCACCATAAGACTATGGTCAAGCAGGCCAACAATCTTGCCGACGCAGTTGAAGGGAACACCTGGAACAAACTGCGTATCTTTCCTATCTGCCATCTTCTTGCAGAGGAGAGAGAATAGCAAAGCATGAATAGGAAAGAGAATAAAAACTTGAAAGGGGTGGAAGCCTTTGAAAGGGCTCTTTGATGGCTGACCCGGCGTGATGTAGGTACAGCACTAGATAAATGCACAGCATCTCAGCTGCGCATCATCCAACAGCGGGACAGAGTCCTTGATCAAGTGGGTTTGACCTGTCCCGAGAACCTGCCCGGTCAAGGAAACAACCGGTTGGATAAGTGGAAAGCCCTCACCATTGCAAAGAGTTCGTGGGTCAATGCTAATAGTTACATTAGTGGCAAGCGCGATAGTCGAACTCGAGCTAAGGGGAAATGATAAGTCTGCTTACGCTTAGTATCCAAAGTCGCGTATGAGAACAACTGGAACCTTGTACACTTCGCCGTCACCATCTTCATCGCTGAAAACATCAGGCTCCCGTAGGACCCACTCCAGTGAGTAGGGGTGTACTTTGCCAGTGAAATGGAACCACTGATTCTGCCACTCCGAATCAACAATCTGCTGGTTATAGACAGAGAGGTTGAGACTAAAGTAGATCGGCAGTGGATCAGGGGATCGGTGCCCTTCGGGACGCAGCACAGAATATTCAGGCAGTGTCATATAGGGAGGGGGTGGAAGAAAAACCCTGCCAAGAGCTTCAACATTAAGGCTCTTTATAAGTTGTTCATCTGATGTAGGAAACCGCGTTGGGGTATCTGGCTGACCAAAAAAGAACATGGTCATATCACTACCAAGGTTTTTCGGAGAGTCATGAGGCATGCGCGGAGGGGGATGGCCGCTAAGAGTGGAATTTGAGGTAAAATTTGAGGTAGAAGTAGATGAAGACATGATATATTGAACTAGCAAATGTTTCGGGGAGAATAAGGGGGATAGCAGTTAAGATTACGACTTTGTAAGAGAGAGAGAGAGGGAGAGAGAGAGAGAGGGAGAGAGAGAGAGAGGGAGAGAGAGAGAGAGGGAGAGAGAGAGAGAGGGAGAGAGAGAGAGAGGGAGAGAGAGAGAGAGGGAGAGAGAGAGAGAGGGAGAGAGAGAGAGAGGGAGAGAGAGAGAGAGGGAGAGAGAGAGAGAGAGAGTAATTGTAAGATAAGCCTGTAAGATTGGCATGCAAATGTACAGAACAAAGAAGAAACACATCTGATATTTATAATCGATTAAATGATATAGTATATACAATGCGAAGATTGATACCACTTGGTAAAGATACTGTATTTCATTGCGCAGAGAGGATGTGGCATCGCCGATCTCCATCCAGCATTTTCAGCCAAGAGCTACTATCCCTGCCGATGTGGATACTCGCACAATTGAATTGATCAATTAACGTAGATGGTGAACAGATTTGCTTTTTCCACGAGTACAAAGGATTGGCCAAAACGTCAGCACATGTTGCCGATCGTCGTAAAGCATGTTAAGTTAAGAGCCTTGATCCCTGCCAAGTGGATACTTGCACAGCGGAAGTGATCAATCAACGTAGCTATTGAACAGAATTGTTTCTTCCACGATTACGAAGAATTGACTAAGATATTAACGCGTGGGGGAAAAAAAAACAAGTATGAGAGCTGAGCACTATATGATAGGTAGATGGATTAACGTGGTGTGTATTATGTCAATCACATGAGTGTCCATCGCTGTTACCATTACAACGAAAGAGGGTGAAGGGATATTTTGATCTATTGGTATATCAATACTGCAGCGACCATATGAATAAGAGGGTGGGGGAGTATGATGCCGTATTGGTATACCGGTGCAATGGCATTCCGACTAGATAATGGGATGAATAATCAAGCCCGATGTTATTAATGTTAGAAGAATAAGAGGGCGTAGGAGTATGATGCTCTACTGGTATACCGGTGTTATGATGCTCCGACCAGATAATGGGATGAATAATGGGATGAATAATCAAGCGTGATGTTATCAATGTTAGAAGAATAAGAGGGTGGAGGAATATGATGCTCTATTGGTATACCGGCGTGATGATGCTCCGAGTGGATGACGGGATGAATAATCCAGTCCGATATTGGGATGAAATTGGAAGAGTAAAGAAGACCATGGTGGGATACACCTATCGTTTATTGGTAAGTGGGTCAAGACAATGACGATAGACGATATTATCATATAGTTTGATAGGTATAATAGAGATAAAGATGACGTGGGAGTATCGGGATAGAATCGGATCAAGAGCAGAGTAGGACAGGTTGGTGTGGGAGAATTGAACTCTGCCCCAGAATGTACCGATCAGAAAACAGCATTGTAAATGGCATCAGCCTTTATCGTTCATATTTATAATGCTATTTGGCTTAATACACACGATTACACACCCTAAGAATACACTACATACACTATCTTGTAATGGATTCGTCATTATCTGCTCTATTTGAAAGGTTGCGTGGTCGAACGCCTGGCAGCACACTCAGCAGTCTCGGGCTGAAGACGTACAATGATATCTTTGGTGCGGGAAACTCGAATACAAACGCAACACCAAGAGAATCACATTCTACTGTCCAACCAAGCACACCCGGTCGTATTCCGGGTGTCCAGCTTGTGGGCCCGACATTAAGGAGGTCGCTCCCTACTGTCCAACCGAGTACACTTGGTGATATTCCAGAACCCGTACCTATAGACCCGGCACTAGAGGGACCACAGTCAACGGGCCAACCAAACAAACCAGGTAATCGCCAACAATACCAATCAAGTGTAAATCAAATCGACAATGCCAATGCGCAAACACAGGCGGCAGGAAACTGGATGAGCCGGCCACCACCAGGGAGCACGACGCCGACACAAGTGCCTCCAAGAAAAAGAGGCAGACCGCGAGGTTCTCGTGCACCAAGGCGGAGAGATATTCGAGAAGGAAATCGGGTGCAGGAGCAACAGCCAAGTGCATACCAAGTCGACACCATCAATACTCAAATACAGGGACCTGAAAGCTGGATGAGTCGACCGCCGCCAAGGAGTAAGACGCCAATACAGGCGCCTCCAAGATCAAGAGGCAAACCGCGAACTTCTCGTGCATCAAGACGGAAAGATGCCCGGGAAAGAAACTGGCGGCAAAGGAGACAAACCCAACAGCAAAGACCACTGGTTGCCGTTGGGACCCCACCAGCCAGTTCCCAGTTGCCATCTAATGCTCCACAGCAACTAAAACCTGTACCAGTGCAACGGCTTATAGCACCAAACCCCACACAAGCTGCAGAAATAAGCATCGCGAGCCAATATCACCGGCACAATGCACTAGGCATGCAGCAATATATGAGCATTCCAAGCTTTTCAGATGCGGATCAACATGGCCAACAAGAACTTGGCGCCAAGCGTAAGGCTGACCAACACGGACAAGAACAAAACAAAAGGCAAAATCGAACACAGGTTGAGAATAGCAACCTTAAAGAGCAAACCCAGGCATTCAAGAGAGCTATTAAGTATCTGGAAGATGAATTTACAGAGAAGGAGAGAATATCCTACACAAAGAATTGGCGTAAGCCGGTCCCCCGTGAGAGGAATATATCCACAGTCATGGACTTTTATCAAGCATTTCACAACATAGACACCCTACCCATACACACATGCATGATATGCTATCAGAAGATCAGCACCATGGAGATAAAAGAGCTTAGCTGGGAAGAGTGGACGAATAGCGCAGCGATGAATAGTTGCCGCACGTATTCATGTCCCGATTGCTTCCCTATTGGCAAGGCTATACCGAGCTGCGAAAACTGTGCAATGAAGACCCGCGAATGCAATATGGCGCGGGGCGGGAACTTGCATCAAGCACTTAGTTGCGAGCACATGTACCCGGATGCTCTCAGAGACTTGACATTGGTTAAGGAGAAGCTAATCGCACTCAACACCCATTTCGGTTTCGTTACAAGAATCAAAGTCACAAAAAGCACCAAACAGAGTACGGCATATACACGGCATGTGAAGGGTCATATAACTGTGTTTCCAAACAATGTTCAAGACTTGGTTACCACAGTACTACCACATCCGCTTCTACAATCTTTGGAGGACATCCATATATCCTGGCATGGGCCGCAGAGACCAGCGCCCAGCGATCTATCCAAGTTGCTCTCAGTCCGGCGAGGAGCTGTGGAACGGGCGTTGCTTTGGCTAAAAGAATTTAACCCCCACTATCGGCACATCGAAATCGACAAAGCCGAGTTGGATAGTTGGGGAGAGCCGGCGCATGGGGTTCCGAGCCAGATCTATGACAGGATAGAGAGAGATGAACCATCGGCATGGGAAGAAACGCGAACAGCGCACATTGTGCCCCCGGCAGAACGTGGAATGGATGACACTGGGCCCCAGTCACTCGAACAGATTGTGGACGGGCTAGGCAGAGCGTATAATGAGAATGATGTAAGTTACGACGAGGATCAGCAGCTCTATGACGAGCGCAGTCAGGAGGAGCTCGAGTATAAGGGCATGGGAAGCTTTCTTGATGAGATCCTTGCATCTGGTATGTTTCCGCTGGATACAGCACCGCGAGCAACAGATGCCGATAAACTGCAATTTGCCATTGATACAATCAGAGGTGGACAGACAAATGCGCAGGCACAGCCGCCCAGCCCGCCGGCTGGGAGCGCGCAGGATTCGCACCTTCAGCCATACATTCACATTTCAAGAGGCAACGAGTTTGCAGATATCAATGATCTCTGGCATCTTACAAAAGCATTTCCAACACTATTCCCGTTCGGTTTTGGTGGGCCACGGTGCAAGGAAGAGATGGAATCGGAGCTGTGGAAGAACAGTGTCCAGCTCACAGGGCATATCCGTAATAGAGACGGTATTGGAGAGGGTGGAGAGGATGCGATTTCGTCAACACGTAATCTCGGACTTCGCGCATGGATAAAGAAAGTGCTGCAACGACATGGTGGTCGCTTTGCCAATCATCCGGCGTTTTCATTCCTAGTCTTCAACATAGAGGTTCGGTCTAGGAATAGAGGAGTAAGTATGGTGAGCGTGCGACGGACCGATTTTCCTGAGGTTGAGAGGATCATTCAGTCGTTAACACTAGAGAGACTGGCGGAAGTGCAAAAGGAGTTAGAGGCTGGCGGGAGCACCCGAGATGAAGATATCAAAAAGCTCCTGCGACACATTTCATACTTTGGCTACAAACAGGCCATGTCGCAGGAGTCGCGGCTAGCCATGCGCAGAAAGATCAAAGCGCTCATCATCAGATACGGTATACCGGCGATTTGGTTTACGCTGAATCCTAATGACATTACGAACCCGGTAAAACTACGTCTAGCGGCATACCGAAAGGAGGACAAGGCTGCCGCGGAAGCAACCCTGCTTCGGGCCCTTCAGGATAGGTATGAGAGAGTGAAGCTGGCGATAACTGACCCCATAAGCTCTGCCATCTTCTTCCACCGCGAAGTAGAGATGTTCTTTGAGCATTACGTCAAGGTTAGGGAGGAATCTGTGTTTGGTCAGATTGGACAGTATTTCGCCGCCGTCGAGACCAACGAACGCGGTGCTCTTCATGTCCATGGTTTGCTATGGCTCGAGGGGAACTTAGAGCTCGGAAACTTCATCGTTGCTCATGGAAACGGGGAGGATGATGAGAGTTCGGCGATGGAACGGGAAGGAATCCTGAAATATGTCGATTCTGTCTTTACCGAGGTATGTGCATCCATGTATCCACGTAACCAAAAGCCAACGTAGGTCGGAAGCTAAACTATTATCTAGGATCTGGACGAATCTGCTGCCTTTAGCGAGGGGAGCAAGACTAGGGTGGTTTACGACAACATATCCTACCTGATGACCGATGCAGGGCGCTTCTCTGAACAGTTTGACGATGAAGCCCACTTTTGCGCAGGCAGGCTCCAGATGCACGTCCATACCGCAACTTGTGTCAAATACTCTCACAACAAGGAGGGGGACAAAAAGCCTACATGTCGATTCCATGCGCCTTGGAAGCTCTTTACAAACAGCGAATTCGGCGCGGATGGTATACTTCGGCTCCAACGCTCACATCCCATGATCAACCGATGGAACAAGGCAATGGCGGTTGGGTTGCGGCACAATCACGACATCTCCTTCATCGGAACCCAAAGCAAGACAATGGCGCTGATATACTACTTGACAAACTACGCCACAAAAATCGAAGATCCGATCTGGAAGAGAGTGGCCATAGCAGCAGAGCTCTTTCCGACTATCAGCACAACCAGCGCCGTGGGGCTAGGTGCAACAACTACAAACTACGAAGCCAAGGCAAATATAAACCGCCAGTATCTGATGAGAATCGCAAACAGAATATTCACCGAGCGACCATTATCGCAGGTGGAGGTGATTGCGCACTTTCTGGATTACCCAAGTGAGTTCTCGAGTACCAAACAATGGTCATATGTGAATATGACAACGATATAACGTACATGATAAGCGAGTGTTACAAACAAGCGAGTGTTACAAAAATCCCTCAACCTACAACACGTCCGCTTCGTGGATTGATTCTTAACCACCCAATATGCCTGAGTTTAATAATGAAGCTAATATCATCCTCGCCCTTCGCGCCATTCAAAATGACCGAAAATTATCTCTCCGACGCGCCGCAAAGATCTATAAAGTTGATCCTATGAGATTATGGCGTCGCCACAAGGGCATACAGTCTCGACATGATACTACCCCCAAATCACGGAAACTATCTGATCTAGAGGAACAGACCATAGTTCAGTTCATTCTTGACTTGGATTCGCGAGGATTTCCCCCGCGACTGCGCGGTGTGGAAGAAATGGCCAACCGACTGCTCGCCGACCGGAACGCATCACCCGTCGGCAAGCGCTGGGCTTCCAACTTCGTCAAGCGACACGATGAGCTCAAGACGCGTTTCTTTCGTAGATACGACTACCAGAGGGCCAAATGCGAAGATCCAGCTGCGATTCGAAAATGGTTCAAGCTCGTGGAGAACACAATCGCCAAATACGGTATCGACCTGGCTGATATCTACAACTTTGACGAGGTTGGCTTTATGATGGGCGTTATTGCAAGCGGAATAGTCGTCACAGGCTCCGAAAGACGTGAAAAGCCGAAATCAGTACAGCCTGGAAACCGGGAATGGATTACCGTCATCCAGGCGATCAATGCGGAAGGCCGAGCGATCCCGCCGTTCATCATTGGTACGGGCCAATATCACCTCGCCAACTGGTACCGGGATAGCAACCTTCCGGATGACTGGGTTATTGCAACATCTCCCAATGGCTGGACCGATAATGAGCTGGGTCTTGAATGGCTGAAGCACTTTGACCGGTGTACAAAGACGCGATCGGTCGGTCGTTATCGTCTTCTGATCCTCGATGGCCACGAAAGTCACCATTCTCTCGAGTTTGAGAAATATTGCCAGGCGAACAAGATTGTTACACTCTGTATGCCGCCTCATTCGTCTCACCTGCTTCAGCCCCTTGATGTCGGGTACTTTAGCCTACTCAAGAAGGCATATGGTCGAGAAATCGAGCATCTGATCCGATGCTCGATAACCCACGTTTCCAAGACCGAGTTCTTTGCCGCCTTTTACGCCGCATTCCAGGCCACTATGACGGAGAAAGCCATCAAGGCGGCTTTTAGAGGGGCCAGACTTGTTCCACTTGACGCGGAAAGCGTGATTTCGAAGCTTGATGTGCAGCTACGGACCCCGACGCCGGTTGAGGAGGAGGCCGGCCCCCCTACCACATAGGTTTCAAAGACGCCAAAGACGGTCCTTGAGGCCGAATCTCAGTCTGAATACCTCGATAGACGAATCAGAAGGCATAAAAGTAGCTCTCCAGAGTCGATCCTAGGAGCTCTCAAGTCACTTGCTAAGGGAACAAAGGCAATGATGCATGAGAATGCCTTATTGAGGGCAGAGAACCGCGACCTTCGACAGGCAAATGACCTGCTAAGTCGACGCCGGAGGGCAAAAAGGACCCGATTACAGAAAGGAGGAGTGATGATAGTAGGAGAAGCAAGGGGAGCAATTGATCAGATTAGTGTAGATGGGCGGGTAGAGGGCGAATCGTCGAGAAGTGGTGGTCAAGGAGGGTCAGCGAGGCCGAGGGAAAGGCGCTGTGGAGGATGCGGAAAGACGGGACATAATGCAAGAACATGTCAAATAGTTGTAGCGATATCTGAAGAAGAGTATAGCGATTAGTTTTGGTTGGTTAGACGATTTGTTGTGTTTTTACGGCTATTCCTATCTTAAAGGTTGGGATTTTTGTAACACTCGCTTGTTTGTAACACTCGCTTATCATGTACGTTACTGGGCAATACTCCGACGCTGGCAGTATCTCCAGCAATGCAGTAGCACTTTAGGCGACGGCGATGATCGACCTATCGAGAACATAGGTGGCAATGTCAATGGCAACGACGCGGAAGCCAGCGCGGAGAGGGTCTTGGTGGGAAGCGATGGCAAGAAGCTACCATACATTGAAGCCTACCACCACCGTGGAGAGGTGCTGCAGACATTATGCTTTTATGACTACGTGTCGCTTGTTAAATTACAAAAGAGGATAGATTCATCTTCCAAGGAGTTGGTGAGGATAGAATTTGAAATGAACTGGAAGCCGGGAAGGGACTGGGTGCAGGTTCTAAGACCCCCGGGGAAGTATGCAGTGCCATGCATGAACGGGTTTCTCGATATGGACTTTGATATTGACACAAACGCAGACAGATACCGCAGGTAAGCACAAGCCATAGAACAGATGGGATGGATAAACGAGGAGCATACACTAATATTAGCACCAGAGCTGCAGTACAGCACCTCGCACTCTTTGTGCCATGGGAGAAGTTCACTACAGCAGCATCAGGCGATATTAATGAAATCTGGGAACACTGGAGACGGCGACTCCCCAAAAGACTTCAGACTATCGCAGGCAACATCCAGCTCTTGAAGCGATCAGCGGAAGATGCGCGGCGAGACGCGAAGCAGTGGGCAGTTGCAGGGGACGATGCCATTTTAGATGATATCGATGCTATGGGGGATGATATCCAAGATTCTATGGGCCCAGTAAAAGCGTATCGCTCAGATCAGGTCGGCCAGCTTCGCCGACTGATGGAAACAGTACGGGGTGCCACAGCTCCCAACCAGGTGACCGCTGGTTCGGAGTCTCTCGTTAAGCTGCTAGATCAGCTTCATGAAGCCCACGCAGATATCACCGACTTTGCAGATGATCTTGAGACTGTCGCCCCTGCTGAGAGCCTTGAGCAGTACCAGCCAACTATGGTAGCCAGAAGCGAGCTCCCAATGCAACATCAGCTCAGGGGGATTAAGAGCAAGCAGGACAAAGCCGACAAGGAAATTATGCAAAGAATCCAAGGTTCTGACGGAGTTCAGGACACTCAGAACACGGCTGCCGGCACAGAAGCATTATTGAACCATACTTTTGCGGGTGCAGGAGAAGATAGCATAGAGATATCGGAAACAGACACCGGGAACACTGATGGACCCAGCACTACGGTCGCTTTTGGACCGTCAACCACATTCCTCCATGCCGGTCGGCAGATCGCAAGCAGGTTCACCCTGAACGAGCGGCAGGAAATTGCCTTCCTTTTAGTGTATCGCCATCTCGACACCATCCCGGACGAAGGTGACAGCGATGATTTCGATAGCAGTAATGTCGAGAACAATGATAACGCACAACTATGCGAGTTCCTGGGTGGGGAGGGCGGCACCGGGAAGTCCAGGGTCATCGAGGCGTTGGCGGAATTGTTCGCTAGCAAAGACATATCGCACAGGCTGCTCATGACGGCGACATCGGGGGCCGCAGCAGCGCGGATCAACGGCGTGACTATTCACTCCGCCTGTGGGATGCAACCCAACGCATCCGACGGCAATGCCGACGATGGCAGCACGGTAACCTACGTGGACGGTGATGCCCGAAGAAGATGGAGCGAAAAGTGGCTGCTCATCATTGACGAGGTGAGCATGCTGGGCCTCCAGACGCTCTCCAACATCAACAAGCGGCTTTGCGCCTCCCGAGGATCGAATCAAGATTTTGGCGGCATCCCAGTGGTGCTACTATCAGGAGATTTCCACCAATTCCGCCCAGTGCAAAACAAGTCGCTATTGACGCCATGGTCCGCCCTCAGGATTGCGGACGAAATGAGGGCGCACGCACTCTGGACTCGATTTACCACCGTCGTTATGCTCACCGAACAGGTGCGCGCAGCGGGGGACCCGCAGCTGCAGCGGCTGCTGACTCGGATCCGGCAGGGGCAGCAAGACGAGTCCGACATGGAGCTTCTTAATAGCCGGTGCTTTCAGGAAGGCCGAGCCATACCATGGGGCAGGGGCATCACAGTAGTTACACCCCTTAACAGCAATAGATAGAGCCTGAACATGGATGCGGTCTTGGCCTTCCAGAGGCACCACCAGAAGCCAGTCCGGATATTTCTACCCCAGCACCGTTAGGGTAAACCCAGTACATTACCGGTAACGGAGGAAGAAGCTACGCTCATGGCCAGCGTCGGAGATGACAGCAAGATCTATGTGCCGGCCACGTTCATGTTCGTGCCTGGCATGCCGGTGGTAGTGACCAAGAATATAAACCCAGGCCTCAAGCTCGTAAACGGGGCCAAGTACAAAGCACTGGAAGTTATACCAGACCCCAAGAGTTTCCCAGGGTATCAACTCGCCCCGAACATCATCCTCCACTTTGGACCACCTGCCGGCATCATCCTGTCGTCCGAGTCCACCAAGAAGTTCAAGTTTGATGACATGCCACCAGGCACGGTCCTGCTTACTCCAACAAGTGCCCAGATACCCATCGAGAAGAAGAAGAGGGCCAAGAAGAGGCCTTGGCAGAGGCACGAAGTGAGCCGCCGAGGACTTCCCTGCACTGCCGCGTTCGCATGCACCGATTACAAAATCCAAGGCGAAACCCTCGTCGAGATTGCGCTGGAGCTGCGAGGAACCGGAACAAAGCTGAATACGACAACTGGACAACTCGAGCCAGGAAAGTGCGATCCGTACAGCCTGTATGTGCAGCTATCGCGGTGCAAATCGCTTGATGGTATTATGTTGCTATCAAAGGCACGGGTGCAGGACATAGTCGGGAATAAAATACCACAAGAAATGTTTGATGGCGAGGCTAGGCTGGAACAGTTGTGCGAGAGGACAGTAAATGAGGCCCGATTATCGTTATTGTCATATCCATCTGCACAATACTAGCAGTAATGTAATTTAGATAACTGTTGGATTGTGACCCTGTATTACGAAACCTCTGATAGATCGATATGCCGACCTTAGTCAGAGGCGGCGTGAGATGACATAAAACCCCTCTCGAAAAAAGAGGGGGCCGCGAGGCATCCTAGATCAATACAATCATCATCTTTAGTCTCCACACTCTATTGACCATTAATCCCTTGGATTGAATGTGTGGTACGCGATCCAACAATAACTAATACATTAATTACACCTAACTCAAGCATAAGAGAAAATGTCATAAAATATAAAGACGAGAGCAATAATGCGATCACACAAACCGAGCTCGCACGTGCATTTCACGTGCATTTCACGTGCATTTCACGTGTGTCTTAACAGGAAACCCTCAAAAGAAGACTCCTTTGCACTTAATCTCAGAGAGCGAATGAGAGTTCACATGTGCGCATTGCCAAATGAGGAAGAGAAGATTGGCACCTCTGAGGGGCATTCGGATGGGGTTAATCCGGACCAATAGGAGGTGCAGTTACGCTTCCTAATCGGGTAATCATAATCACTTAATGCGGGTGGGGGGGAATCCCAGAGCTTAAGAAGACCTTTCGTACCGAAAGGCAAACGCCCTTCGGGCTGAATAAAGAAGTGGTTTCCCCTACTAAGAACAACGCCACCGACGCAAAATATCTATTACATCTCATTCATCTCTCCTTTGACAATCCTTTCCCCTTTTGACTTCCACGACTATTTAAACTGGATCCCAACATAGGAGACTGGTGTGGCACCACTGCAAGTCCTGACACCATGCCTACCGAATCCCCGACCGGTCAAGATACTTCGCAGAAGAGGCAGCTCAGAAAAGCCTTACGTGCGAGGATTGGAAAGGAACGGCTGGAGACAGTCGGCACTCTGCACAAGGTCAAAGAAGAATATGGCCGCCTCAATCTAGGCGATGGCGTGTCAGTCTCTGACTCAAAGTACGACTGTGTCACGCAGGTGTCGATGCCCGAGCCTCCAACGAGACCGAAAGAGAAGAAGCCAGGACCCGAAGAGATCTGGATTGGGCTATGGGGCGTGATCCCCCGTTGGAAGTACGGGGAAACTGTCAACTACACTGCATATAAGAATGGCTGGTTATCGCCTAGCCACGCGTATTACGCCACTTATAAGCTTTACGAAGCAGCCGAGAAGTGGAACAGCCTGAAAGTCGGCGTCAAGTTTCACTATGTGGCCAATCCAGAAGATGCCGCATTTGTCCTGGCCTACGGCGGCGATGCCGGCTCCACACTTGCAAAAGCCTTCTTCCCGAACTCGAATGACCTCAACACAGTCTTCGTGTATCAGAGAGCCTTTCAGGCAGGCATGGTCAACAACATGGCCAATGTCTTTCTGCACGAACTTGGGCATGTTTTGGGTCTCAGGCACGAGTTTGCGGCTCAAGAGGGGGGCGCTATCCCGTGGGGAAGCAGCAATCCCCTCTCGGTCATGAGTTACAACTTCCCCCCAGAGATGCAGGAGTCCGACGAAAGAGACACGAGATCATTCTACAAATTCACAGGGACGACAATCGGAGGATATCTGATTCAGAATATAACCCCGGACAATTGATCTGTTGCGCTTGACGTCGCGCAGGAAAGATATTGAGATGTTAGCTGTCACCCGCATCCATCTATTCTGCTCTATCATTTACTTATATCCGATTTGGATCACGATAAGATATCAACTCTTCTAATTTAGCTGATTCACTATCGATTGCTGTGGGCTTGGGATTTCTCTTCATTTTTGGGTTGCTTGTAGGTTCTTGTTAAAATAGTTAGCGACTCTGGACAGTCATTAAGCCTCTCGGCATTGGTTTTCCCACTGGGTTTTCCCAATGTCGTTACGCAAATGCGGAGGGGGCTAGTCTAATGTTTGTTGTCACCCATTCAGAATATATTTCCAACACCTGATCCTTTCCCCTCACCCAGTCACCCATATCAATGCTGAAACTGTCATGGGGAAGTTGAGACCGGTCTACTGGCGGCGATGCCTGCTGTACAATAACTACCCGTTGGCTAAGAGGGGCCCCACAGCCAACTTTCGGGGCAGGCTCCGCGCCCCTATTGTGATCGTGAGGGTTCCCAAGGGATAAACCGGTTATGCTAGGTTTATATTAGCAGAGGGGATACTAGCGTTATCTTAAATAAGATAAGTATTGTATCTAGTAATATACTTAAAGGTATTAAGTATCCCTTGAGCTGTGGAAAACCTCCCGGCCGTACCGAGCCCCACATCCGCCCTAACTTCTGAGAGGTACATGAGGGGAACCTTATGATGCGTCATTGATTGATTCCACCTTCATCCTCATAGAAATTCTTTCGGATTGATCAATGACTTCCCAAGCGGTACCTATAGAGATGTCGGCGGAGGCTCTCAACGCGTATGATGACAGTAGCTTTATCAATGAAGATAATAGCCTTCAAGAGCATGAGGGTGATAGCACCCGGAGACCGGCTTTTCCGCCTGTCGAAGACCGAGGCTTCGATTTTCAACCCTTCCAAGTGCCGCGACGAGAGCTTGTTGTCAAGCAGCTGCCCCAGAACCCGCTGTCCCTTTTCCAACACTTTATACCTATTTCCCTAGTCAATAGCTGGGTCAAATACACTAATGACCGGGTCAATAGCCTACTCCAGAGCGGCGTTATTGATAGTCAAGAACACGAAATAACAGAAAAGTCACGCCTCCGCGCCTGGAAGCCAACTACGGCTGCAGAGATATATATCTGGCTTGGGATCCTTATTTATATAGGAGTCCACGGCGAAATATCAGTCCAAGACCATTGGAAGACCTCTCAGCTAGAGGATTAGCGGCCTGAACACTCGATAATTAAGTTCATGACTTACGACCGATTTCAACTCCTTCATCGTCATCTCCGGCTCTTTGACCACACCAAATTCACTGACGATGACGATTTTCCTATTGTCTTCCAATGCGTTGAGCTGTGGTCTCAACATATTCAACTTGCAACAACAGAGCTTTGTAATCCGGGCTCACATCTTGCCGTAGACGAGGGCATGATCCGATATACCGGAAGGAATAAGCAAGTTACATACGTCCCCAATAAGCCTATTGACATAGGTCTCAAAGTCTGGATAGCTGCCCAGCTAGGCCTCTTCACGAGGTGGATTTGGCACCAACCTGGCGCAAAATACGGTCCAGTTGGTGTTGAGAGGAAGAAGCCGGCATCACAACGAGGGAGGAGGAAAGGCAAGGGAAGAGGCAGCCAACGGAGGGTTCCCAACGAGGTTGACGAGGTCAAGGAAGTTATCCACGTCATCACAGAAGCTGGGGATAAGATCATGGCGTTGAACTCGACCCAAAGCGTCGTTATTGCCCTTATTAACCTATTGCCGGAGTCGATATATCACGTCTTCGTGGATAACCTCTTCTCGTCTCCAGACCTCTTCCGCTCCCTTCGTTAGCACGGCCACGGTGCAACTGGTACAGCTCGGCCTAATTGTGGCATCTACAAAGGCCTTGCAGACGCCAAAAAGGCCGATAAGGCAGGGAAGTCAGGCTTCCAATTTAATGAGATCAAGGTCATCCCAACGGCTGATAATCAGGTAAGAAGGCTCGACATTCTTCCTTACAATTCGGCTGATAACTTATCTTCTTCTCTAGGTCAATCAGATCGCTTGGAAGGATAATGCCCTCGTATTGCTCCTTTCAACCGTCTTTACTGGCGATGAGAGATGTGATCGTTGGAGGAAGAGACCGTCAACGAATACCCCAATGGCACGGCCAATACAGCGATTTTTTTAGTGGCGAGCCGGTCAAGCTTATATCGATCCCTACTATCGCCGCTTCCTACAACGACGAAATGAATCATGTTGACCGAGGCGACCAAAGGAGGTCATATCTAGGCTATGATCATCCTATCCGCCGGGGCGCTTGGCAGGCTATTGCTTGGACCTTCTTATTGGATGTAGTCCTAGTAAATAGCTTCCTCTTACAGCTACACGGGCAGCCGGCTTGGGAGCGTTATATAAGCCAGAAGAAGTGGAGGGAGTGCCTATACAACGAGGTCTTCAAGACCTTCCATCCGCAAAGCCAGTCAAGGCGGACTTTTCGAGCCGGAGACGAATTTACGCCCGTGGCACAACATAAGCACGTCCGAAGAGGGAAAAAATCAGATTGCCTTGCTTGCAAGGGGCTTCAATTAGGGCAGCCGAGGTCAAGAAGTGCAAGGAGGCCCTTGGCCCCGGTCAGCTACAACAAAAGAAGGCGTCAATCGATTTGGGGATGTGAGCAGTGTGATGTAGCGATTTGTAACTCGAGAGATTGCTGGTACTTCTACACTTGCATGGACTTTCCTCCTTGACGTGGCCCTCGTTAACAGCTATATTGCTCAACTTCATGGACCGCAGCCAAATTGGAAGAGATATACGAATCAAAGGGTGTGGCGAGAGTGCATTTATAACGAATTACTTAATACATACGGCCATAACAGTCAAGCAAGGAGGCATTACCGAGCCGGAGACGAGCGTGATCTACAACAACCCGAATTACAGAGGGAACACATCGATCGCAAGATCAATCATGTCAACCACAAGGTAAAGTCAGACTGCCTAGCCTGTCAGGGCTGTCGGCAGGGGCAGCTAAGAGTAAGAGCCCCGGAATTGAGCCCTCTTACGGAGGTCAGCGGCAATGAGGAAAAGAAGAAGATGAAGAGGCCGGATGTGCGGAGTCGGACCTCTCACGGATGCCGTATTTGTGATGTTGCGATTTGTAATACGAAGCATTGTTGGGACTTCTATCACCACCTAATTTAGCAGAGGAATTATGTACCCTTTTCTTGGCGCCTTCTGATTGGACCAGACCCCTCATCGTGACATCTTGGGAGGGCTACGCGCACTCAGGAGATAAGCAACATTTGGCCGGGTTTGGCCTCGAACTGGAATCGACTATCAAATAGGCAACAAAAAGCAGCAAAAAAGGCGCAATGGACACAGGGATATTCTTTTTACTGGCCACTGGCTTAATAATACTTTTGTTCATCCTTTGGTCGGATTTTTACCTGCTTATTGGTCGTGGTGGAATTTTCAAGGGTTTTCATCCTGCTCCTTGGCCGACCCAACAATTTTCACAGACTTTCACGACGGCCTCAACCCTGGCCCTGTACACAACATTGATAAGGTGATCGAAAGAGAAGAGGAAGACATATTTGTCTGGTACCACGTAGTCGAAAAGGAATTTGTGTAGTTTCCGAAGTTTGCCATTGCCACAATGGCGGTTGCCATATAGTAGGAATGTTGAGTCGTCAGCTACCTAGAGGAAAGAGAACCGGGTAACAGCGCGGCTATATGATGGGTGAGAGTTTGGCTTCCTATTCCCCCAGCTCTATATCTAGCTCTGGATTTTGATCCCTGCCCCTGTCTCCTGCACTGAGTAGGATCTTCAATGCCTCATAGAGGCTGAATATAAACACTGTAACCCCTGCCCCCAAGGCCACCGCCTGGTCCAGCTCTGTTATAGAAACGCCGGAAGCTGGAAAGAAGTGCCAAAGGGCCCACCCGTGCTTCTCTGCGGTCGTGATAGTAGTCGACCCGAGGACGCCGAATCCATTTATCATTGAAAGCGGGATCATAAAAGCGGAGACGAGGAATGTTCCCAGTCTAACACCCTCAAAACATACCGCGTAAAAAGTCCCAAACAATAAAAATACCGCGCCGACCCCAGCCAGAGCTATAAAGAGAAGGGAGAGAGCTATGATGTTGGCCATGACTGCTCCAGGAAGGTTGAGGAGGAAAGGTCGCTGGAAAGTGCTGTTCCCCGCCACCACTGTTGGTCCTTGGGTCGAGAGAAATACCTCTGCGACAAAGCATAGAGTCCCAGCCAGGGCGACAAGGGCTGCTCTCTTCCATGTGCGCGCGAGAGCGCACGCAGAGAATAAGGCAAGCGACATGGTTGCGAATATTTCGCAGACATTGAGTGATGCTTCGATGGAGGCGGTGTATCGAGTAAAAACACCGTCGGTCATGATTGCTGCCCTATCCCCTGGGAAATCCCGAACTTGCAGCAACAAGTGTCCGGCCGCGACGACAGGATAGGTGAGAGTTGCAAGAAGATCATTGGTTATTGTGTCCTTCACCCGGTGACGACGATTTAAAGTCCACGCGATGACAACAGACGCAACAGTGAACAGCCAGCATCCGACCGATCCTGGCCCGTAGAAAGAGGAAACCAAAAGATAGCGATCTGACATGTTGGGTCGTGTAAATTCGACTGTGCGTGCTGAGAAGGGTAATCGCTTGAGGACAGGAATTAAGGCACTGAGCCTGCAACTTGTTTGCGAGGCACAGGGTATATTAGGTTCAGGTTCAGGTTCTATTCCTACTCGGTTTTAGCCGCCATTCCCCGGCAGCCATGCCCGGTAAGTGGGGTTTGGCCGGCAGCCAAAGCGCCCCGAATGTTTATCCATTGCGCCCCACTTCGCCAAACACTAACTAGCGTTTAGCCAGCCGCCTCTAGACTTCCCACTTCTCTCCTTAAACCTCTATCTATAACTAGCTGGCAACCTCTGTAGATCGCGGTTCTAAATAGTAATATATATATGATTTTAGGCTCTTACGGGGCGAGTCATACGCTCCATATATATGTCCTCTTACCTATAATCTCCCCTAGTACTTAGCTTTATCTAATTACAGATTGGTCCTGAATTGCCTAAGGACCTAGGTTTGTTCTATGAATTTAATAACCTTTGTTACTACTTTATATTCGCTTAGTAATTATTAGAGATTTTAATGTCTTAGAAATTAGCCTAGTTCCTAGTTTTAAAGTATAGTATACTTTTTGCATTAAAGTAGGATATAGGCGATTATTTATTATCCTTCGCCGTAGTTATATCTTAGGTTAGTAACTCTTAGTACTCTTTGTTTAAAGAGGAAGTTATTTATCTTAATCTTTTCCGTCTGGAGTTAGATATAAATAGCGCTTTGCCTCTTATTAAAGTACTTATATAGCTATAATACTTTCGGTATTAGCTTTAGCATATGCCTAAAGGTCGCCTAGCCCCTAGTTTCCTATTACTACTATGATTACTATCTTTGTTTAATAACTCTACGCGATTATAATTTTAATATAGATTTTAAGGAATATAGTACGGGGGGTTACTATGCCCTTAGTCCCAGTAGACCTCTTTATCACTATCTTATAGCTTCTTTAGCCACTCGGTTAGCTACTTTATTACTATATATCCCCTTATAGGCTAGGATCTATCTAATCTCAACGGTTAAACCTTATATTTATAGTTCTTATATTTGCTATATAATATCTTAGAGAAGGTATGACCTAGATTTGCCTCTGGGCCTCGCTACTAACTAGATAGCTGCTTAGTTATTTAGCCCGAAGGGCGTTTTACTCAGTCAGAAAAAAAGAGCATAAAACTTTTTCTGATTGGCTAATTGGCATGGTCTATGCTCAACTCGTGCTTGAATTGGTCAGTTGTCAACGCTAACGACGCTACTACATGGGAAAGCCCGCGATCGTTGACTAGGTAACGCTTTTGGCAAGCTCTCCAGGAGCTTTAAGGTTGTCCTTCAATCAACTCCGGCCTCCAAGCGCGATTCTGGCCGGAGCACCGACATGGCGTCTGCTTTCCCTTTGCCGTTAAAACTATTATCCACCAAACCTTACGAGGTTGCTAACGACGTCTCGGCTCACGTATCACCTGCCTCCGGTCGAGCGGTGAAGTGTCCCCTCCTTCCCTGATCGTTCGAACCTAATCAAAACACCCTACAGACAACCTCCCATATCGAGATCTGTCACGCTACGGTATATCTAAGCAAACCCTCGCTGCCCAAGCGGTACCTACCCGGTCGTCTGCATGGGTAAGAGGCGGATAACAATATATGCAGCCGGATGGAGAATGATATACCCCAGGCAGTTTAGAACTGCCATACTTGCAAGCAAGACCTGCCCGAGGTCGAGTTTCGAAGCGTCAAGGACCCTGCGAGGCTTACGAGACAGTGTAGTAGCTATAGGGCACGCTAAAAGGAGCGAGTGGCCGAATCCCGAGCCGCCGTTGCCGCCATGCGGAACATCGCCTCGAGGCTATCGCCGCGCAGAACGACGAAGAGGACCGATTCTTAGGCTCAATTGACGCCTCCACGGCGAAACGCGCAAGCGCTCGTGTCCATTAATAGCTCATAACCCCCTGCAACGCCTGCTGTATTCCGTGGTCTGGCGCCCGTCCTCCAGGGACTGCCTAGACCTCTGCTGGGCCTATCTACCTCAAGCGCAGCGGAAGGAGCCCTCCCTATCCCTCCTACCTTAAGCCCGCCAAGAGTAGTTCTGGGCACGCCGATTCCTAGTGACACGACCACAACGGCTCCTATTGTGCTAGGCACGCCTGTGCCATAGGAATCGTTCCCTACCACTGCTTCATTACTGCCACAGGGTCATCGCCGCGGCCGCTATACACGTCAAGGCATCGTGAACCGACGGCCACGGCCATAGCTTCAAGAACGACAGTTTGATCAGATAGTTGATCCACCTTTTACAGGGGACCTTGATTTGCCTGCCCTTAGTGAGGAGGATTGGGCGCTTGTGCGGGAGTTCTATACTGCCCTGAATGACGATAAGATGCATAGTTGCATTCGCTGCCGGGAGCATTGGTTCGATATAAAGAAAAACAGCTTAGGAGTCTGCAGCCGCTGCATTAGTCGAGATAGGGAGAGAACCGCTGACGAGCCCTACTTCTTTAGCGCTACGAATAGCCTTAACTTCGGGGAAGTCCCTGGTAATCTACCTAGCCTAACGATGGTTGAGGAGATGCTGATTGCTAGGGTTCACGTACACGTGAAGGTCCTACAGGTACGTGGCTCTCAGTATAAATACCGCGGCCATGTTGTCCACTTCCTTCGCAATGTTGGTAGGCTATTTGAAGAGCTCCCGGTCCTACCTGAAGAGCTAGATATCGTGCTCCTGCGGCCTCCTAATATGGAGGGCGACCCTCACTTCCAGCAGCAGTTTGCTCGCGATTTCCGGGTACGCCGCTCATGCCTATTGACCTGGCTGCATTACCTACAGCGCCACCACCCGGGCTATCGCGATATCGTTGTGAGGCAGGATCGCTTACAACGGCTTCCTCTTGACGGCAGCATAGTTGCTTCCGTTGCTAGCCAAGTGGCTGACATACCTAACGGCGAGGCCCCCCAAGGTCCCATTGAGGAGGATATAGAAGAGGATCCAGCAGATGCAGATGCATCGGCGATCCCCGATTTGCAGGTTACAGACACCGAATTAAACGCCCTGCAGTCCCGATTGCTTCATAGTACCCCTGACCCTGAGCGTATGGCCGATCTTGAGCATATACCGCCTAACGCGCAGGCTCAACACCAGATGCCACTACCTTCCATTCGCAGGACTCCTATCAACGAATTCAACCGTTCCCAGCCGCTATTGACGCTCGCGTTCCCCACCCTCTACCCCGACGGCAAGGCGGACTTCGTGGAGCCTCGCCTACGGAGCGTCACGTACCAGGACTACCTTGCCCATGCGATGAGATAGCAAGACGGACGTTTTGCCCGGCATAAGACGTGGCCTTTTATCGCCCTCAACACGCTATTACGTGCGCAGGTCAGAAAGCGGAGCAACTACTCGGTCAAGCAACACAAAGGCCGCCGCCGTCAACCCCTTACGCGCGCTAACATAGAGGAAGCGATAGCTAAGCCTGACGAGCCAGAGGCTCAGGCCCTGATCCAGTCGATCACGCGCCAAGCCGCCGTAATCAGGGGCACCCATCCATATTAGTATAAGCAAAGGAAGGAATTGGAGGCATGTGCCTACAATCTAGGCAGGCCTGGCCTTTTCGTTACAGCAAGTGCGGCTAATTACCACTGGGAGTCCCTATATCGTCATATGCCTCGATTCCAGGAGTAGAAAGCAGCTCCTGAGGCGGCGCGAATGGCTCTATCCCGGCAACTGCTGCGAGACAACGCCCACATTGCCGCTTATCACTTCCATAAGCGATATACGCTCTTTAGGACTATTATCCTGAGGCAGAAGTTCAACCTAACGGACTTTTAGGGTCGCTACGAGTAGCAGGGCAGGGGTTCCAGTCACCACCACGGCCTATATTAGCTAAGTGGCCACCCGGACTTAGATCCCAATGACAGCCAGTCCCGGGAGCGATTTGCCCGAATCTGGGGATATCACGTATCCGCTGTCAACCCAGAGCCTCAGAGGGTGCAGGCACCTAGGGAAGGGAATCCCTTAATCAGTAATCTATTGGAACATCCCCTTACCGTCCAGTTCCTGTCGATAGTAGTAAACCGCGTGCAGCGCCATCGCTGCAACAACTACTATATACAGCTCAGCAAGCATACCAAGCAGGTGGAGTGCCGCTTTGGATTTCCTCACGGGCAGCGCCTACTAGCCTCCCTTGAAAAGGTTCCTCATTCTAAGCACTGGAGCTTTAGGGGCGAGCGGAACGATAGCCAGATGAACCACTACAACCGCTTACTTGCCGTTGCGTGGCTAGCCAATACAGATGTCTCACCCTGCACGAGCCTGCAGCAGGTGATCGATTACGCAGCTAAATACTGCTCCAAGTCGGAGAAGAAGAGTGAGTCTTTTGCCCAGATTGGGAAGGCCCTAATGCCCCGGGTCAAGGACCACAACCCGCTGATTTCCTTCACGTTAAAGCTCCTAAATCAGCTAGTTACTGAGCGAGACTACTCGAAGCAGGAGGTTAGCCACTTGCTCCTCGGTCTGCCGTTACAAGAGGGCTCACGAACCTGCTTACACATTGATTGCCGTAATCCTGACATGCATTCCCGCTCTTTACGGATTGACGCCGATGAGGTTGACGAGGCCCCCAACGTCTACGAAAAGTACTGTCAACGCCCCGAATCCCTAGAGGACCTAACCTATGTTTCCTTTCTCAAATACTGGAATTTCCACTCTAGGGACCCTTCCAAGTGGAAGCAATGGCAGCCAGCCAACGTCAACGGCAGGCCGCGTGTATTAGTCTACTTTCCTCGCTATCAGGCTGATCCAGAAGGCCAATAGTGGCCAGAGTACTGCCGCGTAAAGCTAGCATTAAACCACCCACATCGTCGGCATAATGAGCTCCTCATATTTGACGGCCATCGTTTTAATTCTCACGCTCAGGCCTTCTCCTATTATTGGCAGCACCACAGTCATAGTGATGACCATTACGGCCGGCCAAAAGAGGTTCGATTACAACCTCAAGAGGATCAATACGAGGCTCTACCAGTGGAGGAGGAATTTAATGACGAAGACTAGATCCGTCTCGCCGCCCTTTTACCTGACAACCCCCTTACCCAGGAAGGTCTTAACCTACTTGGCCGCCGCGATATTAATATCAATTACGACTAGACACGGCATGTAGGCACTTATTTAGAGTTTCGAGACAGCTACTAGAAAGACCTCATCGCTAGCAACCCTATAGCCAACGATGTGGAGGTCCTTAGCCCTCACTGGCGTGATCAGCTTAACCCGCAACAGCGGTTAGTGTACGATACCTTCATGGGTCACTTCCAGGCGCAAAATCCTACTCAAATCCTTCTCCACGTTAACGGCGGCGGTAGCACGGGCAAGTCCTTCCTTATCAAGGTGCTTTCCTCCCACCTTCAGGCGGCTGCCCTGCCGAATCCTAGCCCTATTTGCCGCGTAGCGCCAACAGGCGTTACGAGTAACCAGATACAGGGCAGCACCATACATTCACTGCTCCGTCTCCCAGTAGGCGGTGCCTTTACCGAACTTCGCCCAGCTGACGCTGCTGCCCTTCAGTCCCGCCTACGGCACGTCAGGTACCTCGTTATCGATGAAAAGAGCATGCTAGGACTTGAGCAGCTCGGGCGAATTGATTCTCGCCTGCGACAGGCCTTTCCACAGCGTAGCCTCGAGTTCTTTGGTGGTGTGAGCGTCTTACTTGTGGGCGATTTCTTCCAGCTACCACCCGTCCGACAAAAGCCGCTGTATTCAACCGCCAGCACTGGCCTGTCTTCGTTGGAAAAGAGAGGACAGGTGGCCTACCGGTTGTTTGACCGCACCGTCTTCCTGACCACGGTACAGCGCCAGACTGGTGATGATCAGGCCCGGTTCCGTCAGGCATTGCAAGAACTGCGTGAAGTCAAGTTATCTATACCCTCCTGAAACTCCTCAGCAGTCGAGTGCAGGCCAAGCTAACGCAGAGCGAGGTTGACAGATTCAAGGCCGCTATGCGGGTATATTCCACAAAGGCCCGGGTCAACGAATACAATTACGAGCATATAGTGCACCTCAACGCCCCGGCAATACAGGTGGAGGCAAAGAACCTGGGCAAAGGCGCGGGGCAGGCGCCAAGCGACCATACTGGCAATCTATCCAACAAGTTTGCTATTGCTAGAGGTGCCAGGGTAATGCTCACAACTAATTTGTGGCAACCAGCTGGCCTGGTTAATGGCGCCCAGGGTACGATATATGATGTCGCTTGGAATGAAGGCGCCAACCCGTGGCAAGATCCCCCGGACGTTATCATGGTGGACTTCGATAACTACGACGGACCGCCGTATCTGACAACTAACGAGGGCAGGAAAATCATACCCATCCTTCCCGTCACGCGTGATTTCCTAGTGGGCAACGAGACCTGCTCTCGCACCCAGTTTCCCCTGATCGTGGCATTTGCTATCACTGTTCACAAATGCCAGAGCCTAACGAAGGATCAGATAGTTACTGACCTCGCTACACGCGACTTCCAGGCCGGTATCAGTTATGTTGCAGTGTCACGAGTTACCTCGTTGCAAGGCCTACTCCTCGAGGCGCCTTTCGACCGTCAGAACCTCTATAACCACACGCCCACGGAAGGTTTATACGCCTGCGTTTCCTACGTACTGCGATTATGGCTAACTACAACGTAGGGATGAAGATGCGCCTTGCTGACCAACGACGCCGTCAGGCTCAGCAGCTGATTAATCCGCCATATCCACCACGGTACATTGACTAAACGACGTTTTCCTATAAGCTACAGGGAAGGGGGAACTCGATATACAGTATATAGTTGATTGGGCCTGGAAGGAAGTGGTAGAGGGACCCCTATGTCTATCAGTCAACTCCCTTACTACAGGTTTGAAGTGGTTCTGATAGCTGGTTATCGCCACAGTCGAAAGGGGGCCTCCCAGAAGAGTTTAATAGCAGGTAGACGGTATTTACCCTTCGGGCTGAATATTCAGCCGTTAAGCCCCTTGCCTTGGCAACTTAACGGGTGTTCGAAGTATTTTACTCAATACCTTTGAGCACATTACCAGACGTGACAAACCCCCCCCTGTTCAAGACAGCGCGACTAGCCCTTCTGCCAACATAAACCCAGCACGACCGGTTTATCCCTTGGGAAATACACGATCGTCACACAATCGCGAAGTCGTGTTTGTTTTCTGGGTATCAACCTTAGCATGCCCTAACTATCTTGGGCTTAGCGTGATCCGAGTTGTGCCGGGCAGGGACCCAAGCGACTTTGACTCAATGAAACGGCTGCCGTGCCATGACACCAAAGGCCAAAGTCCGTGTAGCAAAATCTGCTAAGTTACCCTAAATCAATAAGTCAACAAATTCAACCCATTCAATCAACAGAATATCAAAATGGATTGACGTATTATATAATCAAAATTCGATGTTGATTGAGTTGAATTGACGTTGATCATCAATCCATTCAATATATTGAAATACGTTGAGTGGTTTGCATCCTTGGGTTCGGACATATCCGCGTCTCAGTCGCATGGCCATCGACATACTATCTATGCCCCCTGGTTCTGCTGACCCGGAGTCTGCATTTAGTGGGGGAAGACGCACTTTGTCATGGGATCGCGAAAGGATGTCATGTGTTAATCTGGAGAAGGTTGAATATATCGGCAATTAGCTGCATGAAGGACTCATTATACCATCATCACGTGGTGGTAGAGGGCTTGTCGTGGACGGTGAAATAAACAGTAGTATTCGGGTTGATTCGGATGATGATCTAGATTAGAATTGAATGAAATATTTACCTTTAGGCTTAGATGTATCTGTTGTTATATCATCTCTGCTATCCTGCTAAGCCGATATCATGTCAGGATAGTGTGTTATCCTGATATCAGAATAATTTATCATATCGGATATGATATCAGGATAGGCAAGTCTGACCCCCATACGCTGATCAACCCGCGTCAGACGGCCTATAAAAAGGTATATTAGGCAGGATTTGAGTAACGAAGAGAGAGATTGAGAGATGTTTAAATACCTTTTTTCTGCATTTTTAGCTATTTATTTGACGAAGTTGTGTTGGAATAGGAAATAGATTGATGGATTATCTGAGTCTTACAGATGGGTTGGTTACCGGGGGGGTCGGTTACATGGGTGCCTGACTTGGATATGATGCCTCTACTGTATTAATTGCTGCGTTGCTTCTCTGCTGAGCTATCTTAATTTGCCTTGGGGTATTATATCTAGGGCCAAAACACACAAATAAGCGAGAGTCTATGGCAGAGGCGCCATGATGAGTGAAACCAGCTCTGAGAAGAACCGGACTGGCTTAGGTGGACGAATGGAGAAGAGCAAGTCTTTCGCCTTACTCCCTACCTACCCCGCCATTGATGCTGCATTCTCCGCAGGTTATACGTAAACTCAATCTCCCTGGCTCAAGTTGAAATGTAAAGCTTAGATTTATTGAATGTCGGAGATTATCTTCGATGAGGAGCCTGTTTGCCTCCCTCATAAACCTCCAGGGTTCACTGCCAGCCAATCGGGGAAAACATAACCATCTGGCGTATCTGCGAAAGGGCCAAAATGTGGTTGAATAAGATCATAAAAGATCCTGTAGGCTTCTCCACTCAAATGCAGCCCATCCGGAACCAGATGTGCAAGCGCACCTCTCTTGCCTCCAGGAAAACCTAATGGAGGGCCAGTTGGGTCAAAGTCTGGAGTTTTTGAAACAGCTGCGTCCATTATGGCCTTATACAAATCAACAAGAACCACTCCTGGGACTCTCTGAGCGACCTCGCGAGCGGCTTCAGAGTAGCAGCTGCTGACTGCAGCTTCACGGGAGGCTTGAGCGTGGCCTTTTTCGAGGTCCAATTCCGTAATTCGAATTTGATCCAATGGTGGGGGCACAACAAGGAGAATTTTCGGGTTGTGTGCCACGATATGACGATGAGTGATGATCTTGGTTAAATTGTCCTTGTACTCCTCCAGTGGAACATGCTGACTGGTTGTTGGAAGAGAGACGCAGGCATCATTGACGCCTAAAAGAACGACCTAGGCTCCAATCAATTACGACTCTCAGACGATATCATTTCAGAGTGAATGTTCGAAGATTGAGTACCTACCACACAGTCGATCTTGGGAGTTGAGGGCGAGACTGGCAAGAATATCTTGGGTAGAAGATTTAACGCATTCCTAGTCGTGTAGCCTGAGAACCCTCTATTGATTACGTCGAGTCGTCTCATGCACACTAGACCGAGTAAGTAAGGAGATAGTTTCCAAAAGATAGGGTGAAAAGCGCACGAGTCTGCAAGGCAGCTTGGAACGAAAATCCATCTTGAACCTCGCAACTGAGCTCAAGAAGTGAATCACCGAAGAGAACCACTTGATTGTAAGGGAACTGTGTTTCAGAAGTCAGTTCGACGCTCATATTGCAAGGGCTATTTCACGCATACATACCGCCATGACAGCCCAATGCAATAGAAGCGAGGAGTGATTAACAGGATGTCTGTATTGTTTGATGATAAGTTGAGAAGGCCCAATATTAATGAGCAGTAAACTAATATATTAATTAGATGTAGGGGCACTTCAGCGCGTTCTCAACTACTTTAGGGATATCGTCCCGACCCGTTCTTCTCGCCCAAAAAAGTGGCTGGGAGTCGCCGTTAGGTGCCGAGGGAGCGGCTTGAAAATTGCTCGATTTGCTCAACACGGTAACCCTCTGGGTAAGGTCGTCCGCGCGATATCCCCACGAGAATCCCACAAACCTCGGGGGCGGGGGCTGGGTGTGTCCTTCGAAAAGAAAAAAAGATTCGAGAACTTCAAAGTAGCATAATACGATTTCCGGTGATCCGGTGAGTGCCATCAGCATTGGCATGGAATGGAATGGCTAAATAAGAGCTGATGCGGTGACATTGCCATCCCATCGCCGAACAGTCGTTATGGATTTTAGGGAGAACATGTGAACAGCCTCTAGCAACTGTGTACTATCATCGCATCCCCCGGTTCGACTCTTTTGCAGTACTCCAGGGTTATCTTTGATACGCTGTAGTTTAACCTTGTCTACCCACCAGCAGGGCCCTGCGGGGAGAATATCCGAATTCAGCTAAAAGGGGAATAGTCTAACTCCGTTTACGGTGCCATGTGATCTAACTCCATTTTCCTCTGCTAGCGGAAAATTGCCCCTTCCAGCCACACTTCCCCTCTTTCCAAAGTCTCATGCGTTTCAACGTCAATTTCCCATCACGCTTCAAAAGGCAACCGATTCTGTCGCGTAAGCTGTCCGCCCCAGGCTACGATTTCTTCCCGCTATCCCCAGAAGAAAAGAAAATCTACCCGGTTGCCGTAGTTGAATTCGGCAATGCCGGAGCGGCATCCCTGCTCTCGCTGGAACCCGCTCGCCCCTGGCCCATCCACAATCGCAGAGAGGATCCAGGGACGCAGAACCCACAGCGCAAGGTAATGATCAACCAGGCGCGACGTCAGTGTAGGATAAGGAACCGTTCATGCAAGGACGACGCATTTCCGGAAATGGCACCTGGTGATGCGGAAATACGGGAGCCTAGCCCGCCGGGTTCCGTCATAGAGACTTTCCGTGGGAACAAACTGAAATTTCGACACTCTACATGCTAGTGAGCTTTACTTTACTGGTCCTTGATACAAGCTGAGTCGTTGAGCGGCAGCTGATTATCGGTAGCGTACCCACCACTGGGGCAGTTTCAGGGCATCTTCGCGGCTACCAGTTCTCAGCCGACCAACCCTGGATCAAGGCCCCCCAATCATTTACCTTCATAGACGAGACACGAGAGATACGAAATGTGTACGGCGCGGCAACTCGGGACGAAGATAGTCCTATTTTACAGGATAACCATACTGATGACAATGGATCCTCCCATGAGGTTCATACTGGCCCTGGCGTATTCGCTCCCTCGCCCGCGTCTCAGTTTTCCACTGGTCAGACAGAGCCTGGGTGCCCACGTCCTGAACATTATCAATCATCGCCAGCAACCCAAACTCATGAACAGAGGTATGGCTGCAAGGATAAAGTTGCGAGTTGCAGTGACTAATCGTTGGCCACATCTCAGTTTTCCCGCTCAACCTCTACTACCCTCTGAAAGTTATGTTGGTGAACAGGTCGCAATCTTCTCATCGTTTCCCGACACGCAAAGTCTCGGCTTCCACTTACTCTTGGACCATGATACCGGCATTTCAATTTCCTCGGCTCCAGTCTCGACTGACAACAATCTTACGTCGAACGACAACGGAGTCGATTTACCCTCCATCATCTACGTCGAGAATCCCGCATGGCCACTACGAGATAAGCAAGAGTGTCTGCTTTTCCGCTCTTTCATCAAACACATTGCGCCCATTTTTGATTTGTGCGATCATGAACGTCACTTTACCAGGATCGTCCCGCAGCGCGCCGTCACCTGTCCTCCGCTACTCAACGCCATGCTTGCTGCTGCGGCCAAGTACCTCAACAAGTTTGGGGATGTCGACGTGCCGGTGGGGGATGAGTACCTCCAAAAGTGCCTTGCCGTATTGATCCCGGCCTTGTCATGCGCAACTGCAGTAGTAGACGAGAACCTGTTGGCCGCCATAGTTCTCCTGCGATTCATAGAAGAGATAGATGTCCCTTTCTCTAGCAACGGCTCGCAGTCGCATTTAATCGGCACAAGGGTGTTTCTTGCCGCCCAGAAAGAAGTGTGTGAGTTTACAGGGCTCAGGCTAGCAGCATTTTGGAGCGCACTTCGGCAGGAAATTTTTACGGCAGTTGTTCATTTCAAACCGGTGCAACTGACTGAATTGCTTACCAAAATAACCCCTTTCATTCTCCCGGAAGACTGCAACTGCAGCTATGCCAATCGAACCATTATTCACTGCGCTGCTTGCGTCCAGCTTTGTTTCGGTCATTCGACCGTCTCGCAAGAGCAATGGGACAAGCTCATGGACTGCCTTGACCAATGGTGGAACGCAAGGCCCTGGCAGTTTCGGCCGATGACGCCTGCGGATGGAGAACGGGGCTCCTCGTCGTTCCCGGATGAATTCTACCTCAATGATGCGGTGGTTACGGGGATACAACACTACTACCTGGCACGGTTAATCCTCTTAGCCCATAAACCTACGCTTCCAAGTTTGGGTTTGGCTCGAAAGAAGGCTCTTGATAATGTTGATGACAGCATCAGGGATATAGTGCGCCACGTGTGTGGCATCGCTGAGGTAAACCCCATGCTTCGCAGGTAACACTGATCAGGTCTAACTGTCTACCTAACCAGTCCAATCCCGGCACTACGCCAGCCTTCTCGTAAGACATCCATATCAGACTTGCGCCATCACTGTACTAACCGACAGAATCGCGTCGTTATCCATCGCCTTGGCAGCAGACCGCTTCATAGTGAGAGAGGAGCAGGAAGCTCTTTACGAAATATTGAAAATGGCAAATCGAAAATCACCATGGACGACCCAAACCATGTAAGTTGCCCATTCCCCTATTTGCGTCTTGCTGTCTATACCTTTGGCTGATGTGGCGCGTTCACACCTTGTCAGTCAAGAGGACGTAGCAGAATTATGGAATTGGCCACATAAGTAATACTAAAGAACCATTCTTCATTCATGATGGAGAAATTTTATATCCACGTGCCCGGTCTATCCACAAATACTGTCCACCCATCCAAGGCAATCGCTTGTTGAGTGGTGCATCCCTAAGCCTTCAAGTCGCTGATGTGTCCCATCAAAGAATAAGCCTCGTGTTGAAGGTGTTAAAAAACACGTCTACACTTCTCGGTTGCTCAGATCCCGCCTCCACACCTTGAGGGGCATCTTTCCTGGCATGGCATTTAGTGCCTCTAGCCAGGTTTGTTCCCAGTCAGGATGGGGCAACGCGAACTCGTAACGATGTACAACGCTCGCTAGAAGCACGGTCTGCTCTAGATAGCTGATATTTCGGCCGATACACCCACGAGCACCTGCACTGAACGCGATAAAAAAGGGCTGGAGATCCTTGCCTTTTTCGCCTAACCATCGGTCGGGGATGAATTTGTCGGGGTCGGGAAAAATCTCCTCGTCTCGATGCGCAACATAGGCCGAGATTGCAACAGTTGTATCACCAGGAATAAAGTCTCCAAGGATATAGGCACCTTCGGCAGGGGTTCGTCGTGGAAGGCCAAAAGAGGTCGAAGGTGAAATGCGGAGCGTTTCATCGAGACAAGCCCGTAGATATGGGAGGTGTTTAACCTTATCATACGGAGCAACAACCTCATCGGCGTCGAGCACGGCATCGACTTCTTCTCGAAGTCGCGTCATACAGTCTGGATGCTTCAGAAGCCAGTACATGACATTGCACATGGCGATACCGGTCGTATCGGATCCCGCATTCATCAAGATCGACACCTCTGCGACAATTTCTCCCCATTCGAGGCCACGAGGGTTTCCATCTCTGTCTTCCATAAAAGCCTGAAAGATATCGGATAGCTTCTCGCCGTTTTGATAGCGCTTAAGTCGTTCAGTAGCGCGGTTGTAGACAAGTGCTTCCCATCCGTCATTGAGTTTCCAGAGTCGGCGAAACTCGGGCGAGACAAGACGGGTAAACCATTTGTTGAACTTGAACCACTGGGAGGCCCACACGATGATAGACTGCGCTCGAGCCGTCCCGTGAAGGCAATCTCTGAAGTTGACCTGGAACTTGGAGCCATCCATGCGCTCAGCTTGAACGATGTCGGTGCCCTTATCGAGAAGATGAAGGTGCTCACTCAAGGCGATATCCGCAATTGCGTCAATTGAGAAGAAGTTTGTATAGGAACGATAATCAAAGGTCAAGTCCTCAGGGTTCGGTCGAGTCATCTCCTTCTTCAACGGGGGGGTACAGGCCTTGTCGCAGGCACGAATAAATCGCTCTGTCTTATCCGCAACCTTGTATTCCCAATTCTCCATGTTTTTCAAGGCAAAAGCAGCCGAGACTGCCTTTCGTTTGCGCTGATGCTCATACTTGTCGATAACATCGGTGATGTGAAAGTGTGTTCCAGCCAAGACTTCGTAGAGCTCGCCCTTGATACAGCCTGATCCATGGCCATAAATATCCTTAATGGCTCTTCCGGTACCGTAAGAGAGCGAATTGGGACCGATGCGAATAACGGGGCGCTTCTTGTGCTGCTCACGAAGGGCTTTAGACCGGAACCCACGAGTGGCTTCAACCATGAAAGGGATGTTGGTAATCCCGCTAAGAGGATGAAAGTTGGGGTATCGACGTAAATGCTTTGGATCAGATAGGTAGGCATAGAGAGGATGGAGAACAAATGTAAAGACAAAGAAGACAGCAACAGCAGCTAACAAGAGATACGCGTACATCTTGGTGGCTTGGACTGAATGATGAGAAAGATAGAGTATATTTGATGGTGATGTCGGCCTCTGATTACATGTGCGCCGTTCAACATGCGTGCTTATGTAGCCTGGAATGGCCCTAGAGTTCTGTGTGTTTCGATGCGGGCGTGCCTCGCTCAAAGCTGCGAAGCATCCAGTCATCCAGGACCACTTTTCCCGACTTACCCATTCAGTCAACTTCAGTAAGTCCACACAAGTTTACGCAGCGTCAGCGAGCAAATGAGAACGTGATCAGAGACCACTTACGAGAACCGCCAAAGTCATGTGCTGCGGGGCTTCCCCGCCCCCGCGTTATATTTCAGCTTCCCCGTTTGCCCCACGATTTCTAAATCCGCCCAAGAAGGAAAATTCCCAAATGAGGATATCCCTTGGTCTCATTTCCATCCCACTCTCTCTCATCGGCAAGTGGTTGGCCGCCGATAACTTGTTCTCAGAAACGATACATTTGTAGTAAAGTATATATACTGGTTAACTGATCACAACGGCAAGGGTAACTCGGCACTGTATGAGTTCTGCACCCTTGTTTCTTTGTGATTCGATTATTCTACTATGGCCGCCAATTTCTCGAACGAACACCTCTACAGGCTGCTGGAGTTGGGGAAGCCAGTGACCGTCTCGGATACACTTGCAGTGGCGATTCTTGGCCTTGGTTCACTCGCATACTTGGCATATGGCATTCCCTGGGACCGGCCTGACCCTTATCATCATGTCTGGTTCACAAAGCCGCAAGACGGGGAAGGATCCAAGGTCGAGCAGGTGCACCACACGCGCAACATTGCCGAGAAGATGGAGCAATCTGTAAGTAGATGCAGCAACTCAGCTATCCAAGATCTTGGGGACTGATTTCACGTAGAACAAGAATATGGTGTTATTTTGGGGATCTCAGTCTGGGACAGCAGAAATGTTGGCCAACAAACTAGCCAGGGAGTGTCAAACCAGATTTGATCTGAACGTCTTGGTCGCAGACTTATCGGATTATGACGCAAAGACAATATCCGAAATCCCCGCTTCCAAGACAGCAATCTTCATCCTATCAACATTCGGAGAAGGCAACCCAAGTGACAACACCGTCGGGCTCTGGACCTGGATCCGAGACCTATCTGGCAACCAGCTACGAGATTTGCGGTACATCGCCTTTGGGCTGGGAAACAGCACCTACAAATACTACAACCAAGTTGTAAATGTCGTGACGGAGTCGTTCGACCGCGCCGGCGCCAAATGTTTGATGCCTGTTGGCAGAGCGGACGATAGCAACGGCGGTACCGAGGAGGATTTCTTGGCTTGGCGAGAGGACCTGTTTGTGTATTTCAAGACTCAACTCAGCCTGCAGGAGCGGGAGATTGCCTACACACCAGCCTTTGAGGTCACCGAAGATCCAACAGTCCCGGAGTCGGAGCTCAACTACGGCGTACCCATCAACCAGCAAAGTGCGGGTTCGAAAGGCTTCACGTACTATTCTCCTATAAAACCTGTTACCTTAACATCAGCTGAAGAGCTTTATCACACATCGGATCGACATTGTGTTTGTCTTGAGTTCGACTTGGCAGACCAGGCAGAGCTCCGTTACAAGACTGGCGATCATCTTGCACTTTATCCCAGCAACCCTGAAGCTGAAGTGCGAAACCTCGTGCGGTCACTGGGGATGGAAGGCCGTCAGGAAGTTCCTTTGAAGCTTCAGTCCATCCGAGAGGATTCGAAACTTCCTAACCCTACCACTTTGGCAGCTCTGTTTACACACTATCTCGAGATATGCGCTCCGCTGTCCCGGGATACGGTTCGGCAATTAATACAATTTTCCCCAACACCAGAGGCAGCGTCTTTTTTGAAATCCATCAGCAACAGCAGAGAAGCATTTTCCGACTTCGTCGGAAAGAATCATGTCACAATTGGCCGTCTTCTTTCTCTCGTGGCTCCAGACGTGAGTTGGGCAAAGCTTCCTCTCTCCTTCTTGCTCGAGGTCATTCCGCTTCTACAGCCCCGTTATTACTCTGTTTCGTCCTCGGCCATGGTATCGCCACGGAAGATATCGATCACAGTCGGTATTGTCAATCGTACACTAAAGGGTGCGCCAGAAGTGAACATTCGGGGGCTGACATCGAACTACGCCCTTTCTCTCGCTATGAGGCTGAAGGGAGCTCAGTCACCGTGGCCAGCGTCTGATCTACAACAAGCCTATGCGCTTGAGGGCCCTCGCAGCATACTTGATGGAAGGAAGGCTTTCGTGCGCATTAGAAAATCCCGTTTCAAACTCCCGACAACGCCTTCGACTCCTATTATTATGATTGCCGCCGGTACGGGTCTGGCACCGTTTCGAGGGTTTATCCTAGAGCGGGTAAGGCTTCAAGCTATTGGTAAGCCCGTCGGCCCAATGATCCTGTTTTTCGGCTGTCGGCGACCTGATCATGACTTCCTCTACCGCGAGGAGCTATACGAAGCCGCCCAAGCTCTAGGTGATAATTTGGATATTCGAACTGCTTTTTCAAGGTCGACTGCAGAACCTAAACGATATGTTCAAGATTGTATTCGAGAGGATGGACACAGAATTTGCGATCTACTTGAAAAGGACGCAAACTTGTACATTTGCGGTCGCGCTGCGATGGCAAAGGAGGTTGGCGCTGTCATTCAGGAGGCCATGACAACTTATCGTAATGGCGATCAGTCGAAGGCTGGAGAATGGAGCGAATCGATAAAGAGGGGCGGTAAGTGGCTGGAAGACGTATGGGGGTAGGCGAAAAGAAAAGCAAGCAATTTGATATTATTAGACAGTCTCAAATAGATACATTAGCCAATACACCAAGCTTCTCGTCGACGATCATTCAGATGATTTATGTAGCACGTCTTCTGTCTCTACAATAAGAGCAGCCGGGAACCAGACTCACAACGCAAAGAGACAGTTACAAATCTTACAATCCCTCATCCCTCAGCGGTTTAAGGGAGGTGTATTCTGATATCTGGTATGTCACATTTGACGAGGGATGTTGACTGTGCGTTGAAGCTCTTCATTTCTAACTGAATGAGTGACTGAAGTTGGTCAGTTTTATTCTTCCTTGGATCCCTCGTATCGTCAGCTATGGCGGAGTGTTCTTCACGATCTGTTTTATCCAGGTTTGATCTTTCTTGGTCAGACAGCCCGTGTGTCAGAGCGGCCTTAGTCATGCGATGTGACATGGTAGCTTTATAACTCCCTTACTAACGCAAGCTATTGCTCAATCGGCAATAGCATCTCAACATCGCGGCCTTCTGTTGTAAGTTTGGCGCCTTCTAATTGCACCTGTTTCAATGTTTCAAAGAGCAAAAGGAAGGTAAGTGATGACCTCCCAAGTGACTAGGATTACCCTTTTGACGTCATAAACCCCAACTGACTGGTAATTTACAGTCATAAACCTCCTTCCTGGCTAGGTTTAGTGGCTGTTCCAAAAGCTGTTAGGGCTATGGGATCATATGTTATTCCGGCCCCGAGGCCAAGCCGAGTAATGTAACAGAAACAGATGGCTGAAGTCCGTGTCAGACAATTGGCTCCACAGGGATCATTGACGGCATCAGTCAATTGATGAGAATTATCTGAAGAATAAAGGAAATTGAACAGCCATGTGTTCATCCACAGCTATTTAAGCTCATGTCGGTACAATTGGAATCCTTGATGCGACAAGTTAGATGTGAAACCGGATACACAACCCCAAAGTACGGGCCGCGTTTCATATCCAGTCGCACGAACCTAGTGGTGATATGTGGGACGGTCAAGGTTCCCAACGTAATAAACCGTAACCTGATTTGGTTTATGTTGGCAGTTGTAACGGGGCGTAACGTACTGAGCGTAGGGTGGCGGATCACGTCTGATAATATCAAGAAGTATTGAGTAATCAAGTTGTATTGAAAGCTGGAGAGCTATCTAGATAGGGAAGTGAGAATGAGCGAAGCTATATATACTATTCTGATTTGCTTGGTTGATCATGGTCGAACGCGCTCTCGTCCGACCTATTCGACCCTACTGTACGAATGTTTATCCAAATCGCGCCGCATTATCTACTTTTCGTCCGCGCCAACCCGGACGACCATGAAAATCCCCGGTGTTTTCCCGAAAAACCACCCTTAGATTCTACACTTTTTGTCCGTGCATATTGACACAGTAACGAGCATGTGACTTGCCGATTAGGCATAGTCCGGTTCCGCAGACCCACAGATGGTCTGAGCTTGGTGAGGTGAAGTAAATAGCTTTGGAGATCACGTGCAGAAAGTTTGCAGGTGACCCTTGATCCGTGACCGAGATCACTTAGTCATCAGTATGACAACGTAATCGCTCTGATGATAGCGACTCCACGAAAAGTAAACAAAGACGTACTTCAACAACGATGGCCTGCAAATACGATCCGATCGACGAGCCATGCCTCTTCTCTGGTGGTCGAGACTATTCTGAGGTTCCATCTGTTCGATTTTTCCATCCTGGCTACGCTGACGCTGGCGGCATTCCCGATTTCGATGTCCTCATCTCCTTGGAAGCGTTCGACGATGGGGGAACAGGCATCCACTACGACACAGCACACACGGCATGCGCTATCCTCGCTAATAACCGCTGGGATGGCTATTTCTCACATGATAGGCATGGAAAGCTAAAGGCCCAGCCGCCTGATGGGATTCTTCGCGAAGAACAGTACTACTTTTGTCTCCCGTCATCTGACCCGTCAACCGATCGATACCCCGTTATCCCCCGATTCAGGGACTGGCGATTCCCTCACAATGATCTACCACTCATATGGAAAAACCTCAAAGATCAATTGAGGGCGAATAAGCCGGGTGACAAGAGTAAAAGCGCCAATTGCTTGCTCAGCAATTGTGGTGATGCGGTAGAATTCGCCCATCTCGTACCTTCTGCACAGTCTCATTGGTGGACGATAAACTTGATGAAACGGTAGGAAAACCTTTAGAAAAGCGAATCCGTTAAGCCGTTCCCTGTTAATGTGGCTCAATCAGGTATGCGAAGACACCCCTTTTCTCGACGAATGACATGGACGTCCCGGCAAACGGGCTCCCTCTGCGCTGCGACATACATAGGATGTTCGATGAGCGGCACTTTACTTTTGTACCAAAGACCGTTGTTCCTCGATATCAAGGAAAAGTGCCGTCGTCGTCACAAGACGATGCAGGCCATCGCGACCAGGATCTTTCCTCGCAGGGTGATCCCAAGCTGCGACAGGATAACGACGAACAATCCCAGGCCGATTCGCGGTTGCCATTACGATTGAATACTGGTGACAGGAGCCATGACGCCGAAACCGAATTGAAGGCGGAACCAGTACATGTCGTTGGACACGTTTTCAACTCTACTCCATCTGGCGATCTCCCCCGGCTGTGGCACAACCGGCCGTTGTGTTCTCCACCGTCGCCAGCCTCGGTTGAATATTTGTTTGCTCGGTTCGCCTACACCATTTTCTCGCCTTCCGTGTTCAAGTACTTTCTTGATTCGAACAAGGCCCGACGCCTTCTCGTGTGGGACCAGGAGAAGCTCAAACACGAGATTGAGGATGCTGATCCGGAAAGGTGCCGCTCTATCTGGAACGCCTCGAGGTCGAGAAGCGAGAGCCCGAAGAAGAGAGCAAGACCCGCGGGAAATGAACAGCAGGTTGAGGATGGGGACTGCGCGCCTGGAATCTTCGACACAGCGTCCGATGTAGATAGTGCCTATCATGACGACTCGCAGCACATGGGTGAAGATGCTTCTGAGACTCCTGCTTTGGATGAGCCGGTGCGCGGTCGAAGAAGGAAACGCGAGTCTGAGGAGCACTCAGGAATGGATGATTTATATGGGGTGAAACGGAGTAGATTGGGATTGTTGGCATGAGCGATGACTTTATTATAGAGAGAGATTGAGTGCTAGAAGATACTTGACGAATGAATGACGATAGTGCGATATCAGGCCAGCTCGATAAGTGAATCAAGCCGACGCTACACCATGGAGTGATATCAGCAAACCCAGCTGCTCATCCATACATTCGGATTGGGATGCCGTACGGCCTATTCAATGATTTTTCCTTATAATTTTTCCCCCTGGGTAGATGGAGGGGGCCTTTTTTATCATATTGCTTGAGGAGTCAACTTTCTCTTTCCTTTTACATGCAATGCAGGGTTCGAGTTGTGCCCGAAATCATTACTCGTATTTGCATCCAGCCTGTGGCATTCTCATCCGACTAGCTCCTCGTTCCTCCACATCCGTGTTGGTCTGACCTCGATGTGACATCGTCGTAGGTGCACCTACGACCATTTCTAATGGCCTTTCCTCTGCAACTCTCTCACTATCGCCATAAGTCTCCAAGTACGAGACCGCTGTACCCCTGCTCCAACATTGCTCAGTTCATCCGGTGCCTTGGCCGCAACCCAAGCGTCGGCGAGTGGCCAAAGTTTCCCACGTGAAGCAAAGCCGTGGCTGTCGGGCCAACATGAAGATGACCGGCTATGGGGAGGAGACGGTGTATCTTGGCAAGGCAAGGAGAAGCCGACCCGATCGTCGACTTGATGAACGATTGCTGTCTCAAGAGCCTGTTACAGGGTTCAAATCCACGACACTCCACGACACATTTGTGAATATGGCGTGGATATGGATGCTGACTAATAACTTCGATGTGGAATGGGTGGAAATGGATCCATTATGGAAATGGATCCATTATGGAAATGGATCCATATTGTGGAATATGTGGAATGGAAACCCACTTCATCCAACAATGGTAATTAGTGGGTCACGTCCATGCCTCAGTGACGTCAATATTTTTATCATTGGTCCATTAGAATCCGCTGTTTGCTTGATGCAAAGGCAACACACCCGCTGACGTTCCTGCTTCTTGGTATGCTAGGATATCGTAGCAGAACTGATATACCTATTGACGCACTTGGCCGTCTCTCTCCGTCAAGGTCCAAATTTTGTAGAGCTGAAAAAAGTCGTTGATTATCTTCTTCTGTACGTTCTGGAACGGATGTGGTTGACTTGGCAGGATCGGGGGTGGCCATTTCGATTTAGGGTAGTAACGCGAGTAACAGTAAAGCACCCAGAATAGACTTGTTTGAACTTGGTGTACGGAGGAAAACGGGGTAGCATATCAATGTTGTGTTGTTGTGGGTGATAGAGAGTACTTATGGTATGCGCTATTTCACAAGGAAACCCAGGTATTTTTGAACCCCCCCTAAAATTGTCCACAATTTCCACATGTTCCACATGTGGAAGGGGCTCCGTGGCGTGGATATGGAAATGCTGAAGCCCACGTGGAATGGAATGGAATGGATATGGATCCACATTATGGATCCATATGTGGATTTCGTGGTATGGATTTGAACCCTGGCCTGTTAGGCGGAGGCGCAAAGACGTGGCAAGGCATACGCGGCGAGTTCCTGCTAAACGTGCCCGAACTGGAAGTGCGGCGCATTTCCGGAAGGGAAATGGGGGGTGAGGAACTGGGGGCTGTGATTGGAGCGGAAGTGGAAATGCGCCGCATTTCCACTCTACGTGCTCGAGTAGGCCTGAATATCGGCGTGCCTGTTGGTGTTGAAGTAGGGAGAATCCTCTCCATCCTCGTCCTCGTAGGCATCCTCACCCATCTCGACGTCTGAACTTATCAGATCCACAATCTCCTGGTCATTACCCCCAGAGTACTTGGGATCCATGACCTCACGGTACCCGTTGTAGTATCTCCGCAAGATACGTAGGATCTCTGGTCCATGATCCATGACTTTGTCAGGTTGGATGTCTGGAATCTTAGACATCTTGTCAAGAGAAGTTGTCCACTGTATGGCCATGTCTTGGAGCTCCTTCTTGGTGAATAGTGGCTCTCTGAGCCCCTTCTGCTTTCGGATTTGCTCCTCTGCTACCTTTGCTTCCTGGACGAAACCGTCGACGATATCCCGGTGTATTTCGTTCAAGCCCTCCAGCTCGGTACTGATGGGTATTGGAAGCCCAGGCGACCGCGAGGGCGGCTTCGGTGGTTGGTGGTCAGGCAGCTCTTCAAAGGCCTCCTCATCCTCGTTATCATCTACAATGAACCCATCATTCTCATAGCCATTCAAAGTCATGGCTCCATTCTCATCGTCGCTTTCCACAGAACGTGATTTCTTTCTCCGTCGCCCAACGGGTAAAGACACGTATGGTGACGGCATGGCAGTCACACCCTGATCCTTCGGCTTCTTGGTGGCTTGCTTCGACTGGGGCTTGGAAGGCTTGTTAGTCGCGCCCTCTTCCGGTACTTGAATCGATAACATGAGCTTCCGCTGCCCTGAGAGAAACAGGTGGTATGTTGATCCGAGTTTTAGGTACTGGATTGCCATGCCATGATTTCCGACTTGGTTGTTCTCATGAAATGCCTTCTCGGCTAACAGTTTGTCAAGTACTCGAACAAGCTCATGCTTCTTAAGGCTCTTTGCCATTCCATACCAGTCGTCTGAGCGACGTGCCTCGTAAGGGGGGTACTTTCTCCCGATGAGGATGTCGGCGCATTGCACTGCTGTAATCCGCCTCTGCGCCTGAACAACTCGGATGGCAGCAATGGCGTACTTAGAAAAGTCTTGTTGCTCAAAGATCAAACCAGCTTTGCAATTGTCGCAAGTCTTGCCACACTGCGCTGCACTGAAGTCCTCGCCAAAATAGCGAAGAATTTCAGCCCGTCGGCAATCAGACTTGTTGTCACAAAATGCCGTAACACGGTTGAGCATAGACATCTGCCGCTCCTTTTGCTCCTTGTTGCCATCACCCTCAGCGATCAGCTTCTTCAGGATCCTTATATCCTGCTTGCCATAGAAGAGAATGCAGTCAGAGGGATCTCCATCTCTGCCTGCGCGACCGGTCTCCTGATAGTATCCTTCCAAGCTTTTTGGAAGCCCGTGGTGTATGACAAACCTCACGTCTGGCTTGTCAATGCCCATGCCAAACGCAATTGTTGCAACGATAATCTTGATCTGGCCCTGTTGCCAGGCAATTTGCACCTCGGCCTTCTCCTGGGGATCGACGCCTGCGTGGTAATGCCTGGCGGTGATACCTTGGTCCGAGAGACTTTCCGCAACCTTTTCTGCGTTCTTTCGTGAGACCGTGTAGACAATCCCACTCTGATTCGCATATTTGGACTTGATCAGCGACGCGATCTCGTCCATACACTTGGCATTAGTTGTCTTTCCGCGAACCTCGTAGTATAGATTTGGACGATTGAAGCTCTGTGAGAACGTTTGACAGTTGTCCATTCCGAGATTGTGCCTGATGTCGACGATGACGTTCTGCGTCGCGGTGGCTGTGAGAGCCATGACCGGCACTCCAGGATATCTCTGGCGGACTTGGCCCAGAGTCTTATAGTCTGGCCGGAAATCATGGCCCCATTGACTGACGCAGTGAGCCTCATCGATGACGATGCGTGCAAGTTTACCTTTGTCATGCAGGGTTCGCATCCCATTGTTGAAGGTAATGTTCTTGCTCACCATCTCGGGGGTAACATACAGGAGCTCAATGTAGTCCTCCGGGCTTCTCTCCTTGAAAGCAGTCATCACCTGTCTCTTATATTCGGCAGAGCACTCACCATTGAATGCAACAGCCTGAATGCCCAGAGATTTCATGTGGTCGACTTGATCTTGCATCAAACTGAGCAAAGGCGACACCACAATGGTAACACCCTGAGTCTTGCCAGTCTTGACAACAGCGGGTAACTGATAGCACAAAGATTTGCCGCCACCCGTTGGCATAAGAACGAAGGCGTCTTTACCCCCCAGTGTGGCATTAATAGCCTCAAGCTGATTATGGCGGAATCGTTTCATTCTGAACCGGTCTTTAAGCATCCTTTGAACTTCAGGTGACCACGGGTGCTTCATCAGCTTGCCAGGGATTGACTCTGGCGCTACTGGGGGCAATAACTCCTTTGACGAGGCTCGAGGCTTTGCAACAGCTCCAGCGTTTCCAGATGTCTCCGAGAAGACCTTTCCAAAGTCCTGCGAGACGGGAGCGTGGAATTGACGGGTCTCATAATCCTGTGCAAAAGCAAGCATTTCCTACTCAAGTATTAAAGACTGAAACGGGGCCCGTTTCCGCTTTTGAACCAATCATGTCTCTCCATTCTCACAGGGGTTATCCCATATTGAAACGGGGCCCGTTCTCATTTCCGACTCTGAACTGGGATCGCGAAACGGGGCCCGTTTTCGCGTCGCGTTGGTCCGTGTCAACCAAGTCAACTCCTTTCATACCTCCCTCTACCTCACCTGAACCATTATTTCCCATATTCTTCTCTTCTTTGGCTGACGCCTATACCACTTATATTTTACAGAAGAAACCAGTCAGCCAACTTACAGCATGGATTTAATACATCAAGAAATCCAACTCAGCCTTGACCAGTATTCCAGGTTGGAAAAGCTTCATCTCCACTTTAACCTACCAGAGCAGGCCATTATCTGTACGCTATGTGGTTACGCGCTTGCAACAGACGATGACCGCGTCGGGCGTCACCTTGGAGAGAAGCATCATATCCCTAAAGGGGCTCGCCGGAAGCTCAACGCATTAATCAACTCACTTCAACTTCCCAGTCCGGAGACGCTCCCTAAGCGACCAGATGGTTCTGCGCCCCATCCTCACCTGCAGATCCAGGAAGGCAAGGCTTATAGGCACTGTGGCCTACGTTCCACAAGCTTGACTATTCTGTCGCGACACGTCAGAAAGCTTCACAAACGTGAAATTGCAGCCACAAGAAGTACCGGCAAGCATTGGCTGCGAGATCATATCGTTGATAACCTCGCATTCCAGAGCTGGACATTGAAGGATATCAAAAGGGCCTGGACCATAACGCCCCTAAGAGCTTCGACACAGAGATCCAAGAAATCAGACAACAGACTCCTACAGCCAGTCCCGGATCCTATACAGCGCCTTGCAGATCAGCTATTACATGAAGAACGCACTCGCTCGGAGCTACACTCCGCCACTCTCAACCCCCCAACCGATGGCGATGTGCTGTCTACGCAAGCTTTGCTGACAAACTGGATGCGCCGAACTGGCTGGGATCGAACTTTCGAGGGTGCGGACTGCCAAATCCTCATTTCCTTATCTAGCTTGCCCATGCCATCATCCCAGCCGCTCTACCTAGGGATGCACCGTGGCGGGCACGAGCTCAGCAGCTCGGCGATAGACGAGAACAGGCTCTTATCCATCGTCGCAGCGCTAGACCGGCTCTTTGACCAGTGCGGCGAGACAGTGAGATTCACTGATGTCAGCGTTCGGCGATGGCTGCGTAGCCGCTTCACGGATCGCCCCTACAAGGCGCCGTTCGAGCTCGTATCCCAGTCAAACTCCGAAAGGACATACAGGAACGAGTTCAAGCGCTGCATCTGCTTCTGGCTGCGTGTCTGGCGACTTCCGAGAGCCATATCTCGTGCCGTCACGGGCCGCATCTTCACAACACATCAACGTAGGATATTGGAAGAACTATGGCTTGACTCTTGTTGGACTCCTTGCGACAACGAAGACCAGAATGCCGAGAATGCATATGCGGGCTCTGCTCTCTGGCTCCGTCAAGAAAACCTTGGTTCTGAAGTTGGTCAAGGAGAAGGGGAAGAAGAAGAAGAAGAAGAAGAAGAAGAAGAAGAAGAAGAAGAAGAAGAAGAAGAAGAAGAAGAAGAGGATGTTGATGATGATGATGATGAAGGGTCTGAATTCTCCAAGTCTGAGGATACAGCAAGTGATGCCCTATATGGCGAGGGTTCAAGCGATGAAGAATATGGTTCTGACAACCAGTGGTATAGGGTCTCTGAGTCCAGAAACGGTGGCCAAGGCGAACTTCAGCCTGGGAGCCATAGAGTCCCTTCCAGAGAGACAGATAACAGTTGTGATCCATCCGTGGATGCTGTGCTGCGATTCTATTATGAAATGGTTACCGAACACTTCGAAGATGGAAGGGCAAGCTCAGCCCTGCTCGTCTACTTCAGTGCTATCCGGGGATTATCAAGGCAGGAAGGGAACGAATATCTGCGACCCGCCCGATATACCCCCATTCTCTCCAGGCTGATCTACTACACTCGGTTAATCTTCCTCGAGGCCATCCTGCCTCTTCGTGCTCATACGTATACCGGATTTGCGGCCAGGCCCCGCTACGGCCAGCTTGCAGCCCTCAATGCGGTTCGCGTCGACCAGATGTGTGACGGCACTATGTCGCCACTTGGCGAGTTCCTCAGCCTCTTGGCGTATGGGTTGACCCTTCAACGAAGTGAAGGCCCCGCGTGGCACTTTGACTGGAGCGAGGATGGACAGACGATCTCATGGGACGGAGACACACGGCTGTCCATGGGACAGTTCCGCAGCCTAGCCCATGAGGCATTTCGCCAAGCTACCGTCCAGTCTCGGCGCTTGATGTACGACTTCGATCCAGAGGACCCGCAGATGGGAAGCTTGCGTGATAGGCTATCGAATACGACTCCCGGCTATTCCTTCCTCACAGACCCTCATAACGGGCTCGGGGAGTTATACCTGACGGTCTTCATGCGGGCCTGCACAGCTCCCGTGGACGGTCTGCTCCAGACGCGGCATGGCGACGGCCAGGGCAGCTGGGACGTGGATGCAGCACAGGCATACCTGCACGGGCATGATACCCTTCTCAAGAACCTCATGGTTCTCGAGCAGCTAGACAGCGGCCAGGCTGCGCGAGTCTCGGAGCTGCTGACTCTGGAACGGACGAACACAAGGTCGAGGCTCCGAGGCATCGGGATCTTCGGCGGGCAGATGTTCTCCATAACTCGCCACAACAAGGCTCGCCTCACCACAAACCGCGAGTTCCAGGTCGCACGGTTCTTTTCCCCCCAGGTTGCAGCATTGATGTATCGATATCTTGTCTATATACGTCCGACCGCCTACGCCATCCTACGTCAATGCTTCAGGCATGAGCCGGATAGGACGCTCATCTTTACACCCATCTCAAGGAGTACCGGGTGGACCACCAAGGTATTCACAGAAGAACTTAAACGCCTGAGCCGAGATGCTCTGGGCACCGAGATGGAGATTGGCGTTCGGCTCTACCGTCAATTATCGATCGCCATCACCGAGCGGCATGTTCGCGGAGCTCTTCCAACCTTCAACCGGTTTGATGACGTGACCGAAGCAGCCGATCCGGACGTTGCATTTGCATGGCAGAGTGGCCATCGTCCAATGCAGCGCCATTTAATCTACGGCCTAGATGGCGCGTTTCCGGACAAGTTGCAGCCATCACTGCTCAGACTGTATGCACGCTGCTCTGAGAAATGGCATAGCTTCCTCATGATCGGACCCGAGGCGCCACCCACAAACGATATCGCCTCTGTACGTTCCGACACAGACACTATCCTGCCGAGGCAAAACTCGGGACAAGGAACGAATACAAAGAAGAGGAAGCGGATATCAATATCATCGCCACAGACCACCAGTCAGACAAGCCTTAAGCGATCACGACGAGGGCTAAGCAATACCGTGGGTACCGAGGCGCCATTATTAAGCCCTTCATCGAGCCAAGTACCATGCACCCTCCCTAACGATGGGCGCGTAATCAACTCGCCACGGCCACAACCTCTTGCGGTCAGCAGGGACGGGAATAGTCGACTTGACAGCGAACAGGGGAAATTCCAGACATACGGTACCTTCGTGCACCTAACGGAGTTCAACATACTTATCTATAGCACTTGCCAATATGCAGTCTTTGCAGATCAGGTCGCTTCACATCTGCTCCACAAAAGGCATATTAGGAACTTTACGCCGCGTAAAAGAAAGCACCTCGTTTCAACCATCGACGAGATACCAGGTATCTTCCGATCTCAAGACAGCATACTAAATTTCAAATGGCCCCCCGCTGATAGCCAACCGATACCATTCATCAAGCCCCCTAAGCAAGACAGTCTAGGCTGCCACATATGCGCCTATATAGCAAGCACGGAATGCGGCATGATTGAACACTATCGCAAAACCCATCAATGGGTTAATAATCGAAAGAGGGGTAGTTATCAAGATAAACTCTTGGAGCGTCCTTAGAGGAAACATGTTTTTTGCCAATACTTCTTCCACAACCGTAAGGGCTTCCGTTGGTTTGAGGTATGCCGGGGCAGTTAGGTAGTCAGTAACGTGAGAGATAGCCGTGCTTTCTTATTGGTATTATAAACAGGAGGCTATATATCCGATCATATAGGGATGGCGTTATTTGCAATATCGCATGACTCAATATAGAAGATTATATCTTGAGTCGTATGCGTATTAAGGGCTTAAAGTTAAGCTGATCTTTTTAATGTGGTTAAAAGAAGGAAGACCAATGGAGAGCAGCGTGTAATGCTATTGGGTGAATTAGATTGTCTCTGTATTGCCTACCACAAATTCCCATAGACCAGATCGAGCAATCAGCACACAGCTAGTCAGGCTATCGAAGCTAGCACGATATATGTGAGTGCAAGCTACTAATGAGAGAGATAATGGCATGATATAAATCTAGAGATACAAAGAACCATCCGTTCCAGCCGAATTCAGATCATATTATTCGTTAAGGATGCCCGTTAACACACATGGCAGTTCAGAATAGCAATGGCCGAGATGGAGCCGTTTGTCAAGTTGCGTTTTGCATACATCGGTAAGCATATCGAGCAGCACATAAAGCGATATCACAAGTCCATCCGGGTAGCAGAAAGGGACGAGATTACAAAAGCGATCCAGTCAGACCCAGATATCATCCAGACTCGAGACGAGTTAGCAACATGGCCAACGCCGCCACCCACAATCGACCCCATCCCGTTTATCCACCCACCACAGAGCGATAAGTTGGGTTGTGGCGAGGAGGGTTGTTTATACGTGGCAGGTTCGGCACGAGCCATGCAGAACCATTACCGCAATTTCCATGGAAGGACGAATCCACGAGGCAGGGGTGGAAGTGACCAGCAGCGAGCCATGGAGGCACAGCGGGTACCGTGGCGTAGCGGTGTCCAGTGTCAACGGTTTTTCAGCAATGGGCCGGGTAGCCGTTGGTTCGAGGTCGGGTTCGGTGCACCAATCAGCCAGGACCCGGACGAGGCAGCCGTTGCAGACCGTTTAATGCAAACATTGGACCAACAGGAGCGCCGGTTTGATTTGGAGGATAAAGAACGGATCAAGGCCGCCGATTCCAAGTTGGACGCCAACGCGTGGTTAGAGCACGTCGGATGGGCCACCCATTTGCAAGGGTTCGACCCGGAAGCCATGCAGCGGTTGGTCGACCCAGTGGGCGAGCAGGAGCACGAGTTGCAGTTAATCCATGACAGTTTGGTGCGAGTGATGGACCAAGCACGCGCCATAGCCACGCCCACCAACGTTGGCAGCCATGCATTGTTCGAGGTGCAGCGGAAAGAGGTGGACAAGAAGCCACGGCGGCCATTCGACGACCGCGTCGAGGATGATACGTGGACGCGTTATACGACCGTGTGGACCAAGTTAGTGTGTTACATATACCATGCCGAGAAAATACCAGATGCAGACAGGCCCAAGTTTCGGTTATCCAAGCGGCAGGGCGATTTGATGGATAATTTGGCAGATTTGGTCGAGGCGCACGTGGACGATCCGGAAGCACAGCCATTAGACGAGGACCGAGTGGACGGGTTGACATTGCAGGTCGTCATAGCGTTGTTGGACCACCGTTTGACCGCGGGGGAGTACCGCAGTGCCATCATCAGCGGTTTAGCCGTGTTGGGTATCCGAAAGGACGGTGGTTAGATGGACGTGTTGGATTACACGCCCATGTATTCCGCCGTCATCAAGGTTGCCCGTGCCATGGTAGTATACCAGTCGTACCAGGAGAGGCAGGCCGAGGTGATGCGATTGAAGCAGGATAAGATGGACGAGTGGATGATGCGGCGGCGGCAGGAGGGAAATCAGACGTGGGATGAGCAGCATGCCCGAAAGGAGGCGGAAGAGGAGGCGGAAGAGGAGGCCACCAGCATATTCCGCATCGTGCGTGGGAAGGTGCAGCGGTTCATAACGGTCACGCCCAAGGATCCCCACGCCGAGGCAACGCCGATGGATTGGATTTACGAGGCACGCACGTACGGGATGCACATCCGGTTCAACACGCCGGCCGGCGGGTCCATCGATTGGGTCGGGGACCGCATCAAGCACCGCCGAGTGCAGTTCCGGATGGGCGAGTTGACAGAGATGTTGCATGCGTTGAAGACGGAAGCACGAGAGTTGTTGACGACGTTGACGATGGTGGACAACATCAGCCAGTTGCCGCGGATCCCGTGGTCATCAATCGAAGACGACCATAGCGAAGACAAGGTGGGATATTCATTTTTGGATGACGACCGTAACCGCACGTGGTTGGCAGCCGGCAAGAGCTGGAATGCGCGCCGGATCATCGAGACGCAAGGGCGGCGCAAGATTTGGTTTGACCATGGAAGGGAGGACGGGAAGCCGTTCCAGGCCAGAGCCGTGCAGTCGTATGGGAAGACGTTCAACGAGTTCATGGAAAAGATGTTTTTGGTGATGCACATGACAGGTGGGCAGCCCGCGCGATCCACCGAGATTTTGGGCATTCGATATAAGAACACCATGAACGGCGGCGTACGCAATATATTCGCGCACGACGGGTTGATGTGTTTCGTCACGTCGTACCACAAGTCGTTCCGGGCCACGGGGCAGGCCAAGGTCATCCACCGATATTTGCCACGCGAGGTGGGCGAGTTATTGGTGTGGTATTTGTGGTTAGTATTGCCGTGGTGGCAGCAGATACAGGGTGTCATCAAAGATGCCGGCATACGCAGCCCGTATTTATGGCCAGACGAGGTGGTTCGCAGGGACGAAGTCAGCGAGACGGAGCAGAGGGAGAGGAGGCAGGCCGAAATGGAGAACCAGGACAACCAGGACGGCATTGGTAGCGGCGGTGGCGATGGTCGTGGTGATGAGGATGGTACCGACGAGCCCGGTTCCAATGCGAGGTTCGACAGTTGGGTACAGGAGCGCAATTGGACGTCAGACCGTGTCCGCCGCATCATCCAACGAGACAGCAAACGATTGTTAGGCACCATGTTGAACATCAGTTCGTGGCGGCAGATTGCCATCGCCATATCCCGTCGATATTTAGACAAGGCATTCAAGGAGTCGACGATAGATGGGGTCGAAGAAGACGACGACGGTGTGGACGATAACCCGATCGATTTACAAGCCGGCCATGGAACGCACGTGGCCGGCATGGTATACGCACGAGAGTTGCAGCAAGGGTTATTCAGCACGGCCACGATGCGCGACAAGTTTCGGTCCGTCAGTCGGCAATGGCATCGGTTTTTAGAGTTCCGCGAGGGCGACAGTTTGGCCGTGGCGATACGCCGAAAGCGGGAGCCATTCGAGACGGAGCGGGAGCACCACCAGTTGCAGCGTTTTAGGCGATTGCAGCAGGTCGATATTGCCGCCCGGTTGAGGGAGATGATGGGACCAGACGCCGCGTTCCGTGGCCAGCAAGAGACGGTGATCCGGGCCATCATGCGGGGAGAGAGCCCGATTGTGCAGATCGCAGGCACGGGAGAAGGCAAGAGCATGTCGTTTATGTTACCGGCGTATTGTTCCAGCGACGACGGAGGGACAACCATCGTCATCGTGCCGTTGGTAGCATTGCGAGATGATTTGCACGGCCGTTGTGCCAAGAGCCAGATCGCGACATACGTTTGGAACAGTCGCGGCGGGCACCAGATCACCCCCATCGTGTTCGTCACGCCCGAGTCGGCAGTGACGAAAGGGTTCGGCGATTTTGTGAACCGGTTGCAGGCACGGAAAGCGTTGGATCGTGTTGTGGTGGATGAGTGCCACGCCATTTTGGACAGTACCAGCCAATTCCGGCCGCAGTTGATGGAGTTGGGTCGGGTATTGAACGAATGGGGCGTCCAAAGGGTATTTTTGACGGCCACGTTACCACCAGATGAGATTGGGCGGTTTTTCGAGGTCGTCGGGTTGTCAGCCAGCCGTGTAAAGGTATTCCGATCACGAACGACGAGGCCGAACATCGGGTATAGGGTAGTAGTTGTTCGACCAGCGAAGCGCAGAGATCACCAAAAGCAGCAGCGGCAACGGCAGCAGCAGCAGCAGCGGCGGCGGCAGAATACCAGTCAGACCGGTAGCGGCGAGGTTGGGGCAGACCAAGAGGCGGAAGACAGCCGCGTGGTCAAGATCGTGCAGGATTGGTTGTACAGGAACAGCCAAGGTCGCGTCATCGTTTATGCCAACACCATCGACCGCGTTGAACGATTGGGGCGATTATTGGAGTGCAGCGTATTTCATTCCAAGGTCGACACGGCAGCGGGTAAGACGCAGCGATTGAGGTCATGGATCGATCAGGGTCATTTAATCGTGGCCACGAACGCGTTAGGGTTAGGGGTCGACGTGCCAGATGTGCGGTTGGTGGTCCACGCCGGGATGCCGAACCGATTGCGAGATTACGTTCAGGAGAGCGGACGGGCCGGACGGGACGGTAGCCATAGCGAGGCCGTCGTCGTTATGTGCCAGCAGGAGGAGGAAGCAGGAGGTCGACGGTCATCAGCCAAGGCAGGGAGAAGAAAGAAGGCGGCAGGATCAGACAGGGCCAAGTGGCCGGCGAAGGAAGCATCCGTCGAGCGGTTTGTCAGCGCAAAGTGGTGCCGTCGTGTGGTGTTGGACCAGGTGATGGATGGCCAATACGATCGAGCAGGTTGTCATCCAGAGTCGGAGGTGGCATGTGATGTGTGTCAGCGGCAACGGGACCAATTGGCATTGGAGGAGGATATGTTATGGTTTGAAAGAGAAGGCGATATGGCGATGGAGGCGGAAGCGAGGAGGGTGCAAGAGTGCCAGGAGACAGAGGTTGAGGAGCGTTTCAGGAGGGCACAGCAGAACAGCCGATACGAGCAGTTCAAGGCCAGACAAGACGCAATGCAGGTGAACGAGGAGGCCAAGATGTTGGAGGAGGAATTGGCGTTAATGGCCGGTCGATGTATGGGTTGTTTCATGGCGACGGGCACGGTAGAGGATGACCAGTTTCATCCGAGGGAAGAGTGCCCGGTACGAGGTGCGAGGTGGTGGCGACAGGTAAGACGATGCGAGGAGAAATGGCAGCAAGGCATGTTCGAGAAGGGCGTGATGCGGGATTTTTCAGGTTGTTTTTGGTGCGGGTTACCGCAATACATTTGCACGCATTGGGGAGCAGTGGGCGATGATCAGGGGACGTATCGGTTGCGGAGAGATGGGGAGTGCCAGTATGCCGGGTTATTAGTGAGCGTATGGGGAGCGGCCAGTGCATGGTATGAGAGCGACGTCAACGAAGTGATGGGGAAGATGGATATAGAGCGAGAGTATGATTGGCAAGAGACGGACGATGGAGAGATTTACGGGGCGGGGTTGATGAGGTGGTTGGGGGATAGGGTTCAAATGGGTTCGTTAGAGACGAGCAGGTTTTGTCAGGGGTTTCATGATATTATCCAGTTGATGATGAAGCAAGGGGGAGGAAGAGAGTAAGGGAGGTTGGCAGGAGGAGACGATGACGAGGAAGCGTTTCGCCATTGCCGCAATATGCGAGCGTTGGGAGGCAGCGAGCAAACATAGGTGGTTGTTTAGGAGGGTCAGGGGGGAAGTATCAGTATGAGAGGGTATTAGTCGGCATCACGGTGGCGCAGCGGGTATAGGGAGATAAGTGGTGGCAATATGACATAGGGCAGATAATAGGGGAGAAGATCGAGGTATCAGACAAAGAGCAGACAGGCAGAATATATAGGTGGTTAAGGGAGTTAGTCAAATGGGGTAGAAAGGCGGGTAGAGGGATATAGGCGAGCCAATTATGTCAGGTGGTTACGCGGATAGAGAAGTTATAGATAGAGCAGGGAGGTAAGTAGAGATATAGAGGGAGGAGGTATATATAGAGATAAGAAGAGGAATATAGATTATGTTTATTAATAAATTACGAATAAGAATAGAGATAATAAGAGGAGTATAGGGTAGGTATATAAGTAAATTATAAATAAGGTAAAAGGAGATATGTAATAGATATGAGGCATAGTAGGTAATAAGAGAGGTTATAGAGGATTAATATAGGGGTAGGTTTAAATGTAGATATAAGGGAGTTTGCGAGGATTAATATAGAGAAAAGGAAGAGGATAAGAGAAAAAGAAGAAGTAAAAGGGAGGAAAAAGGAGAAAAAGGAAGGAGAAAAAGAGAGGGGAAAAAAATAATATAAAGGCATATATATAGGGTAAGTAAAAGTAAGTACATATTAAGGCATTGAATATATAAGAAATGTAATAAATAAATAAAAAAAAGGTAAATAGATAAGATAAAAATAAAAATATTAAAATAATAAAGATAAAGAAAAGATAAAAAGAGATATAAGTAATAAAATAAAGAAATAAAAAGGAAAGAAAGGGGGGAATAAAAGTAAAAATATATAAGATATAAATAAAAAAGAAAAATTAAATATAAAAGAGTAAGTAGAAATATAATTAGAGGGATAAATTTAAGAAGAAAGTTAAGGTAATAGTTTAAAAAGAAGGTTAGGGTTAGTAATGTATGATTAGGGTTAGGCGGAGTGATGAAGAAGAAGGTTAGGGGGAGGGATTGAGAAGAAGGTTAGGGTTAGTAGTGTATGAATATGGTTAGGGGGAGGGATTGAGAAGAAGGTTAGGGTTAGTAGTGTATGAATATGGTTAGGGGGAGGGATTACAAAGAAGGTTAGGGGGGGAGTGAGGTCCAGATACGGCCATAGAGAGCCGAGGCAAGGGATAACATGCACAATTCATCATAGAATAGTCACGCAAGAGAGTCAAAGCAGAGTAGTCGCAGGCGTTGATTTGTATTTCAGAGTGAGTCCATAGCCACAAGACCAGTAACCATTGCGTTGCGTCCAGTTGTCGGGGATAATGGGATTGATGAAGAAGGCGACGTTAAAGGGTGCGGCGGCAGGGGTGAAGCCGACATTGAAGAGAACGATGGCGGTAAAGCGCGGGAAGTTGAGAGAGAGGCGCAGCGTGATAGTGCCTCCTCCTAGTGCTACATACCAAAATCAACTTTAGTAGAGTTGATTTATTTTGCCCCACTTCACAGGGGGTAGAGTTGATTTATGCCGGGGGGTAGAGTTGATTTTCAGAAAATTACTCGACAGGTCGACAGGGGGGGTAGAGTTGATATTTACCAGGGGTAGAGTTCATTTAATCAAGGGGGTAGAGTTGAATTTATGATTGGCCATAACCCTTGCCATCTAATTGAGGCACGTCATACGCGAGGAACTCTGGTACGCGTCGCGTAAGGCTCGTTGTAATTACCTAGCATTTAAAAAGGGGGGGGGGGCAACCGCAATCGGAAAGAAGTTGGAATTTTTAACGGTGGCACTTCAACTTTTCGATTACCACACTGCGCCACGACGATGAGTTCTGTCATAGAACGAGACTCGTCTAGTGCAATCTACCCGTTCATTCTACTTCATGAATACAAACTCCTTGTGTGCCAGTTATGCGAGTTTGGGTGTGTTGCAGATGAAGTTGCCACGCACTTGCGAACAAGACATCACTACATAGACCCGGAAGGTCAGCGTAAGCTGGTGGAAACCATACAAAAATTGCCCCATGTATTACGAAATCAGTCTCAACTGGATCAGCTGCAGTATCCACCACCGACAATCGAGCCCATTGCTTGTCTTGGCGCACCGAAGCCGGATGGACTGAAGTGTCGAGCATGCGGCCACATCGTACGTCAGGTTCAGAAAATTCAAGCTCATTGTGCCAAATCCCATCAGTGGGTCAATCCAAGGTGTAGAGGACGACCATCAAAGGGATGCCCAATACCTCCCACTGAACTGCCGTGGATCGAAAACGTCGCATGCCAACGCTTTTTCCCTTCCAGGGCGGGCAACAGATGGTTTGAAGTCAGTCAAAATACTAGTCGGCAGAGAAAGAAGAAGAAGTCGCAAGCGAAGCCAGCTTCCTCAAAGCCGCAGGCGACGATTCAAAGTCTTCCCCCAGAAGCGTCCGTCCACCTAAGACAGATATTAGAACGAGAAGAGGGATACCAGGACGCCATGAATCAGCCACGTATAACCAGCAAGGATTCAGGCAGTGAAACTTTCGCAGCTACAAGTCTCTGGTTAGAGAGAACTCAATGGCCCTCTATGTACCAAAACGCTCGGCGAGACATATTACGGGCGTTGACCAGACTACCAAACCGGCAATCCCTGACGACAGACTACATTTTGGGTCAAGGAACCCTTCAGGGCGACGCAGACTTTATAAGCCCACACGAGGATGAACAGAAGATATCGTGTATTATGGGAGCATTGGACTCGGTCATAGATCGTTGCGAAGATACGGTTCGCTACACCAGCCGTACCCTTCTCTGCTGGCTGCTCAGCTCACGACTTCAAAGCCCCCGGGAAATTCCCTTCGGTCTCGTGGCAGAGAGGAATAGCGAGCTCAGATATAGGCAGATTGAGAAAAAATTCTTGGCCTTCACTTTTCGGACGTACCGAATGCCAAGCTATGCTCGACAAGAAATGGCAGACATCAGGCTGAACTCGACACTCTCCGCTCGACTAGAGCAGATTTGGAACCATAGAGTCTGGGACCTATTTGACACATCGAAGGGGCTCTGGCCTAGGATGGAAAGTCAGAGTTGTTATGGTGGCATTAGAGAAACACTTAATGATGCTCCTATCAGCGATGATCGATCCAACAGGGACGCATGCGATGTATTGCAGGATGGAGAAGGGATGCACGGTGATAGACAAGATGAAGAGGGGGATAGCGGGGATGATGATGACGACGACGTGGAGGACTGGGAGCTCGAAGACGACGAGGATGACTACGATGATGATCCTGGATACGACAGCGACCTTCTCGGAACCAACAAAGAGCCCCACTCAGAACCGCTTATCAGAGCGGAGGGCAAGTCTGTCAAGCCAGCATTCGACGAGTTCCTTGAGCTTCTGTTCCACCTATGTCTCACGCTATGCACCGAGACATTCATCGATGGACAGCCAGGCTCTACGTTATTGGTATACTTCAGTGGGGTTCTTGGGTTCTCTGGAGACTGTCGCAAGTTTCTACTCGCCCGGCAGTACTGCCCCCAACTGTCAGGAATCATCTATATCCAGCGCATATTGCTTCTGGAGCGTGCATTACCGCTATGTCCATATCCCATTATCGGCATTCCGCAGCGGCCGCGGACGGAGCAGCTCGAGACCTTGAATAAAATTCGAGAAAAGTACATGGTTTTAGGCTCGCAATCCCCAGTCGCAGAGCTGGTGAGCCTTCGAGACTTTGGCCGCAATGCTGCCCGCACCGAGCCACCATCGACCCTCTTCCACTGGAGCAGTGACGGCGAAATAGTCTCTGACGGAACTCTCAAGCTGATAATGAGAGAATTTCGTAAACTCCCAGAATACTTCATCTCACGGGCGGAAGCACTATGTGATAGTCTTATGTTCGGTATGAAACCCGATGTCGATATTTCAAAGATCAATGACGACATGGCTAGTTCAGAAAGCGGCTACTGCTTCGTGGAGCACCCAGGGAATGGCCTTAAATCAGCATACCTGGATCTACTCGTCCAAGCTTACACTTCGAGCAAGAATGGACTTGCTAGGGGCGGCACCTGGAAGTGGCATGCCGTCGTATCATACTTGAAACGAGTGGCCGAGATGGAGGAGCAGCTCGCCGGTGGTCTTTACACCGCGTGCGGTCAGACTCCGCGAGTGCGCGAACTCTTCAGTCTTGAATGTGAGAACGGTCCAAGCACGACTTGTGGGGTATACGTCTGGGCATGTTATATGGTATACGTCATCCGCCATCACAAAGCGAAGCGACTGACGAATCGCGAGTTCTATGTGGTCCGCTTTCTGCCGGCCAGGCTGGGCCGTGTTTTATACTTATATCTTGTTTATATCCGAAGGCTGGCCAATTTGCTGCGACGGGAGCAGGTCGGGTATATCGAAAGCCACCAGGAACGCCCACAAACGCGACTGCTCTTTCACAGTAACGGAAAAGCATGGCCTACTTCTCGCCTCACAGGTATTCTTACCAAGGCCACTTTGAAAGTTTGGCAGCAGGCGGTCCATGTTCGTCTGTATCGCCAACTAGCAATAGCAGTCACCGAGAAGCACGTCCGTGAAGTATACACCCCATTCAACCGATACGATGACTGTAGCAGCGATGCTGATGTCAACGTCGTATTTGCTTGGCAAAGTGGACATCGCCCACTACAGCGTGGGATCACATACGGACTTGATGGGGCGTACCCTTTCCGACTTCAACCGCCGCTGCTGCGTGCTTACGAGTGGGCCTCGACCCGTTGGCACGAATTCATTCATCAAGCAAGCAAGAAGCTGTCTTTGTCATCTCAACACGCGCCTACCACCCTTGAATCGCTCACCACATGCCACAAGCGAATAATCACCGATGCTTCACTAAACTCTGTGTCTGTCATAGACCAAATTTATCCATCCAAGCGACCAAGGGGATGGGAAACTATCGGATCACTAGTAGAGCGGAGTTCAGGATCTATGCCGGCACCGGAACTGGAAGACGGGGGTGGTGAAGTCTTATTTCCGCCAGATGACGAATCCTCCCATGCTACTCCACGACTTCTTGAAGGAGAAAATCCCGCATGGATAGACCGCGTTCTCTGCGTCCTTGATGAGCATCAGATTCTCATTTGTCTCCTCTGCAAGTTTGCAATCGGGCCGGGCAAGAGCATTGTCCAGCACTTCCGCAAAATGCACCGATTCAAAGGCGACGAGCTTCAGCAAGTAATCTCTTTCTGCAGTGGTAGATCTTTCCAAGATCCGACTACGGTGCCGCTGCCAAATCACCAAAGCAAGCCCATCCCTGAGCTACCAAGATTGAGAGGGCACAGCTGCAAGAGTTGCGAGTATTTGACTATGAACCGTAAAAATATCCTTAGCCACTGTAGTCAACTTAAGCATGGAGCTCAACAGGCTGGTGAAAGAGGATGGAAGGATGTTACTATTCAAACGTTTGCAAAGGGTAAATATGCGCGCTATTGGATTATAGAAGAGTAGAGGAATTTATATGTTTGGATGGAATATGGAGAGGGTAAAATTGCCATCGGTCTTTTTCATAGTAAATTTATATTTATCTTATATTCTCATTATATGTAGTAGGGGCCCCTGATGATTAGATGACTGGCTGAACTTGTGCGGCATGGGTCAGGGGTTTTAGCTCGGGGTTAACTTGAGGTTCAGGGAGGTTGACGTCGGGTCGGGGTTGTTAGAGAAAAAAGGGGACATCAATCATCATAATAATAATCATTTAAATTTAAGTTTAATCAGGCATGCATGCATGCATGCATGAGATGGGACGCTGGCAGCACGCATTTAAAAGGGGGGTGGTGTTGACACTGCTTTGCAGAACCTCCACCACCACACCACCACTACCACTACCACTATCATCATCATTATACTATTATCGTCATCCACCTCCTGGCAATGGCAAAGGCAACGGGAACGGTGGGAGAAGACGAGAACCGAGAGGGGGGGGACGTCAACACGCAGCGCCGAGTGAGGTTCGATACGCAACACAAGGTATGCATATGCCTAACGTGTAGAGTGGCGGTGCCTCCAGGAAGGGACCGCATCAGCGGGATTGTCAGCCACTTCCGCAAGCAGCACCAGCTCAAAGGAGAAGAGCTAGCCCAGGTAACCGCATACTGCTCGGGATTGCCGTTACGGGATCCACACACGATCCAGCTGCCAGCCGACGGCAGCGCACCGATCGAGGATCTCGCCGTGCTAGCGGGCTGCAGGTGCACCGTGTGCGGGTACCTGACGATCAACCGAAAGAATATACTCGCTCATCCGAGGAAATCGGACCACGCAGACATCGGGGGTGGCTGGGAGGCGGTGGAGCTCCAGACCTTTTCGCAGGGACGCTTCGCGAGGTACTGGGTCATCGAGAGGCAGAGGCCGATGCCGCGGGACGCTGTGGTTGAAAGGGATGCAAGCCGGTGCTCAGATGAATCGGAGCCGGGCTCGGATGCCGATGGGTATTATTATGGGGATGAGGTTGATGGGGGGGATTGGGATGGGATGCTGACCCAGTATGGCCGTGTACTCAAGAAAGAGGAAGACGAGAGGCGACGGACCGCGCAGAAGCCCGGCGGTATCGACCACGGCTCGACATGGATCAACAAGACGGGCTGGGCCAAGCACTTCCAGGGGCGAGATCTCAAGAGGATCTACCAGCTCGGACTAGGGCCCAAGTCCAAGGCCGTGCGGAGAGGCATGCGAGACGGCGCCGAACGCGAGGAGCAGGAGACGCTGGCGCGGCTTATCGAGAGCTTCGATCGAGAGATGTCGAGGTGCGTCGGTCGGCTAGAACGGGTGCCGAACGAGACGCTTCGCTGGCTGAACAGCATCAACCCGGAGACTCCGGTAGGGCAGCCGTTCAAGCTGAAGGAGCATGAGAGTTCCAACGAGAAATATTGGGCGTACGGGGGGCGGTATCTATGCCACTGCTGGCGGGTGTGGAAGCTTGGGCGGGACAAGGCACAGACCGAGGTCGGGATACGCTTCACGGACGAGCAGTGGGGCCGTTTATGTGCCGTTGTGGAGGCTCTCGATAATAATAAGGTTGGCGGGGGGGTACCGGGGCCGTCGGGACCCACCATGGGACGGAGCGGATGCGGGTCCACAGTTAACGACGACCGGCGCGGGCGCCGCGACGACAGCGGCAACGACCCCAACGGCGACAGGGAATCGGCCAGCAATGAAGGTGGCGAGAACGACGACGACGACGAGGATGAAGAAGAAGCGAGGCAGCAGCAGCAGCAGCAGGAGGAGGAGAGGAGGAGGGCAGTGCTCGACCGAAGGGTCTTCGAATTCTTCATCAGCTCGATCAAGCACAAGGTAGCATACGACGTTCATCGCAACCCGCTCGTATACTTCACGGCGGTGCTAGGCATTGGCGATGAGAGAACAGGGCACTCGTACAAGCGACCAGCCGGCTATACGGGGCAGCTGGCAGGACTTGTCTGGTGCGTACGTATGCTGATGCTGGAGCACATCTTCGAGGAGGAGCCCGAGGAGCCGGAGGAAATGCGGTTCGAGGTCGTTGAGAAATTTCAGGAGGAACATCGAGAGTGGCTCGTCGACGGATCTTACTCACCATTCAGCACCATGATCGGGTTAATGGCATACGGCAAGGGCCACCGGAAGAAGGACGGCGGCATGCCGAACGTGATGTGGGAAGAGAACGGCGAGGCTCTGCGATACTTGGGGGAGCGGGTGACGATCGACGAGTTCCGGACGGCGGCTCAGGTGGCGGTCAGGGAGGCCGAAAAGCTGCTCGACCGGCTGATGTACGGCCAATGGGCGAAGGTGAAAGCGACGATCGAACTGGGACGGATCGTCGACAGCTTGACGTTCGAGGGTGCCGGGCGGTCGTTTGCGACGAACGGCCGGAACCAGTGGCTCCGGCCGGGTCACCGCAGAGTTGCCGAGCTGGGGAAGGCCAAGCTCTGGCGGCAGGGCCGGGGCTGGAGACGCAAGACCGTGAAGCAGTTTCTCTCAACCTTCCGGCTCTTCGCAATGGCGATGGCCGTCGTCACACACATCTGGTGGGGGATGCCCGGCCGAGGCCCGGAGCTCTTGACGATGCGGCACTGTGACTCACAGCAGCTCATCCGCAGCGCGTTCATCTTTGACGGACAGATGATGATCATCACCGACCGGGACAAGAGCCGGGCAGTCCGCGGCATCGGCAGGAAGGTGGCACGGTTCCTCCCCGAGCTGCCGACGAAGATGATGGTCGCGTACATCGCGTGGCTCATCCCCACGGCGAGGATGCTGCATGAGCAAGCGGGCATCCAGGGGCCCGGACCGTCTCTCGAAGGCTTTCTCTGGGCAGACGCGAGGAAAGGCCGATGGGACACCGAGCTACTCACCCAGCGGTTGAGGCTTCTGACTGCCGAGCATACGGGTCTTACCATGGGTGTTTCGGAGTATCGACACGTCGGGATCGAGATGGGCAGGAAGGTCAGAGGATTGGCAGTGAGGCAGGTAGAAGTGGGCATCGGCGACGAGGCCGACGGCGAGGAGAATATGATGGCTGAGGTGGACCCGGTCACCGGAGAAGCACGGGGCAAGCGACGGTTTGAGTACGTCTTTGACTTGCAATCAACGCACGGCAGCGTGCTGGCGCGGCGTTATGCGGTAAACATCCAGTTCCCAGACCAGCTGCAGCCGCAGATGGTGGCCACTTATCGAGAGGTCAGCCGGTTGTGGCACTGGTTTCTCGCGAGCCCGACAGGGAATGATGATGCCGGTGATCATCAAGGCTGCTGCTCTGACATTTTGGAGGCAACGGCAAGCAAGGGTGCTACCAAGCGGAAGGCTGTTGAGATTGAGGCGGCGGGCATGGGAGAGGAAAGCAAAAGAAGGAGGAAGGTCGGGACAGCCGAAGCAGGGACGCCACCAGTAGGGGGAGGAGGAGGAGGAGGAGGAGGGGCAGTGGTCGGAGGACCAGGCGCTCCGCTTCAACAAGGACTACAACGGCTTCTAGGAGAGGGCGCAAGTTGGAAGTCTGACGAGCAGCACGAATGCATGGTGAGAATCATGGACATGAGGAGGGGTGAGGTGCTGATCTGTGTGCTTCCAACCGGTGGTGGCAAAAGCATATTCTTCATGCTCCCCGCGGTTGCGGAAGAGACCGGCACCAGCATCGTGGTGGTCCCGTTCGTGGCGCTGATGGACGACATCTTAGATCGGGCTCGCGACGATTTCGGTATCGACTGTCTGAAGTGGGAACCGGCCATGACTGCGGGAAGAGACGAGGCTCAGCCGGATGCGCGTCTCGTCGTCGTCAGCGCCGATCTGGCAAACTCGCCCGAGTTCATCAGCTACGTGGACAACCGACGAGCGCGAGGCTTACTCCGCCGCATCTTCTTCGATGAGAGCCACACCGCCATCGTCGACGCCAGCTACCGGGAGCGGCTCGAGTCGCTGAAAGGGCTGCATCGATACGACTGCCCAGTGGTGCTGCTGACGGCTACGCTGCCGGTGAAGATGGAGAAGTGGTTCCGCAGGCTGATGCTGGCAGAGGACGCGGCCATAGTCCGAGCTAGCACTGCTAAGCTTAATATCCGGTACCGCATCCGGAAGGTCAAGGGTGGAGCGGCCGCGGTTGAGAAGGAGGTCATCAAGGCGAAGCTCCGGATTGAAGAGCGGATGCAGAGCGGTCAGAGAGGGGTGATATATTGCCGAACGAAGAAACAATGCGAGGCGTTGGCCGGCAAGCTGGGATGCTCGTTCTACCACGCCGGAATCGAGGATAAAGGCAGGCGGCGAGCGATCTTACAGGAGTGGGCTAGGGCTACTGGCGAGGGACCCAGTCGGTGGATCGTGGCGACGACCGGACTCGGGACGGGTATCGATATCGGCGGCATCGTCGCTGTCATCCACATGGAACAACCGTACGGGCTCGTTGACTTTGTACAGCAGACCGGGCGCGGCGGGCGGCGGAGCGGAGAGGCGGTGGACTCGGTGATTGTGCTGGGCAGCGGACGAGTGCCGCGCGACCAGCACAGCAGTGACATCGAACATCTCAACCGCCAGGCGATGGAGGAATTCATCCATACTTCCGGTTGTCGACGAGTGGCACTAGGCGTGTTCATGGACGGCAAGGGATTGCAATGCGACGAGATGATAGGGGCAGAACGGTGTGATCGATGTGAAGAGCGGGCAGGTGAGGAAGGGGCTATGGGTTTGACGAGCAACCGGCTAAAGGAGCATATCAAGAGGGAAGCTCGGGGGCGTCGAGCGCTAGAGCGATGGCTCGACGAGGCAGACGGCAATTGTGGGGTATGTCTGGTGAAGTGGCACAAGGACGGGCGGCGGGGGGGCAGAGAAGAGGAGTATCAACACCGGCTCGACCGGTGTCCGATCGTGAAGGCGGAAGATTATTTCGCGTGGCGAGGACGGCTCGACTTTGCGGTTCACAGTTGTTGCTGGGGCTGCGGGCTCCCGGAAGGATGGTGCGCCAAGCTAGTTACATGGAAGGGGCAGGAGAGGTGTCGGTATCGCGATCAGGTGATGCCGGTATTGATGGTTGTGGGGAGAAGCGCGAGGCTTCGCAGGATGGTGATGGAGGAATTTGATATTGATGCGGCGGAAGATGAGGATAAGTATATCGAGTGGATTTGCAGGACTAGGCGGTTGTACGGGGCGGAGATGACGAACGGAATCGCGGTTTGGGATTTGATTGTTCGGCAGCTTTGCACGCGAGGTGAGTGCTGACGATGGGGGTTGTCTTTGAGACGTGTCACGGGCATAGGTGGATCCGGATGATGATGATGACGGTTACTGGAAGCCGTAATTAAAAGTAGGCCCGTATTTGCAATTGGTGTTAATTGGTTTTTTACTTTATTATTATTATTATTATTATTATTATTATTATTATTATTATTATTATTAAAATACTTCGAACACCCGTTAAGTTGCCAAGGCAAGGGACTTAACGGCTGAATATTCAGCCCGAAGGGTAAATACCGTCTACCTGCTATTAAACTCTTCTGGGAGGCCCCCTTTCGACTGTGGCGATAACCAGCTATCAGAACCACTTCAAACCTATAGTAAGGGAGTTGACTGATAGACATAGGGGTCCCTCTACCACTTCCTTCCAGGCCCAATCAACTATATTCTGTATATCGAGTTCCCCCTTCCCTGTAGCTTATAGGAAAACGTCGTTTAGTCAATGTACCGTGGTGGATATGGCGGATCGATCAGCAGCTGAGCCTGACGGCGTTGTTGGTCAGCAAGGCGCATCTTCATCCCTGCTTTATAGTTAGCCATAATCGCAGTACGTAGGAAACGCAGGCGTATAAACCTTCCGTGGGCGTGTGGTTATAGAGGCTGTGACGATCGAAAGGCGCCTCAAGCAGTAGGCCTTTCAGCGAGGTAACTCGTGAGACAGCAACATAACTAATACCGGCCTAGAAGTCGCGTATAGCGAGGTCAGTAACTATCTGATCCTTCGTTAGACTCTGGCATTTGTGAACAGTGATAGCAAATGCCACGATCAGGGGAAACTGCTTGCGAGCGCAAGTCTCGTTGCCCACTAGGAAATCACGCGTGACTAGAAGGATAGGTACGATTTTCCTGCCCTCGTTAGTTATTAGATACGGCGGTCCATCGTAGCTATCGAAATCCACCATAATAACGGCCGGAGGGTCTTCCCATGGTTTAGCGCCTTCATTCCAGGCGATATCATATATCATACCCTGGGCGCCATTAACCAGGCCAGCTGGTTGCCACAAATTAGTTATAAGCATTACCCTGGCACCTCTAGCAACAGCAAACTTGTTGGATAGATTGCCAGCATAGTCGCTTAGCGCCTGCCCCGCGCCTTTGCCCAGGTTCTTTGCCTCCACCTGTATTGCCGGGGCGTTAAGGTGCACCATATACTCGTAATTATATTCGTTGACCCGGGCCTTCGTAGAATACACCCGCATAGCGGCCTTGAATCTATCAACCTCGCTCTGCGTTAGCTTAGCCTGCACCCGACTGCTAAGGAGGTCCCAGGAGGGTATAGATAACTTGACTTCACGCAGTTCTTACAAGGCCTGGCGGAACCGGGCCTGATCATCACCAGTCTGGCGCTGCACCGTGGTCAGGAAGACGGTGCGGTCAAACAGCCGGTAGGCCACCTGTCCTCTCCTTTCCAACGAAGACAGGCCAGTGCTGGCGGTTGAATACAGCGGCTTTTGTCGGACGGGTGGTAGCTGGAAGAAATCGCCCACAAGCAAGACGCTCACACCACCAAAGAACTCGAGGCTACGCTATGGAAAGGCCTGTCGCAGGCGAGAATCAATTCGCCCGAGCTGCTCAAGTCCTAGCATGCTCTTTTCATCGATGACGAGGTACCTGACGTGCCGTAGGCGGGACTAAAGGGCAGCAGCGTCAGCTAGGCGAAGCTCGGTAAAGGCACCGCCTACTGGGAGACGGAGCAGCGAATGTATGGTGCTGCCCTGTATCTAGTTACTCGCAACGCCTATTAGCGCTACGCGGCAAATAGGACTAGGATTAGGCAGGGCAGCCGCCTAAAGGTAGGAGGAAAGCACCTTAATAAGGAAGGACTTGCCCGTGCCACCGCCGCCGTCAACGTGGAGAAGGATTTAAGTAGGATTTTGCGCCTGGAAGTGACCCATGAAGGTATCGTACACTAACCGCTATTGCGGGTTAAGCTGATCACGCCAGTGAGGGCCAAGGACCTCCACATCGTTGGCTATAGGGTTGCTAGCGATGAGGTCTTTCCAGTAGCTATCTCGAAACTCTGAATAAGTGCCCACATGCCGTGTCCAGTCGTAATTGACATCGATATCGCGGCGGCCAAGTAGGTCAAGACCTTCCTAGGTAAGGGGGTTATCAGGTAAAAGGGCGGCGAGACGGATCCAGTCTTCGTCATCAAATTCCTCCTCCACTGGCAGAGCCTCGTACTGATCCTCTTAAGGTTGTAATCGAACCTCTTTTGGCCGGCCGTAATAGTCATCACCATGACTATGGTGCTGCCAACAATAGGAGAAGGCCTAAGCGTGAGAATTAAAACGATGGCCGTCAAACATGAGGAGCTCATCATGCCGACGATGTGGGTGGTTCAATGCCAGCTTTACGCGGCAGTACTCTAGCCACTATTGGCCTTCTGGATCAGCCTAATAGCGAGGAAAGTAGACCAATACACGCGGCCTGCCGTTGACGTTGGCTGGCTGCCATTGCTTCCACTTGGAAGGGTCCCTAGAGTAGAAATTCCAGTATTTAAGAAAGGAAACATAGGTCAGGTCCTCTAGGGATTCGGGGCGTTGACAGTACTTTTCGTAGACATTGGGGGCCTCGTCAACCTCATCGGCGTCAATCCGTAAAGAGCGGGAATGCATATCAGGATTACGGCAATCAATGTGTAAGCAGGTTCGTGAGCCCTCTTGTAACGGCAGACCGAGGAGCAAGTGGCTAACCTCCTGCTTCGAGTAGTCTCGCTCAGCAACTAGCTGATTTAGGAGCTTTGACGTGAAGGAAATCAGCGGGTTGTGGTCCTTGACCCGGGGCATCAGGGCCTTCCCAATCTGGGCAAAAGACTCACTCTTCTTCTCCGACTTGGAGCAGTATTTAGCTGCGTAATCGATCACCTGCTGCAGGCTCGTGCAGGGTGAGACATCTGTATTGGCTAGCCACGCAACGGCAAGTAAGCGGTTGTAGTGGTTCATCTGGCTATCGTTCCGCTCGCCCCTAAAGCTCCAGTGCTTAGAATGAGGAACCTTTTCAAGGGAGGCTAGCAGGCGCTGCCCGTGAGGAAATCCAAAGCGGCACTCCACCTGCTTGGTATGCTTGCTGAGCTGCATACAGTAGTTGTTGCAGCGATGGCGCTGCACGCGGTTTACCACCATCGATAGGAACTGGACGGTAAGGGGATGTTCCAATAGATTACTGATCAAGGGATTCCCTTCCCTAGGTGCCTGCACCCTCTGAGGCTCTGGGTTGATAGCGGATACGTGATATCCCTAGATTCGGGCAAATCGCTCCCGGGACTGGCTGTCATTGGGATCTAAGTCCGGGTGGCCACTTAGCCAATATAGGCCGTGGTGGTGACTAGAACCCCTGCCCTGCCACTCGTAGCGACCCCAAAAGTCCGTTAGGTTGAACTTCTGCCTCAGGACAATAGTCCTAAAGAGCGTATATCGCTTATGGAAGTGATAAGCGGCAATGTGGGCGTTATCTCGCAGCAGTTGCCGGGATAGAGCCATTCGCGCCGCCTCAGGAGCTGCTTTCCACTCCTAGAATCGAGGCATATGACGATATAGGGACTCCCAGTGGTAATCAGCCGCACTTACTATAACGAAAAGGCTAGGCCTGCCTAGATTATAGGCACATGCCTCCAATTCCTTCCTTTGCTTATACTAATATGGATGGGTGCCCCTGATTATGGCGGCTTAGCGCGTGATCGACTGGATCAGGGCCTGAGCCTCTGGCTCGTTAGGCTTAGCCATCGCTTCCTCTATGTCAGCGCGCGTAAGGGGTTGACGGCGGCGGCCTTCGTGTTGCTTGACCGAGTAGTTGCTCCGCTTTCTGACCTGCGCACGTAATAGCGTGTTGAGGGCGACAAAAGGCCACGTCTTATGCCGGGCAAAACGTCCGTCTTGCCATCTCATCGCATGGGCAAGGTAGTCCTAGTACGTGACGCTCCGTAGGCGAGGCTCCACGAAGTCGGCCTTGCCGTCGGGGTAGAGGGTGGGGAACGCGAGCGTCAACAGCGGCTGGGAACGGTTGAATTCGTTGATAGGAGTCCTGCGAATGGAAGGTAGTGGCATCTGGTGTTGAGCCTGCGCGTTAGGCGGTATATGCTCAAGATCGGCCATACGCTCAGGGTCAGGGGTACCATAAAGCAATCGGGACTACAGGGCGTTTAATTCGGTGTCTGTAACCTGCAAATCGGGGATCGCCGATGCATCTGCATCTGCTGGATCCTCTTCTACATCCTCCTCAACGGGACCTTGGGGGGCCTCGCCGTCAGGTATATCAGCCACTTAGCTAGCAACGGAAGCAACTATGCTGCCGTCAAGAGGAAGCCGTTGCAAGCGATCCTGCCTCACAACGATATCGCGATAGCCCGGGTGGTGGCGCTGTAGGTAATGCAGCCAGGTCAACAGGCATGAGCGGCGTACCCGGAAATCGCGAGCAAACTGCTGCTGGAAGTGAGGGTCGCCCTCCATATTAGGAGGCCGCAGGAGCACGATATCTAGCTCTTCAGGTAGGACCGGGAGCTCTTCAAATAGCCTACCAACATTGCGAAGGAAGTGGACAACATAGCCGCGGTATTTATACTGAGAGCCACGTACCTATAGGACCTTCACGTGTACGTGAACCCTAGCAATCAGCATCTCCTCAACCATCGTTAGGCTAGGTAGATTACCGGGGACTTCCCCGAAGTCAAGGCTATTCGCAGCGCTAAAGAAGTAGGGCTCGTCAGCGGTTCTCTCCCTATCTCGACTAATGCAGCGGCTACAGACTCCTAAGCTATTTTTCTTCATATCGAACCAATGCTCCCGGCAGCGAATGCAACTATGCATCTTATCGTCATTCAGGGCAGTATAGAACTCCCGCACAAGCGCCCGATCCTCCTCACTAAGGGCAGGCAAATCAAGGTCCCCTGTAAAAGGTGGATCAACTATCTGATCAAACTATCGTTCTTGAAGCTGTGGCCGTGGCCGTCGGTTCACGATGCCTTGACGTGTATAGCGGCCGCGGCGATGACCCTGTGGCAGTAATGAAGCAGTGGTAGGGAACGATTCCTGTGGCACAGGCGTGCCTAGCACAATAGGAGCCGTTGTGGTCGTGTCACTAGGAATCGGCGTGCCCAGAACTACTCTTGGCGGGCTTAAGGTGGGAGGGATAGGGAGGGCTCCTTCCGCTGCGCTTAAGGTAGATGGGCCCAGCAGAGGTCTAGGCAGTCCCTGGAGGACGGGCGCCAGACCACGGAATACAGCAGGCGTTGCAGGGGGTTGTGAGCTATTGATGGACACGAGCGCTTGCGCGTTTCGCCGTGGAGGCGTCAATTGAGCCTGAGAATCGGTCCTCTTCGTCGTTCTGCGCGGCGATAGCCTCGAGGCGATATTCCGCATGGCGGCAACGGCGGCTCGGGATTCGGCCACTCGCTCCTTTTGGCGTGCCCTACAGCTACTACACTGTCTCGTAAGCCTCGCAGGGTCCTTGACGCTTCGAAACTCGACCTCGGGCAGGTCTTACTTACAAGTATGGCAGTTCCGAACTGCCTAGGGTATATCATTCTCCATCCGGCTGCATATATTATTATCCGCCTCTTACCCATGCAGACGACCGGGTAGGTACCGCTTAGGCAGCAAGGGTTTGCTTAGATATACCGTAGCGTGACAGATCTCGATATAGGAGGTTGTCTATAGGGTATTTTGATTAGGTTCGAACGATCAGGGAAGGAGGGGACACTTCACCGCTCGACCGGAGGCAGGTGATACGTGAGCCGAGACGTCATTAGCAACCTCGTAAGGTTTAGTGGATAATAGTTTTGACGGCAAAGGGAAAGCAGACGCCATATCGGTGCTCCGGCCAGAATCGCGCTTGGAGGCCGGAGTTGATTGAAGGACAACCTTAAAGCTCCTGGAGAGCTTGCCAAAAGCGTTACCTAGTCAACGATCGCGGGCTTCCCCATATAGTGGCGTCGTTAGCGTTGACAACTGACCAATTCAAGCACGAGTTGAGCATAGACCATGCCAATTAGCCAATCAGAAAAAGTTTTATGCTCTTTTTTTCTGACTGAGTAACAGGAGAGGCAACCCGACCACGGGTTGCGCAAAGGCCTTGAGGAACGAAGATGGCTATACGGAAAAGCCAAGTGCGAATCTTGGTTTTAAGTGGTGTTGGCCATAAATATACACGCGGGGAGACCTAAACCCTCTCAGGGGTAATCCCGGCAGCGTCCTCGAGGTGGTATAGGAAGTGAGGGGTCATGAAAATGCAAAAGAGTGAAAACGTCATGCAATGGAGACGCAATCTTACATCTGCAGAATCATACATCTAGCATACAAATAATGGAAAACATGCTCTATAAGGTATGTGTGGGAAAAGACGGAAGGCATCAAGATGTATGGGCGATGCCGGGCCGTGGGCTATTATGGGGAAGGAGCATCAAAGGCCGGATTGGAAAATTCACAAGAAGGTCTACATGCCCAAGGATGGGTAATATGGGCGAGGAGGGATATTAATGGTCGCCACTGCTGGATGGACAACAGCTATCTCAGTCAATTTGTTGCTATACGAAGTGACTAATTATTGCTAGGCTAAGGGGATTTTTCCAATAGGTTCTTAGACAATTTCCTAATACTTCTTTGGGGGATAACGGTTGCGATGTGGTCGGGGCGGATCAGGCGAGAACGCTGTGATTGAATCGGACGCAGGCGCATCTGGACGACAGGTAGTGGCAATATCTGCCTCCGATACATCAAGTTCATCTTATGAGAAAGCCGAAATCGCGGGGGATCCAACAGGCTCCTTGCTCTGAGAAGATAGAATGGTGCTAGAAGAGGCCGGGGACAGACGTCGTTTCTTCGTAGGGGTCTGGCCGTAGTTAGGGTTTGTTCGCTTGGCCGGTGGTGTAGTCGGTTCGAGCGAAGCAGAGGTGGGAGGAGTGGACGGGATAGGAGGAGATCGGTGAACTATTGGTTTTGGTGGCGAGGCAAACATAGCTTTCGCATCCCCAAAGGCCATAGGGCCAGAGGACGGTTACTTCGGTGGGGTAGAGAGTGATAGGGCTGCGGAAGCCGACTTAGACGTGGCCCTGTCGAGAAAGGTCCAGGTATCTGGCACGACGATGAAAACGTAGTCGCGGTCAAAGCCGGGCGGGTGCACCATGATGTTATGGTCGAGCAGGCCGACAACTTTGCCCGTGCAAGTGAAAAGCGCGTTGGTCTAGAACTGGGTGTCCTGTCTCTCGACCATTTTCTTGCACAGGGCTGCCCAAGGATTAGCGTGGATGGGGAAGATGACAAAGACCTAGAATGGATGGAAGCCTTTGAAGGGAGTCTTGTCAGGCTTTCCAGGAGCAATGAACGTAGAAAGTTAGACGAAGCCACAGCACTTCAACTAGACGCCGTCGAGTCCTGGAATAGACTCCTTTCGTAGCAATGTGCGGCCGGAACCGACAACAGGGCCAGTGAACGCGATAACGGGAGGGACAGCGGGGAAGTGGTCTACGGAGGCAAAGTTTCGGGGGAGAATGCTTTAGCTCGAGTCAGGGCGGGATGCCAAGGTCAGTTGTATGCAGCATGCTTACGGCTGGTAGCCCTGATCACAGATGATAAGAGCCGGAATGGTGTATTGTGTGATGGCGCCAGTATCTGACTCTGGACCATCTCGCTGTTCAATCTCCCAGGTCAGGGTATACGGGTGAACACGACCGTTCATGAAGAACCATTGCTCGGTCCATTCTGATGCAACGACTTGTTTATTGTAGATGGAAAGGTTGGTGCTGAAGAAGATGCAGGCGGAGGGGTTGCCGGGGTCCGACCGAAGTTGCGCATACTCGGGGGTCAGAATCCAGGGTGGGGCAGGTAGGAAGACCCTCGCCAATGCCTCTGCGTTGAGCCCGTTAATGCGATGCTGGTCCTGATAGGCAAACTTAGACGGGCAATCTGGCTGGACGAAAAGCATCACGGACATATCACTGCCCGCGTTTGTCTGGCTCTCGAGAGGTTTGCGCGGGTTCGAGGGGCTATTGGGGAAGGGAGCGGGAGGAGGCATAATACACTGGAGCAGTGGCTGTCGGAAACGAGCCAAGAATACCCGAGACGAACGTTGGAGGCAATAGGACGGTAGATACCGCGGTAGGGAACGGCAGAATAGGAAGTGAGAGAGGTGACGATGGCTTGGTTTCTATATGGATACAGGTAGACGCAGTGGTAGTTCTCGCGGGCCGCAATATCTGGGGTGCGGGGTTCGGCAGATCAGAGCCCAGACAACGGTCCGGGAAAGCTTCAGGTTTCAAATAGATAAAGAATGCGGGGTTTGGATCATGAGCAAGGTCGATCTGGAAGCAGAGACGTCATCGAAAGTGATGTAAGTCAAATGTCAGAAATGAGATGTGACTATAGGGGATGGAGTAGTGTCTTTTTCTGTAAAGCTTGCGAATGGAGGCGAAGTGCCGACATGGAATCAGCTGATATCGGGGTAGCAACGGTTTCAGCTTAAGTGTGGCACCGACTTGAAGGATAGGAGTTGCGGCGGCACAAAGGGCAACGTCGGCAGTTGAGCAAGAGTCTAGGTTATAGGCATACAGGAAGGGTTGTAGGTGGTTAAGGGGACTATTAACGGACCGCTCGGATACTGCAGGAAGCAATGCCGTATTAAGGAGCATAATCATCATCATCCCAGAAGCGAAATCATGCAACTAAAGAGGGCCCGACGCGGAAATCTTGTGATCTACCGTCCGCCTGGAATCATAGTCATGGCTGATTCTATCCCTTCAACGAAGATTTGCAGGAACTACAAACAGGAGAAGCCGGCAGATCAATTCATTTCGAAGACAAAGTCTTCCCTAACATATGGAAGACTTACGGCTAACTATCTCGGCTATAGGAATCGGCAAGCCTCACGCGCCTCTAAGCGCACTGCAGAACAAGCTGAATTATCCCCAATAGGTCGAGAAGGATTGCCATTGATAGACTTGCAATTACGTACACCAGTTAACTCACCAGTAGCGAAGCCACATAGGGCGGTTAACGATCCCCCGCTTTTTCGCCGGAATGAGGCACCCACGGTTCGGATTACTTAGCCCAAGCAATCAGTATCTGAAGACATTAGACGAAGCGAGCTAGCAGCAGCAATTGCACGGGGTTTGCCTAAGAGACGTCGGGGACGGTATCGGCGGCCGAAAGCAAGACCAGACACTAGCCGAGACGAGCCTCCGAGGAAACAAATCCGAGCTGGAACCCGAAAGCAGAGAAGACGAGAGTTGCAGGCCGAAGACCTGGCGAGCGCGTTGCGCTTCTTAGAGGACGAATTTGCCGCCAAGGAGGGTTTGTCCAAAGAGCAGACGTAGTGTACGCTAATACCACATGAGAGAAAGGTATCGACCGTGCGAGCCTTCTATAAGGAGTTTCACGATGTGGACACTTTGCCAATACGGACTTGCATGCTGTGCTACCATAAGCGCACGAAAAAAGAGTTAAGAGATGTAATATGGGACCAATAGATGTCGAGCTGCGTCGAAAAGGATAACCGTTTGCTATTTTCATATCGGAGCTGCTTTCCCGTGGGCGAGACCTTCTTAGCATGTGGAGAGTGCGGTCGTTGCTTAAGGCGGGGTATTCTGTCGCCTGCGGCCCAGCTTCACAGACGTATTGGGTGTGAACATATGTTTCCCGAGGAGCTGAAGGGCCTCACGCCGGTTAAGGAGAAGCTGATCGCGCTGAACTCATGTTATGGGTTCGTCATAAGGTACAGCATTGCGAGTAGCCAGAAGCAGAGTGCCCGGTATCCGAAGCACATCAAGGGCCACATCACGGTATTCCCTAATAATGTGCAGGAGCTGGCCACAAAAGTGCTTCCCCACCCGCTCGTCCAAGTGATGGAAGAGATCCATGTCTCGTGGCAGGGTGCGGAGAAGCCAGCACCAAGCGACCTGTCAGGTTTATTGTCGGTGAGGCGACGAGTCGTTGAGAGGGCCCTCGTCTGGCTAAAGAAGAATAACCCGCATTACGCCGAGATCGAGATTGACGCGGCGGAGATGGAGAGCTGGGGCGCGCCGCCGCATGGGGTGCCGCCGCTGGTGTACGATCGCATGGAACGGAATGAGCTAATAGCATGGGAAAAAACGCGAACGGCGCAAATTGTTCCTCTAACGGAGCGTGGCATAGACGACGAGGGATCGTTAGAGATCGAAGAGGTCCTCGCTCGTCTTAACCGAGGAGAAGACATACCCAGCGGCGACACCCAAGGGCCGGGGCTGACCGAAGACGAAGGTGGCCACGGGAGCGAGGCCGAGTCTGGTCAATTGGGAAAATCGATCAACGAAGTCACATCATCGGGTATGTTTGCCCTGGACGGACCGCCGGATGTAGCCGATGTGGAGAAGCTCTTGTTTGCCTGCAATGCCGTGAACGGGGATACGGCGGTCGGGGGAGCCAAAGCGGGCCCGATAACACGGGTGGAATCGGTGGAATCGGCGGAGATACGGACAGGGCCTGCTGACGGATGTGAGCCATACATTCACGTTTCTCGGGGCGACGAATTCGCTGATACATTCGATGCCTCGTTCTTCGCGAAGACGTTTCCCACGCTATTGCCCTTTGGCGTCGGGGGGCCACGGTTAGTGGAAGAAGCTGCCATAAGCGTGGGAAGAGGTGCCGATATGCGCGGAGCAGAGGCGGCGGCGCAAGACCTCGTCTCGTCCCGTAGCATAAGTCTGCGAACGTGGGCCGACATCACGCTCTAGCGCCATGGTGGCCGATTTGCGACCCACCACATCTTTGCATTCCTTGTGTTCAATATGAGTGTACGGTCGAGGAACCGTCGCGTCAGCATATTGAGCGTAAAGAGGAAAGATTTCCGCAAGATAGAGCGCATAGTACGGTCGCTCTCGGCTGACAGGTTAGCAGCGGCAAGGATCGAGTTAGAGAACTCAGGAAAAACGACTGACGAGGGTATAAAGGAGCTTTTGAGAAGTCTTTCCTTGTACGGCTTCCGCCAGCCTATGTCCAGAGAAAATCGCTTGAGTATGCGGCGGAAGATACAGTCGCTTGTTCTTCGTCATGGCGTGCCGGCGATCTGGTTCACGCTCAATCCAAACGATATTACGAACCCGGTAAAGCTGCGACTTGCAGCATACCGCACCAGCGAGCCTAACGCGGCCGAGGCTTTCCTGAAGAGCCTTGGCATGTCGTACAAACGCCTGCGGCTGGCCATTTCGGACCCCATGAGCTCGGCCATCTTCTTCCACCGGGAGATAACGTTATTCTTTGAGCATTATGTCAAAGTGGGAGAGGAGTCGGTATTCGGGCGCATCATCGACTATTTTGGTGCTGTCGAGACCAACGAACGAGGGGCGCTTCATGTCCACGGGTTGCTTTAGTTACATGGAAACGCGCACTTGAGTTCAATGATTGCCGATATCGACGGCGAAGACCAAGCAACGTACCGTAAACATATCATCCAATACATAGATAATGTCTTCTCCGAGGTACAGTATGGCCCTAACTAGGCATGTCATTGAAGAAGATGCAGCGGTCGGGGCGGGGGCCAAAGCTGACATACCTATGAGGTAGGACTTAGACCAGGAAGGGTATTGCACCCTCCAAGCGGAACGGTCGGTGGCATCAGACATTTCCTCCCTGCTTGACAACAGGGAGCAATTTTCGGCCGCATTTGACGAGGAAGCGAATTTCTGTGCCGGTGCGACACAGATCCATACTCACAGCCCAACTTGTGTTAAGTACTCCTTGAGCAAGGGCAAAGGAGGAGGAAAGAGGCGTGGCCTTTGTCGATTCCAGGCGCCATGGAGACTAGTCGAAAAGACTGCCTTCACGGCAGACGGCGTGTTGCAAATTCGAAGGAGGCATAGCATGGTGAATCGGTGGAACAAGGCCATGGCCGTGGGGCTTCGCCACAACCATAACATCTCCTTCATAGCGACGCAGCGGAAGACCATGGCCCTCATCTATTATGTCATAAATTACGCGACGAAAGTGGAGGATCCGGTGTGGAAGCGTGTGGCCGCCGCGGCAGAGCTCTTGACCATATTAACGGGTGAAGGGACGGCCAACGGATGGGGGAACGGTGGAGGAGGTGCTACCGATGACGCCGTCAAGGGGAACAGGACGCGGCAATTCTTGATGAGGGTGGCGAACCGCATATTCACGGAGCGATCACTATCGCAGGTCGAAGTCATCGCCCACCTTCTGGGATACCCGACCGAGTTCACTAATAGCAACGATTAGACATTCCTAAATGTCTCTCTGCTCTACTGGCACGTCTTCCGACGATGGCGACACCTCCGGAAAGAGAGCGGAGTAGAGGCTGTAAACGATTCCGTGGACGAGTCGATAGTTGTGGAAGAAGCAGGTGAGAGGATTAGCTATGCTGAGGCATACTAGCACCGGGGAGACGTTTTGCGAAGCCTGTGTCTATATGACTATGTGTCGCTCGTCAGACTCAAACGAGTCGGTAAAGATGAGATCGCTGGCGCTTGGGGAGAGGTGCCATTTGAGAGCGAGTGGGAGTCTGGAAGAGGCTGGTTGCAGGTGCTGAGACGGCCGGGAAAGCACGCCAGCGTCTGCCTTGATGGCTACCTGAGCAAGGATTTCGACCAGGATGACGAAGAGTCGTGCTATCGAAGGTGGGTCTGCCGCCGCCGACGGAGTGTAAAAGGTCGTGTTGAAGAGACTAACCTCCATGCTGAAGAGCAGCGGTGCAGCATCTTGCGCTATTTGTGCCATGGGAGTCTTTCCTGTGCGAACAAACGGGCGATATCAACAGCATATGGGCGCGGGCTCGAGAGGCACTTCCTCCCAGAATATCATGCCTCGTCGATAATGTGCAACTACTCCGACGGTCGGCCGAAGACGCGAAACGCGACGCCAGGCAATGGGCAGCCTCAGCCGGCGACGCTGACTTCACGGCCGCACGTGCCGGTAAGGAAGGAGAAAGCGAGGCTAGTGAAGAGGCCGCATCGGTATACCAGTCTGACAGCATCGGTAATGCAACGCGTCTAATTAACGTTGTGAGAAGTGCAGTAGGCGCCAACCAGATCACTGCCGGCTCGCCGGAGCTCATGGCAACAATGGAGCAGCTCTGTCGTTTCCAGCAGTCAGCACTAAGCTCGACTACTGAGCTCCAGGCCACCGTAATGCCCGAACGGGGAGAAAGACGGATAAGCATACCAGAAGTGGCATTTTCGGGGACGGTTATACCACCGCAGGATCAGGTCAAGGCCATCAAGTCGCAGTAGATCCGTGCCTCCAGAGAGAGGGAGCGAATGATCCAGGGCATACAAAATATAGCCGGGGCCGATAAAACTGACCACAGTGCGGCGGTGCGAAGTGTGCTCACTGGTTTCGGCGAGGAGGATATCTAAATGACGGCAGCCGACTTGGAAGAGGAGACGGCAGGCGAGGCAGGTCCGCGCATGGAAGTCGACTTTAGTGCATCAACGTCCTTCCTTGAGGCAGGTAAGGCTCTGGCAGCGCGGTTCACGCTGAACAAGAGGCAGACAATCGCCTTCCTCATCATATGCCGCCAGCTCGACTCGATACGATGTAGCGGCAGAGGCGATGTCGGTCAGCTCTGCGAATTTATTGGTGGAGAAGGTGGAACCGGCAAGTCACGAGTCATTGAAGCACTCGTCGAGCTCTTCGCATCAAAAGGTATTTCGAACCGTCTGCTGATCACGGCGACGTCGGGGACTGCCGCAGCGCAGATCAACGGCATCACGATCCACTCCGCCTGCGGGTTCACCAAGGACCAAGCGGCGGGGGGCGCGAACACGGCCAAGGATCTCGACGGTATGCGACTGCCAAAACAGGCTAAACGATTTGTCCATGGCCAGTCTCGTATGGACTGGCAGGAGAAAGACCTGCTAGTCATCGACGAAGTGAGTATGCTGGGGGCTCGGACGCTACACGCGGCGAACGAGCAGCTCTGCAGGCTCCGCGGGTCGCAACAGGATTTCGGAGGGATCCCCATCGTCCTTTTCTGCGGAGACTTCCACCAGTTCCGTCCGGTACAAGAGAGGTCGATCCTGCTGCCGAGCGTGGCCGTCTCGTGGGACGAAGACAACTCGTTCAAGGCCGAGCAACGGCACCAGCATGACAAGGCGCACGCGCTGTGGAAGAAGTTCACGACGGTCGTCATGCTAGACGAACAAGTACGCGCGGCCGGAGATCCGGAATTGCAGACACTGCTAAAGCGGATCCGGTCGGGCGTGCAAGACCGCACGGATTTAGACCTCCTTAACTCAAGATGCTACCGGGAAGGCAGGCGGATCCCGTGGGAAACGGGCATCACCGTGGTGACGCCGCTGAACCGGAATCGGTGGAATCTGAATATGGAGGCGGCCTTGTCGTTCCGGATCTAGCAGCGGTCGATGATGCGCATCTTCATATCCGAGCACAAATAGAAGGACGGCCTGCCGACGGAGGAAGAAGCCATCATGATGCTGAACCAGGGCGATGATAGCGCGGTCCCAGTACCAGGCGTCTTTATGTTCGTGCCAGGGATGCCCGTCGTCGTGAACCACAATACCCATCAGGGCTTGAAACTTGTCAATGGGGCCAGTTACACGGCGCTTGACGTCATCCTCGACAAGGCGCACCCGGGCCATCGGATCTCGGCCGATACGATGGTCCACTTCGGGCCGCCGGCGGGGATAATACTGGAGTCGGAAACGACAAAGAACTTCTACTTCGTCGGAATGCCGCCCGGCACGATCCTGTTGATACCCACGAGTGTCAGCATACATTGCCAGCGAAAGCGGCCGTGGCAGCAGAACGACGTCAGCCGAAAGGGTCTGCCGTGCGCGGCGGCTTTCTCGTGCACAGACTACAAAGTGCAGAGCAGGACGCTCGAGCGCGTAGCCCTGGAGCTGCGGGGGGCGAGGACGACAAATGTCGACGGATACATAGTCCCCGCGCAATGCGATCCGTACAGCCTGTACGTGCAGCTGTCGCGGTGCCGGTCGCTGGACGGCATCATGCTCATCTCCAAGGTGCGGGAAAGAGATCTAGTGGGCAACCGGGTTCCCCAGGAGATGACCGTGGCAGAGGCCAGACTGGAGGAATTGAGCAAGAAGACTGTTCAGGAGGCTCTGCGGTGGCCGGATGACGATTTTCGAGGTCCAGGGGTCTGACCAATCCCCGTTGAGTGGAGACACGAAACTGACCAATGAGAGGGGCTCTTTTAAGTTTGAGGGCGGGGCATAGACCTTTCGTTCCTCAAGGCAAACGCCCTTCGGGCTGAATTATTATTATTATTATTAAACTAAAGAGATTAAGCTAAAGAGATAGATTAGATTAGATTAGATCTAAGGCGAGAAGTGAAGCATAAGCGGTGATGATTGATTGATTGATGCAGGGCAATCGAGGTAAGCATTTCGGTGCGGCGTAAGTGATTGTTTTAAGGCGCGGGTTGGCGAAGATAACGGAATGAAAATGATAAAGCGGGTGGTTTTGGAGAGTGGTTTACTATTATGGTTCGAGTAAGGAAATGCCATATTATATCACGTCGTGTTATTATCATGTAGTGGCATAATAATTGGGGTGCAAATAGGGGAGGTGAGGATGGTTATTAGCGAGGCACGGAGAGAGATATAAATGGGTGTAGGGTAGGTGAGTGGAGGAGTAAAGGCCGCTTTTTTTTCTTTTTTTTTTTTTTTTTTTCGCCGCATTGGCCGGGAGTGGTTTGAGCGGGGTTAAGGACGGATAAGAAGACGAAGGAAGGAAAGGGGGCAAAAAGGAGAAAAGGGAGTCGTTAAGGGGAGAAGTGCGAGAGGGAAGGCGGCTCATCGAGCGTTCGTTGAAGAGGGAGAGTGAACGGGAAGGGAAGAAGGAAGGGGCGGGGAGAGTCAGGGTCAAAATGGTCAAAAAAAAAGCGAAGTTAAGGGACAAACGGACAAAGGAGGTCAAGCGTTGAATAGACGAGTAAAGTCAAGGGAGTAAACGTGGTTGTGTTGGAGAGGGTAAGTCAAAGAGGCGTTAGTAGACGAAGAGCACGGTTGGTTGCGGGTTTCACGTTGTTCGATGATAATGATGATGATGTGAGGTCGAATAAGGAGATAGGCGGGGCGGGCCAAGTCAAAGAAGTAGCAAAGTTTTTGCGGGTAGGGTTATAAGGTAGATAATAAAAGAGAGTATGGTTACAGTTTGGCATTACTGGGAGTTTATGGGTTCGGATGGTTTCGGCGGGGTAGAGGTGTATAGAGGTATGTTCGAGGATGGTCACAAGGCAAAGGAAGAGTAGGCAGGGGAGAAAGCGAGGCCGGGACAAATAAGCAAGGTAGCAGAGTTAGGAGTTCGCCGTGGGCACGGGCGAGAAGGTTAGAGCGGCTAAGGATAGGTAAAGCGTAGGGAGCGGGTAGGTAGGGGAGTAAGAGAGGACAAGGCGAGTCGGCAGCAAAGGGGGTCGTAGAGATGGGGATGTAGGAGGAGGAGGGAGAGGCAGATTATCAGAGGAGCCAGCGGTTGATTCAACAAGTGGAGGCAGAGCGGAGGTTATAGGTGATGCAGGAGGCAGAGGGGGTGGGCATGTTTGAGGATATTTTGGCAGAGTGGGCGGGGGTGTTGTGGTGCATGCAAGATAGATAGAGAGGTCAGAGGAGGTATATCACGAGGCAGAGATAAGGGGAGTAATTTACGCAGGGATGCCGCAGAGGTTAGGGGATTTCATGTAGGGGATTTCATGCAAGAGAGCGGGCATGGAGGGCGAGATAGAAAGAGAAGCGAGGTAATTATTTATTTATGGTACGTAGAACATGGATATAGGAGCAGCGGGTCGTACGGACGAAGGGGAGGAGAGAGAGAGAGAGAGAGATTTGGGTAATAATAGGGATAGCGGGGATAATAAGGGGGGAGGGGGCAAGCAATGGATGCGAACAGTTGGGGTGCAGAGGTTATGAAATTTATAGAGGGTAGGGAGTGCCGACGGGAGGAATTGGACCGAGAGATAGATGGGTTCATGGGGCGAGTAAGGCGCGAGGTAGGAGAAGAAGAGTATTGCGATGTTTATAGCGAGCGAGCGTTAAGTATAAAGATATAGGCATTGGTAAGGGACGCATGATGGGCCGGTGGAGAAGGTAAAGATAAAGAGGATATAGCGAGGGCGGCCGAGATTGAGGCAGATTATGAGGGAAGCAGGAGGCTGATCCGGCAGACAGAGAGGGAGCGAGCGTTGAATATGATGAAGGGGGCGCAAGATGCGGCGGATTTTGAGGCAGAGTTGGACGAGTGGAGTAGGTGTCGCATCGTGTATAAGGAGGGAGGGTATAATGACGACGAGGAGGATGTTGAGTAGGGAATAGATGCGTGTGCGAAGAAAGGGTCGCGGATGTGGTAATTGTTCACGGAGAAAGGCAATGAGGTCGGGGAAGGAATGTTTAAGAAGAAGAGGTTTATGCGTTGAGCCGCGGTGCGATGAGGCATAAGGGGTCGAGGTATGAAAGTGAGTTTTAGTGGGTTGTAGTCGCATCAGATTTGTGATATTGGTATGATTGAGCGAGTAAGTAGGGTGAAGAGGGAAAATGAAGCAGCGTATGACGAATCGAGGCATGGGTTAAGAGATACAACGGGGTTGAGTGAAGGGAGTAAAGCAAAGAGAGATATGTATAGGCGTAGAAGAAAAACACATTGGCAGGTGAGGTGGAGGTCAATGGTTATATAGGATAGGTTTCAATCATAGGTGCAATGGGTTAGACGGAAAACATGGTGCGAGTTACAGAGGGTAAGCATTGTAATTTTGAGGATGGATGGATGTAATATAAGGAAGGCGTTGGCAGAGCAGTAGCGGCACGATAATAGTGGATCGATTGTGTGTAGACATATGGGTTGAGGGTTAGACAGGGTTTAGAGCGGGGTTATATGCAAGGTAATTAAGTAATCAAGGAGATGCGAGGTAATCAAGTCATCATAAAGAGACGAGGTAATCAAGTCATCAAGACAGTGCACGGTAAGTATGTCATCAGGGAGAGGCGGTGTAATCAAGTAATGTAATCAGGCAATGTAATCAAGCAATCAGGTAGATAGAAGTAATCGAGGAAACATGGCAGGATAGGGTTGGCAAGTAATTAGGTAGATCAAAAGACAAGGAGTGGTAGAGTGGTTATATAGTAAGACATATGAAGGAGGA